AACAATTGCTAAAAATTGTTGATGTAATTAGTGGAACACCCCCACCCCATCCCCCCCACCCCTAATGCTGTCATTCAGTGCCTTGGGCGTTGCGTCATAAGTTTCGAGAATGTTCACTGGTAAGACTTAAATTGAAATATGAACCGCCGCTTGCGGTCTGCTGGTCATGGTATCGTCACTAGTCTATACTATTGTTTATTTTATATTATTACAAGCAATAATTAGTCTGCAAACAAAAATAGACTAAAACCTATTGTCGGCGGCTATCAGGCTGGTAGCTGGGTACTTTCTAATTAAATTTACATTATTTGAAATTTGGGGCTGCCGTTCGCCAGATTATGGTAATCAAGGCCTAGGTCCTTTTATTTAGGCCTATTTATACCTAGTAATCTATGCCTATGCCACATTATAAATTTTAAATATATTATTTTTTATATATTACATTTTGTAACATTCATTAGTAGTAAGTAGTATGAGTATGGGACTAAGTCTAAGCTTAAGCAATGAGTACTTCCCAAATAAAGTATTGATAATAAAATATGTCAGTCAGTCCTAAGTTAAATCTAATACAAAACTTTAATAAAGTGTAATAAACCTAGAACTATAGAGACTATACTATAGCCTGTTAATTATTATTGGCCTAAATTATTAAATTAGACATAGCCTAAAACTTAGGCTTAATTAGGCCTACACAACTGAACTCCTACTCCTATAGTTAGAGTGTCACCACTCAACTAGTGAAAATCCTTAGAATAAATTTAAATTACACTAAATTTGACTAGAGTCTAAACTCTAAATCTAAACTAAACTAAATTACAGTTGACAGTTCAGTACAGTACAGACCTTCTCTCATTTTTTGATCGAGCTCATCCAACGTAGGTTCAATAAGTTCCCATCCATCAGGTGGGGGTTTTCTGCTTCTTTTTACTTTGGGCATTTTCTAAAAGTCTCAACGCAAAAATATTTGAAAATAAAATGAATATATATTATATACGTATTACACAAGTTGGCTAAACAGTAGATCTCTTTTCATACGCTGACAATCGTATCGTAAACAGGAGTGTGAATAGAGGCTGTCTGTGAAAGAAAAAATTGGGCAAATAGAACTAAGTAGATGGAGAAAAAAAAGAAAAATAACTCCACCAGAAAAACAACCTAAAAACAGGGTTCCCACACCGAACATTGAGGGGATAATTGACTTTAAACATTTTTACTTAAAAAAATGCGGGATCATCCAAAACAAATCCATTAAGTAAAGACAAATCCACAAATTTCGTCACGATATTTTTGGCCGAATTCCCCCCCCCCCACCCTTATTCTTCTCCTCGACCCCCCCACTACTCCCAATTTTCGGAAACTTGTAACACAGAGTAAACAATTTTGTCACACATCGTCACAGATATGTGGGCAACTCCCCAACCTCCTTTTTTTAAAGCCTCAACATGTCCTCAACTTCATAGAAAACTCCTGAAGAGCACCTGCACGTCAAAGCATAAGCGTTTCATTTTCAAGGCCAAATGTCTACGAAGAATCTTCTGACCAAAGTCAACATCCCATTAAGATCCGAATGCCAGGAAAGAGTGCTTGCTTGCTTATGCCTTTCTACCCCGTCTGGGGCATAGGCAGTCTACAAGAATCTTCCACTCATCACGGTCTTGTGCTTTCCTTTCCAATAGCTTCCAGGTGTATCCCATATTTTGCGTGATTCTACCTGCGTGGACAACCCTGCATGCCATTTCTTCATAGGAGCTCTGAGTGATCCTGACTAGTTTTCCTGGTAATCTATAGTGCCGAAAAAGTTTCCACAAGGTTTGTCGGCCCAGGCTATCAAAGGCCTTTTCGTGGTCTATAAAATGTATATATAGGGGGGGGGGGAGTTCCATTCTATGTACTATTCTACAGTGATTCTTAATGTTGCAATTTGATCTCTGCATGATCGGTGATCTGTGCATGATCGGTTTTGGCGGAAGCCAGTCTGTTGATCTTGTAGCTGCATGTCGATCTGGTCTCTCATTCTATTCAAAACAATTCTGTTAAAGACCTTTCCTGGTACAGACAGCAGTGTGATTCCTCTGTAATTTGCACATCTGCTGAGATCCCCTTTGTTTGGTATCTTGATGAGGTATCCTTCTTTCCAATCTTTTGGAAGTCTCTCTTCTTCCCATATCTTTTCAAACAGAGGGTGCAGCATGTTGACTATTGTATCTATGTCAGCTCTCATCATCTCTGCTGTGATGTTGTCCGGTCCCGGTGCCTTCCCTATTTTGAGCTGCTTGATGGCCGGAACTATTTCTTCCTTATTTGGTGCGCTTTCTTCTATTTGTAAGTCTTCATTTGCTGGTTGTATGTCTGGTGCGTCCGTGAGTGGGTGTCTGTTTAATAGTTCCTAAAAGTATTCCATTCATCTTTTTTTTTTTTTTGCTCTTTCCTTTCTGTTATTGATCTACCTTCTCTATCTTTGACAGGTCTCTCCGGCCTTTTGTATCTCCCTGACAGCTTTCTTGTTATGTCATATAGCTCTTTCAAGTCGCCCTTCCAGACTGCTTCTTCTTCTGTTGATGCTAGGCCATCTATGTAAGCATTTTTATCTTTTTTAATGCTGTTTTTTACCTTTTGGTTTGCTTCTTTATATTTCTCTTTCGCTTTCGTTTTCTCCACCCTGGTGCGGCTGCTGTTAACGACACTTTTCATTTCTTTTCTCTCTTTTATTTTTTGCAGTGTGTTCAGCGAGAGCCAGTCTTTGAGTTTCTGCTTCACTGATCCTAAAACTTCTTGGCAAGTGGATATTATACAGACACCTTTATATTTTGCCATTTATGTTCGACTTGGTCATTTTCTGTTAGGTCTCCAGTACTTGGAACAGTAAAGAGTGACAAACATTAACTAAACCACGAACTTGGAGATGGCTTGGTCACTTGTGGAGAATGCCACCCACCCCCATTTCCCATAACAGCAATGAGAAAACGAGCTCAAAATAATATAACAAATTCTGAAGAATAACAAGACACTGCAGACAGATTCAAAAGATTAGGCCTACCCATTTTTCCCCATCGCCTTAAGCAATTATAATCAGTAGGCTTTATTTCCCTCGTTTATCACAGGTATAAAATTAAGAGCATGTGGTGCTACTCAAGCACAATAACGTAGCTGAGGTTTATTCGCATGGGGTGGGCCAAGATTTTTGCCACCCCATAATAAAAAACTCACTGCATTTGTCTGAAATGCTGGGCTTCAATATTAATAAGCTGCCCGGGCAGACTTGCGCCCCCTCCCCTTTCCTACGCCACTGTGTGGATGAATTTTTCTTTTTGCCTTTCTTTAAACTTTATCGCCTGGCACCGTCTTATGTTGGCACTGTGGCTTGCACCCACTTAACCCTTCCCTTTTCACAAATTGGCTGCCCGACTATTATTGGCCAGTCAGTGCTATGGATCCAGTGATTTATGAGTTTCAACTCACCACAACTTTGGAGTTTCTATCCAATACTTTTTTTAAGAGCAAAAGCCAAATAATTTTGTTTTAATAAAAACCCTTAAGAAGACTTCACACTAACATTTTGTACGGTTTAAATCAACTTCTAATGACTCTCAGTGTGAAATAAGTTCTCTGGTCCCACCCATTCTTTTTTGTGAAATCTCTGAATTTACTTATATATTTCATTAAAGATAATTTTTTTCTGTAAAAGTGAAGCTACTTTAATAGTCATCCCTGAGTTGTGCAGTCTGTCCTAAATATTTTTTTAAAAATTGAAATGCTCTACATGGCTTTCAGAATGGAAAAAGTATTCATTTTTAAAACATTGATAAACAATGATGTACATATTTTAAAATGAGCCTTGCCAAAGGAAATTAACAAAAGCATGTACACTTTAATTTTTAAAAATTTTAATCAATTGCATTTAAACACAAGACTAAATTTAAATAACAGTTTTGAAAAAAAAAAAAAGAAAGAAAGACAGCTTAGATAAATAAACTTTTAATGACAATTTTTTTTTTATCAACTAAATTTTAAAATGAGACTTGACAAAGGAAATTAACAAAAGCATGTACACTTTAATTTTTAAAAATTTTAATCAATTGCATTTAAACACAAAACTAAATTTAAAAAAAAGTTTTGAAAAAAAAAAAAAGAAAGAAAGACAGCTTAGATAAATAAACTTTTAATGACAATTTTTTTTTTATCAACTACATGGCATGTAGTCATGTTGACCAATTTAAAAACTTGCTAAACATTGGCTCGGAAACATACATAGGGTAAGTCCTTCCCCACCAATTTCATCATGTAACTTCAGACAATTAAACACCTGGGACTCAATTAATCCTTAAAAATATAAAACAAGAGTAAGAAAAAGTGATTTTTTAATCAAATACATCAAGCCTCACATGTGAAAACTACAGAGTAAATTATGGCATTAGTAAATTTGCCATTGAAACAGTAAAGCAGCTCTAACTTGGAATAGGTAAGTTTGCTACTTTCATCGAAGGGATAAATAACATGGTAACCCTGACTTCTAGCTAGGTTTAGGTGAAACATGCAGCAAAATTGTTGAAAAAATCATCTATCCCATTTTCTAGGTGATACTTAAAAAAAATTACTGTTAATGTTTGAAAAAAACCCCAAACCATGCAAATATGTTTCCTCCTGATTAGGATTTGACCTCAAATAAACTAATAATTGAAACATACTTTCCTCAATATATGACCATAAAAATAACAAAATTATGTAATTTATTAAAGAAAGTTATCTGCTGCTATATAAATTATGTGCTTTAAAACATAAGATTCTTTATTAAGATTAAATTTATTTACGAACATTTTTTTTAATATAGGTATTATGTGAAAATGATCCACTATTAACATGCCTTTATGTTGAACATAATCACAATACGTTTGCATTATATTGAATCACCAAAAACTTCCGATCGAGCATTAACTTTTTTAAAGTTCCAGAGAGTGCTTTTAAAAATATCTAAGAATCATATTTCAAACCATTCTGTATGTTGATATGTTAAAACTTGGAGAAAAAGAAATCTCAAAAGCTCTAAGAAATCTGAATAAATAAATGCTCCTAGTTCAATGCAGAGAATCCTGCAAAAGTTCTCCTCTTACATTTATTAATCATATGTAGACATTTTTGGAGGGGTAACCATCGAAAGCTAGAGTAATACAAGTATCAACAGAGAAGGCAAGGGGGAAAAAAGTCTAAGACCGAGGCAAGGAGCACATTTCACATGTGTTGTCAATAGGTTTGTTGATGAAGGTGCAGTGAACACAAGTCCACATTGAGCCTCCTGCTTGTGAGGAGTCCTGACCCGATGCAACAGCTCCCTGGATGCTTGCTGAAAATATAGATAGGTCAGGATATAGATGATTCCTATAAATGTTGACATTAGTGAAACACGCAAGACTGTTTAAATTACAAAATGTTTTTGTCCAAATTTATTGTTAAACTTTTCATTGAAAATCACTTGAGTTTTTAAATCAAGAAAATGTATATTTAAATAAAGTTAAATGAATATTTACCGTGATCAGACATCATCGCTTCAACTGTGGCCCACTCCTCCGTTTTCATAAAATCCAACGCTTTTGTCTCATTGTGGTTTTTAACAGCTTCAAAAAGTATATCCATCTTTTCCTGAAGAAATACATTTTAGAAGAATTGTTGCTCATAAAAATATGGGAATCTAATTTTTTTTATTTCTTAAGGGTAAAAACTATGGGGAAACAAAAGGAGTACTACTATGTTTTTATCTCATATTATGTTAAATGTGGCGTACATATTTTTAAAAAAACATTTGTTCATAAAGTTAGTTTTAAAAAAAATAATTTTTTATCTAAATTTTTTAGCATGGAAAGACAAGGATGCATCAATAGAAAACTTAATCCAATGTGTCATGCAAACATTGCTAACAAACCAAACAATTTGAAAGCACAGTACTACAACAAACTGCCCTTCTCTGTCTGCTTAACCAAGTCACCAGGAAGCATCCGTTACATCAGCCCAAGGTTTGAAATTAAACTAAATACCTGACTTGACCACAATACCTAAATAGAAACAGTTTATTTGTGTACCATATTCAAAGGTAATAGATTGGTTTTTCCAGTAATCTTACCTTAAGTGGTAACATGTCAGATGTTGCCAAAAATATAAGCAAGTGAAAATCAGACATGGCTTCCAAAAATTTGTTTGGAAGAAATCTTTTCAGATATGACGTTAAAGCAGCAAAATCCTGATGGAGAGAGGAAAAAAAAAAAAGAAATTTAAAAAACTTATTTATAGCTTCATGCTAGTTTTTTTGCATGCATCTCACAACATACTAAAACAAATTAAAATAACTCTTCACAATTCAGTATAGCATTAAGGAAAAGAATGGAGTGTTCAGTGAGAAGCAGTGCCCAGGGGAATTATATTTGATTCTGTGGTTCATACAATATGAAAGGTGCTATATAAAATCAAATAGCTCTTAAGAGGTAGACTTGTTTAGTCTGCTTCATTTCTTGTGTTTGTCACGTCAACAGTCAACATGGATTGTGAATTGAACTTTAATCAGTCAAAAAAATCAAATTAGCTTTAAAAACCCTATGGCCAAATACTCAAGAATTAAGTGGAAAAGGTGGGTAAAGACAACCTTAGTTTTGTGACATTTAAAGTTTCTTGCTCTTGACAAAAATAATTTTTGGTCACTGTTAGTTCTTACCTGAAAGGTCACATTTTTTTCTCTCCCTAATCTGTTTTGATCCCAATTCTGGGAACGTTATTCGACTTCTTCCTCCAATAGCTATCACCATGTTGACAATATCCTTGAAAGCCATGCGTGCCAAACAAGTTACAAGTCTCTTATACAAGTTTTTATGCCTGTTTTCTCTCGTACCTCAATTGAAATTGTTCTAAACTGAGTTTGTCCCTCACCTGACTTTTTCCCTCAATTGAATATGTCCTTCCCGAGTTTGTCCCTCACCTGAGTTTGTCCAACATGTTCCCTATTCTCAACAGGAAAACTTTCCATCTGAATATTAGATTTGAAGGTGTAGTGAAAGTCTGATGCAAAAGCTGCTGGAATTGTGACCAGCAAATATTCAACTGGAAGTGGTCTGGCAATATGAGTCACTTCATTACCATAATTATCTTTATCCTGGGTCAAATATAAACATTAAAACATTTTCAAATTCTCTAATATTTATTTTTGTCCTGAGTCAAATATAAACAATAAAACATCTTCAACTTCTCTAATAATTAATTTTTTGTTTTCAATTTAAATCGTCAGCATTTGTCATTAAATTACCAAATAAAGGAATGTTAAAAACTGAAGTTTTCTTAGGTTGATGTACTGTTTTCTTAGGTTGATGTACTGTTTTCTTAGGTTGATGTACTGTTTTCTTAGGTTGATGTACTGTTTTCTTAGGTTGATGTACTGTTTTCTTGGGTTGATGTAATGTTTTCTTGGGTTGATGTACTGTTTTCTTGGGTTGATGTAATGTTTTCTTGGGTTGATGTAATGTTTTCTTGGGTTGATGTAATGTTTTCTTGGGTTGATGTACTGTTTTCTTGGGTTGATGTAATGTTTTCTTGGGTTGATGTACTGTTTTCTTAGGTTGATGTACTGTTTTCTTGGGTTGATGTACTGTTTTCTTTTGTTGATGTACAATTCTCTTAGGTGTTTGTACTGTTTTCTTAGGGAATTTACTTAGTTATAACTAACACTTTACAAGTAAAACTGAAATATTGTTGGAATAATTACGTACCTTATAAAAGACGTCAGGCACGTACTGTTCATTGCCAGACTCCTTGATGAATCCCAGCTGAGGCACATCTTTTGTTGGAACAAAACAGTCATCTCTGACCAGGGCCATGCATTGATTGGATACTTGATAGCCTTCAAAGTGAATCTGGTTGTCATTGTCACCTAGCATAGAAATCAAAAGCTGAACAAAAACTATAAGAAATGAATTGCAAAAGCTTTACTTATCATGGCAAAATGAAGTCCAGCATAAGGAAGCTGGCAGTGAGCAAAATAACATAGGTATATGATCTCCCCATATAATTGCTGCTCTTATGATATACTAGTAATTAAACCGCCAAACAATGGCGACCACACTGTGTGAAATGCCCATGTACTATAGTTACTTGCATTCAAGTAACACATTTAGAAGAATCCCAAATAGTGCTACCCACCCCCTGTACACAACTGCCCCTGAACTATATTATTAATATTCTAATGTAATCGCAGATTTATCACACCATTTCCATGAAACAAAAGAAAATATTAGGCACCAAATGCACTTGCAGTATTTTGAAGAATCTCCTTTAGTGCAGTTATAGGGAATTTTATTTAGTTAAATGGGGTTAGGGTTATTGTTGCATAGAGAATTATTTATTTTGATAGATAAAAGAAATGGAGATAAAAATCCATATAGATCAGTGCTTATTGCGCTTCATACTTACCAGTTACTACAACGGTTACAAACTTTGATCCAAAGTGTCCGTCGGGAGACAATCTGCACGGGCTGGTAAATCTGTTCTGGTAATCGGCTGCCATGATGCATTCCTCAGCACTCAAGAAGTGAGAATCCTCAATATGATAAGAATCATTATTAATTATTGCATAATGTTCTTAGAAAATATTTTTTTGTAACCATTGCAAATCTAAAAGCTATAATTATAAAACTGGAAAATAAAAATATGAATTGCCCATGTAAAGGTCATCTAAACAAGCACTAACCCTACAATTATAACATTTTTCTATAGTGTAAAGCCATTTTTAGCATTTTCATATGCTTGTCAAAAATGACAAAAATCCCAGACTAAATGAATTCAGAGACAAATATACATTTTCTGAAAGTACATTGGACAAGGTATCTTATGGTATGAAAAGAATTTGTTTTTATATTATGCATGTTGATATTGGCCTTGACCTTTACAGAGTGAGTAAAATTTTGAATTTCATTAATTGTCCAAACTTTCATTAAATCAAGTTTTTGAGATACTAGAACCAACATTCTTTCAGAAAATGACAAGTTATAATTACTTATATTTATATTGAAAATTGTATAATTATTATTTTTTTTCTCACTAGCTTCAAATTTCTGTCATATAAAGTACAAGGGTAAAGCACATAATCAGCTCAAAAATTCCTTCTCAATTGAAGATATTAAATCCATTTTTTTATATTAATTAATACTCCAGAACATATACAAATATAAATGTCTTTAGGATCCAATATGGGTCTTTTTCTGTTAGATTTCCACCCTTTCCCAAACAAATTTGTCTATAACAATATGACTAAGCTTAGGGATAAAATTGTAAATATCTGACTCTTAAGTGGCCATCAACACTAGAGCGAAGACTGTCATTGCTAGCATATGGAATATCTCTGAAATCATTGCCTTCATTTTAAAATATTTGAACTAATTCCAATAAAGAAATTCTGTGTTGATTTTGAAATCTAGAGGGTACCCTCTCCAGCATCAGACATTATGGTAAAAAAAAAAAATTGAGAAAATTCCACACCTGATTCACAAAACAAATCCTGATAAAAGCACATTAACACACAGATAATAACAGAAATAGGAAGCCAACTCATTGATACAGAGTTTCCCCTTAAATAATATACATTAAATCATTTGCATTTTTAATGAAGATTTTGCTAGCCCCTGATTATATCGGCCGTGACACCACAGAATGGGGTATAACGGCCAAAGATCAGCCAATATGACAGTTTTAGGGTCAAGTATAAAAAAGCACACGACTCAATTGTATTCACTCACGATATTGCCTCTGAAGTTCTTGACAGTTCCCTTCGATAGATCATCAGCTACAAGGTCTGTAAATATCCAGCCCACTGGTCTCAATCCCATCTTTTCAGCAGCAGCCACCACAAGTGCTTCTTTTGGGTCTGGTTTAAGTTCAATTTTATTTACTGTTGTTTGCTGAGTAAATAATAGAAAAAAGCTACAATTCAGCACGTACATATTTTCATAAACACATTTCTGAGGACATTTTGAATGCCCTGAAATTATGTCATTTAAAAGAGAAATTAGTTTTTGGTTAACTAAAAATGATAAAAATCATTAGAATCTTAGAAATGTAGCTTGGGGATTTATATATTATCTATATATAATGAGAGAATTCTTGATTATTTAGCAAAACAAAGATTAAGAGAAACTTTAGTAAAGATTAAATGATATTGGCACTAATTTATAACAATAATTACTATTTTAAGAAAGAAATTTTGCAATATCTTAATATCAATATCTTAAAACACATTGCATTGATAGCGATGGAGAGACTATGAAAGAAGTGCAACCAGAATTTTACTAAAATATTAAAAGTTTTGGCAAAGGGGAACTCTACGTTAGCATACAATATCCTAAAATTTGTAACCCACGAATTTTTCCAGACGTTCTTTCAGATTATATCAACATATCAGGACTTCATTCTCCATAAGTTCTTTCTATATTACTGAAACTGGTAAAAATGGCAACAGAACAATTGCAAGTGGTGGGAGTGATTAAATCTAACACTTAAAAAAAAATTAAATAGGTATGAAAGTTTGGTGGGTTACCTGTGGCGGTTCATAAATGGCAGCCACTCTGGCTCTGATACCCAGAGGTACATCTTTAAACATCTCATAGCGACCAAATAAAATGCCGAGGCGTTGGCATCCTGAGAAGCGCCAGTAATTAAGAAACCTGTCAGCGACTGCTGGATTTTCAAACATAATGTTGTCAACGTGCCTGTATTCCTGTGGATAAAGTGTCACAAAAAGTCTCATGAAAAAAGAAGACCCTATTGTATAAAAAAACAAGTAATTTTGTTCATTTGAACATGTCAACATTTCTTCATGTAAACACATCAAGTGAGTTGCAGTATGTCGCACTTCAAGAGCTAATGTAAAAAAAAAATTTTATGAAAAAATATTATGAAAGTATAAATTATCTTAAAGCACTGGTTGAAGTCTAAATATGCTCATAAAGGCTAACATAGATCATGAGAAAATTTAAGCATTAGTAGAATTATTTGCATGAAGAACAGAAACTTTTTATTGTGAATAAAAAAACATTGACTCAACACTCAATTATATCTAGCTTAACTTTGAGCAAAGCAATACACAGTATAAGTAATTGTTACAATGCAAAGACCAAGGCTGCTAGGAAATTTTTTATTCTAGTTTCACAATTCAAATAAATGAACTAACACAGCTATTATAATTTATAGACATTTTCTTCTTCTTCAATTCTCTCTTTCTCATCTTCATCCCTTCACAAAACATTTATCTTAACCACAAGCATTGTGCTGAATGTGTTTCCTAAAAAGCACATGAACATGGTTTTTACCATCTTACCTGCCTATTCAAAGTCACTGCACTTGGTTGACACTTAGTACAAATACCACCTGGCCAAGGTGGATGTTCCTTGCAGCCTGGCTTTATTTTACAACTCAAGTTTTCCAGGTTCACAAATTTCCCCCTGTATGACAAATGAAACTAATATACATTTTTAAATTACTTTTGTCCTACTGTAGATATTTTTTTTAAAGCTGTAATCAACACCATCTAATGCGTACGTTAAAATAATTCAAGGTATGGGTCATAATGCCTTCAGGAAAAATGTTATATCTTCAAAAAAACAAAAACTTATTAACAATTCATTTTTCAAGATGCAATAAAAATGACAAAGCCTAATTGGAGAAAGAAAGGAATGCTTCCGCATTGAATTCTTTGATGCGTGTTGGTGGGAACTGAAAACCATAGTGTAGTGTTACATCTAAAGATACATCTTATATACATGAATATTAATGTTCATTTTTTAAAATCTCACTAAGCATGCATTTCCCATTTAACTCATGCGTTGCCTGTTTAATTCATGTATTGCCCATTTAACTCAGGCAATGCTTTCTCCTCTCACAACAGTTACTTAAAAAATCAATAATTAACTTCTGGATAGAAAACATACAGAAAGTTTGTTTTTTAGGAGGTGCTCTCATAAAGACTTACTTGTCGACACCACCGGTAAGCTTTCTTATGTATGAGTGGAAAGACAAGAACTTTATTGGTGGATCACATTTGCTGAGAAACTCCTGATCATAAGGCTGTCCCCAAGAGAAGAAGATTGCATTGCATTGACACACATTAGTTGGGCATTTGCATTAAAAACAACAACTATACAGGGATATTTTATACATAACACCAACACTTTAATCTTTCTTCACATTTTAGTACATTGATCTAATTGTTTTATAGCCAAATAAGTCCTAGAACTGGTCAAGACAAAATGTTTACACAAAACCAGTTCAACTCAAACAAGTAGCTGCTTTACAAATAGGGCTGCCAAGTTTTGATTTTGATCTAGACAGCCCGGTATTTAAGCAAACTGTCTAAGAAAAAAAAAGACAAATGACATAATTTTGTAACTGCTTTAACGTTAATTGATTGTTATAAAATTTAAAAGACTATAAATACCTCGAGTGGAACACAATGGAGGCATTTACCTTGAGGCCCATGCCTACACCTAAGTATTAAAAAAGAAAATGTGAAGAATAAAGTCAAATATTTGGAGACATTCCTCAGTGCATCCCCAAGTATGCATCACAGCAAACAAAACAAATCTCCTTTATTGCATTTGTTGCTTTTGATTAGAATCTTTGGTTAACACATAAGTTGCTTTGATAACCTTTTAAATATATGGGGCCCACTTCTTAATAATTGTACACTAGTTGAGAAGCATTATTACAAGGAAAACATAGTTAAATCTAAAACTATAACCACTAATATTTGTGATCATAGGTAAATGATCTCCCAATATAATTGCTGCTCTTCTATGTGAGAAAAAATTGGTGACAATGATTTTATTATAAGTAGCGATTTAAAAATAAATAATTCTTTACAAGCTTCACATGTCAAACAGACTTAAAAAATAGGGTGACTTGTCTGTAATGCAGCACAGAACTTACAACTGCTCATTTCGGTTCCTATAAATTTTTCCATCTTCTTCCCTTAATAATCTGTCCACCTCATCTTCCACGACATCAGGCACTAGGCTAGCCAGACCTGTCTCACTGGATGTGTTTGTTGGGAAATCAGCTGCAGCTACAGCCGCTGCCGCCTCTGCCCTTGCTTTCTGGCTGAATTCTATGAACAGCATGTCTCCATGCCTGAGAGCAAGAAAGTGTTTGTACAGAGTCTAACTGAACCTGTCAACCAGCTTCCACTAATAACATATTTTATTTAAATTGGGAGTTAAAAATATTATTTGTTTTTAACAGAAAAAAACCCCCCACTAGATCTTATGAAGCCCTCTAAACTTTATACAATATATAATTATAGTCATTACACTTTGCAGTTGTTAGTAAAAGAAATGCATGTACAAATGCAACACATGGTTGACAAAGTGGGTAAAAATATTTCGTAGTTGTATCGCAAAGCAGCAGTTTTATAAAAACTTAATAAGCAGGACCACTTTTGATAAAATACGGGAGAATTAGGTTATTATTGCAGTGTATAATGAAATACCATTTAATCAGATTTATAAGCAGGTGTATAATTAAATACCATTTCATCAGATGGTGTATAATTAAATAGCATTTAATCAGATTTATTAGCAGGTGTATAATTAAATAGCATTTAATCAGATTTATAAGCAGGTGTATAATTAAATACCATTTCATCAGATGGTGTATAATTAAATACCATTAAATCAGATTTATTAGCAGGTGTATAATTAAATACCATTTAATCAGATTGATAAGTAGGTGTATAATTAAATAGCATTTAATCAGATTGATAAGCAGGTGCATAAAAAATTTTGGTACATACTTAATCTGGTAGTCACTTAGTTTTTTTGAGCGTGATGCACGCAGAAAGTTTTTTTTATTTCTTTCCTTGTATAGCTCCCATCCTGTATCTCCAAGAAAAAATAACTGTTGAACCTGAAATAAATGTTCATATGATTACAAACATATTCAAAATTGTAATTGTAAATTGTAATATTATGTGTGAAACAACTGAAAGGATCTCCAATAATATCAGTGTCATTTAATTCTGTTTATTAATTCTGTTACAAACCCGTTCAAGAAATGACGTCATAGTTTCAGAGCTCTGTGCATCAATTCGCTTGGTCCCGTGCTCTGGAGACTGTATACGAATAACCTGATGCATATAAAATACAAACAAATGTATTTAGTTAAATGAAAATAATTTATTAACTGATGTGAGGCAATTTATATTACAATTAGCAACAAGATAGGTTACACCTAAAACTTCGTTCAAAATGAAGTTCAAGGTGTTATAGGCCTAACAACACTGCAGTGGGTATAAAGTGCTCAAGTTACTAAAAGGAGAAGAGCTAAATGGAAGATGACATGGACATGGAAAAGGTAAATGGATAGAATGTTAAGGACACCCCAGCAGTCCACAGCATGAACCTTCAGCAGGCATCACACCTTGTGGTTAATCGCCAACTGTACCTTGTCGCGATGCTTCCCCGGTAAAAGCTGATAGTATAAGAAAAGATTAACACTATTTGATGCTTGCAAAAACAAAATATGCATCTTGTAGAAATGAAGAGAATAAAAATATATGCGCTACTTCCGTGATGTTCAACAATACATAGAGTATTGTAAAGAATCATGATGATTAATGCTAATAATCTAGAACCCTGTAAGTGAAAAGTTGTACATTATATTGACATTTGCTTTTGAGAGGAATAAACGAACATAATTCAAAGAAAATTATCAGGAATCTTAATAAAATTGAACATCAAAATATATAAATCCATTAAAGTTATTTATGTTTCATTCTCTGACCTAAACAAAAGTTTAGACCTCAACCAGAATTTGCCCTGGCCAATTGAATCAATAAAATGTCCTATATTCACAGCTTTTAGTTGCAAGAAACATTGGCTAATTTGCGATTGGCACAATTTGAGTTTCTGTGTAGGATTATATCCCTCGTGTTAATTCTTGGATTGTTACTAGAGTAACTCTTCTTTTTTTAAATACCAATACACCGATATTTTAAATTAATATTTCATTCAGTGTTTAATTATATTTTAAATGAGGTTAAATTTTTTGCCATTTTGGAAAATAGTTATTGATTTTTCAGACAACTTTTGGATTTCATTTTTAGTGGAACCTGCATTTAAGATTGTAAAAATGTATTCAAGAAAACTAAGTTTTTCAGCATTTTGAATATTTTAAAAATAATGTTAATATATTTTTTTTTTAATTTTTAAGTTTCTCACTACAGTACAGAGTGTAATTGTAGCACATGAACATGAGGTTTTATTGTACACATTAGAATAGATTTTAAAAGGGGGGGGGGGGGTGATTAAAATTAGGTGTAAATTTAAGCTTTAAAATTAGGTGTAAATTTAAGCTTAAGTAAGAGGGGACTAAATTTAGGGGTACATTTAGGCTTGAGTTATGCATCCTGATTTAGTATTTGGGTTAGATAGAGTAGGAGATTTTAGTATTGAAGGTATTTCTCAAAATTTTTTAAATTAAATTTTAACGTTTTGTTTTTCTCGGTAAGTAGCTAAAACAGCACATTCTCTTTTTTTTTCTTCTACGCATTTGAGCAGGCCATCTTGGTTGCCATGACACATCTGCTGTCAAGGCAACTAAGATGGCTGCCTTGGGAAATGAGTGGTGCACCAAATGTAAATTTACTGTAACATTGAGTAATTTTGTTTAAAAACTTGTTAATTGACAATAACATATAATAACAATTAAACATACGAAAGATTCAGTGGTTTCATGCAAAGTATTTTTAAATGGAATCTAAAGAAGCTACAGTGGCTATACTATAGCCAGTATAGGTAGTTGGTTAACTGGTTGACTTGAAATAATGTGGTAAGGGGGTGGGAGGGTTTTAAAATAAACTTAAAAATGACCAAACTTCCATATTCATTTCGGCAGCCTTGTAACTTTAATGATAAGATTAAAACACATTTGGGTAGTAACTAGTAATGTATTTCTGACTTTAGTTAGTGTCCAGAGGAGTCAGCTTATTAGGTAATCTACCACTTGAGCGTCGGCCAAGAAAAAATCCAGTTGTTTCGGTTGGAAGGGCTATTTACACAATTATTCTTATATTGGTGTTCATTAATGGTTTCGCACCTGTATAAAGTTATTTAGCTCAATTCAATACATTTAAATAATTATAACTATTAAGTTACTGATATGGCAGGAAGAAAAAGAGGAGAGACTACAATAGTGCCGATGCAAGAAGTGTTTGATACTGATTAGATATGAAACGAAGAAGTATGGCGGCTGTCCACACTACTGCCGAATTTGTCAGACCCTAATTCAGCACTACGATGGTGCATCAACGAAATTTTGTTAATCGAGATGATGCTGATGTCCACACACAGAATGTGGAAAACGTGGATCTTTTCCCTTCATATTTACATGAATTCATGTTCCGCAACCATTTTCGTGGAATTGTTATTTTTAAAAAACTTCATTGTTACCTTGGGGGAGAACTATGCATAATTTTATTTTCACTCATTAAATTGTTTAAATTCTTCTATTTAAAACAAAAATTGCATTTGAATAGTTTTAGTTTTTCTATTTTTAAAAATGTCTTGTGAATTTGTATTAATACTATTATAAATATTATTTATATGTGCTGGAATCCTGGAATGAATACATACTGTACATTTACTACAATCAATTTCATAAAAAATAATATAAGTATAAGAATTGAATAACTAAGTTGACTAAAGTCTAAAGCCTAGCCTAGCTCTAAAAGTAAAAGTGAAATCAGTCTTTAGTCTGTAGCTATACAAATACTATGCTGATAATACTGTAGAGTATACTTCATTATTAAAAAATTCAGTTGTGCATGCTGCATATAATTATAATAAGTTAATAAGGAATACATAATAGAAATAATGTTTAGTAGAGTTTTAAAAAAGTTAGGCCCCAGGCCTTTTTTGTAGTATTTATTAGCCTATTTATTTACCCGGTGCTAAATACTAAATATAGTGTGTTTTTTAATATCATTTTTTAATAAAATTTTATTTTTATTAATTTTTGTTTTGTTAAATAAAAGTAAAAAAATGTCAATAAAGATAAGTTTAATTTCTTTCTTATTCGTTAAATTACCAATTCTGGCATAATTTTGAATTAGTATTTCCACTGGGTACAAGAAGTTCACGCAATTATTAAAATTAATTTAACAATCTAAGTTTGGTTATAATGTTTTCCGTCCACCAGCAGATCACTCTCCAGTGATGAGGCAAATTTCAGCCATGAATGTTTGGGTATCGTTGACCTCCCGTCTTAGCGAGATTCAATTCAAACATATTTAATTGTTTAAGAGAAAAACGTACATATAAATTGTGAAAAAAATAAGTATTTGACTAATTGTAATAAATATTTGGTTGCATAAAAAAAGAAAAGCTACGAAAACTGATAGGTCAAGTAGCTCTCCTACTATGAAATATAATTTTCCTTGTGGTTGTTAATAGTAAACAACATGGCTGTCTCTAGGCCAATTGATATACAACTTCAAATGGAAAGTAAATATATACAAATGCAATATTTCTTCTTGAAATTATTAATATTAGGTTATATAATGTGACAATAATTTGTATGATTAAATGACATCTGATACATTTAATCTTAAATGTGAGACATAGTATAAGATAAGATTCGGTCTTTTATTGATCCAAAGCCAAACTTCAAACAAATTTGAAATGGAAACGTTTTTTTTTTTATTGCATTGTACATTTTCAGTACATAAATAAAACAATTTGAGCCCAAGACATCTACATTAAATTATTTCACTAGTAAAAAAAACAGCCGTTCAGTGAATTCTCTCAGGCATATCTGAGACACTTATTAGTTCTCATTAAGATTTGTGTCTTCAGGGGGAGCACGCTTGTAAGTTCACACAGATTGGGGAACAAAAGAATTTTTATATCTTTCAGTCCTCGTCTGAGAGGAAGAATTCATCCCAAATGGGCTAATCCTAAGTATCTGTCATGAGGGTGGGATGTATCATCCAAAATATGTGTAGTTTTACAATAACATCTTTCTTCAAATAAATCTTTAAGGGAAGGGTGTTAAGTTTGTGTTATGTGTTCCTAGTTTTCTTGATTAATCTGTTTATTCTATGTTTAATATCAGACAATGAATTCCCACATCAGCAGGTAATATTGAAATTAAGTAGGCTTTCAATTGTTGCACTGTAGAAGAAGTTAACCACTTGTTTGTTTACGCCGAAATTGTACGTTTTTTTTGAGGTAGAACAGTCTTTGGTTGAATTTCTTAAACAGCATTTGGCTGTGCTCATGCCATGTTAGCTTATTATTAATGGTGACACCTAAGTACTTATATAAGGTTGCAGATGTTTGAACAGTGGTGTACCAGTAGCAGGATTAGACTCAGTTTCAGTTAGACTAAGATTTAAAGAAGTCGGCACTATAGACAGAGAAACTGCTATAAAGCTAAGGACAAGGCCTTTTATTTGCTTTTTTAGATACTTAAATTTATTACTTATGCCATGAAAATGTGTGGCCATGGGGTGTGAGAGCTTGAAAAGGCCATATTAAATAACAGTTTTAAAAATGTGTCTAATATAGGCCTATTATAATTATAATATATATTTCTGTCCAGGCATCTTTTCAAGCTAAATCTACTATCGAGTACTATTGATTGTGGCTGATAGAATATGCTAATCAAGAGACAGAGGTGTTCTTGGCAACATTTAGAAATCTTCAGAATTATGAAGTTATATCTATGTCATTACATGACTCATGTACCTTATTATTTTTAATAATATAATTTTAAGGTGTTTACTATTGATATTTTACTATGTTAAAATCTAATGTATTGAAATGAATAGTTTATTATAACTTTTATTTCTTAGAGAATATGAATCCAAAACAACCATCAGGAGGCATTCAAGGAAGTTTTATGTATAGAGGAACTTTATTCCGACCTTCATCAGCCAACGTCTCTCTTCAGAGATGTGTGACTGAAACTGCATTACATGATAAAGATAAAAAAAATGGTGTCAGCCATATGAATGAAGATTTTTTACATGAAGTGGAAAGCAAGCATGCCATTTTATCTCTATTACCAAATCGAGCTCAGAGTGCGAAAGGAAGATTAGAAAGGGTACTTTCAAGTAGTCCAAAGATGTGTCCACCAGCTCTGAAACTCAGCGAAAAGACAAAATCAAAGTTGAATGTGTCCAAGAAACCCTCTGTTGTCCATTTAAATGAAATGACCAACATTTCCACACCAGAGACAGTGCTATTGACTCATAAAAAAGACAAAGTTAACACAGAATCTCAGAACAAAAAAAAAGAAAGAGCTTCTTCTGCAAAGTATAATGTGATTTTGCCAAAATCCATAGAAACTACAAACAAGAATATTATACAGCCACTTGTTAGTGGCCTTAATGTTAATAAAAGACTGTTGGGTGAACAACTAGACATTTCAAAAGCGTGGGCAAATATTGAAAAAGAATTTCCCTTTAAAGTGTGTACAGAGAGTGATAATTTTGAGAAGCAGATGAAAAAAATCAAATCAAATGAAAAGTAAGTAAATTTTTGTCCAGTGAAAGCATAATTTAAACTGAATGTGGACAATTGTTAATAAACGTAAACTGCATTTATTTTTTTAAAAATCATTTTAAATTATTAATTTCTTAAAATTAAAAAAAATGTTTTTTTAAATAAAAAACCGTTATCATAGTTCTGAAAATCTTGGATACATAGTTTTTAAATAAAGCCTTTAATTTCTTTGATTTCAAATACAGAGAATTACCTAAAACACTTGAACCTTTACTACAGTGGTCTGTTGAAAATGCTTGTGTTAATGTTATTGGACTGGATCCTGGTAAATGTTGGGTATTTCTCTCACAAACCTATGACAAAGATGATCTTCCAGAACTCCCAGCTTCACAGGGATCTGCTGAAAATCTACCATATACAGTTACTGTGGTCACTCCAAGAAAGAAGGTACACTACATAAGTAGAGCTTATTGGATGTTAATGCAAATACATGAGGGTGTCCTATTTGCGTCTTTTCTTTACCTAAAAAACTATTTTTTGCCATATTTTTAATCGTATTGATAATTTGGATTAAATACAAAGTCTTTTGAAAAATGAAGACTGACATACACTATTAGATCGGGTTTGATATCTGACAACTAATAGGATGGAGTGGATCTGTCACTATGGGTCACTGGCCATGTAAGCATGCATGAACAGCTTTGGAAATTTTCAGCACATGGAGAAGCAATCATTTTCAATATCGCATAGATTTACATTCGATCAAGATTTTGTCTCCATGATTTCATTAGTATTAAATCTATTCATGATTATTTGGGTAAAGATTCAGAGGAGACACCCAGGAGCTTATCAGAAAATTTGCAAGGCTGTTTTGAAATATAGTTAGTATGAACAGAACAATGTAGTGTAAAAACGTAAGTCATTAACTTGGCATTACGTTAATTAACTGATTTTGTCAAATATTTTGTAAAATTTGCTCAGCTTTTTGGTTACATTGGTTACATTTACAATCTTTTAGGTTACAAAGAGATATAAGCATCCATGTGTAAGTATTACATTATTTATTCATTATTCCACTGGTAGGTGTACATCAAAGCAGCGATAATTTAAAAAAATTGGTAAAAAGAAACCATGGAGGTATGGCAATGATGCATGATTTTTCTTCATAATATTTATTTCTTTTATCGTTTTCAATTTGTTTCATTGTGTGTAATATTTGTCAGCCGCTGAATACTTATCACCATTTCACCAGCTACTCTTAGTGTAACATTTCCATCTTACAATATCATAGTTTGAAAAAGAAATTCCAGAAATTGAAAGTGAAGACAAAGATAAAAGGGATGACAAGAATCCAAAGGTTAAAAAAATATTTAGGTATGTTTGATTGGTTTTTGCATGTACTCTTAGTCTTGGTAAAAATGCTCAATTTTTCTAATGTTGAGCCTGAAAGATTTTGAAATAATTTTGGGGCATGAAACTATTTGGAACAATAGATTTTAGTTATTAATAACTGTTTAATAATTTTATTAATGGGGTTTTCACAAGAATCCATCAACTACACGTGGTAGAGATCAAATAATCTTGGAAATCGAAGAGTTGGAGAATCTAATGAAAGGTTAAGGATTTTATATAATAATAGTCAATTTCATATCATTCTGGTTAGAATCTTTCGTAAAATAGAAAAATTATATTATAAAATCTAAATTTATCGTATCAATTTTTTCAAAGTTTAAAAAAAATTTAAATGCCTTAAGTTTTTCAGCACAAAATTACAACCTAAGATTTTGTTATCCTCCATTAAAATAAGTAAATAAATCACTTATTGTTTTGTCTTAACTAAAAAAGGATAACCTTATTGAAGCATTTAATACCAGGGAGAATGTTTTGATTATATAAATGTTTTAAAGATCTGAATCTAATCTTGAAACTTAAATATAACAATACTACCATGCCATTTAACAAAAGCATTATTCAAACTCATCCAATAGGCATTGGTTCTATAAATAGCACATGCTCTTTTGTGCAATTCCAAGATGAAATTAAAAGAGCCCAGACCTTAGCAAACAAGTTAATAAAGATTAATTATGTGTAAGTTCTTTATCTCATGTCATGTCAGCTAATTCTATTTCGTATCAATTTTAAATAACTTTTATTTTAACTTGATATGAAATTTCAAACAGGGTTTAGTTAGAAGAATTGAAAGAAAAAAAATGCTTTGATGATTCAGTTTACTTTTGGGCATTGAATAACTTTGAGGAACACCTATTTTAAGGGAAATAACACTAATTTAAGCATGATTTATATTTAGTTTAATTTTTATACAATTACTATTACGTTTATCGGTCATTTCAACTTGATTTATCCTTAATTTGATAATATTACTATTACATTTATCAGCTTTCTATTTTATATTTATTGACTTTCATTAGACACAAAGAACAAGTACCAATAATAAATGATTCTGTAAGTAAATTTTCAAATTTTTTTTTTTCGATGATTAAACTCTTAATTAAAATTGTCAGCTAATAAAATTTTTGGTACATAGTGTTGATTGTGCAAAGGTTACAATTTGCTCAGTAAAATTAAGAGATATTTCGGTAAAGGAATCTAATCATATAATGTAGACAAGGCAAACTGCTTGTTTTTGATATATGCCAATTACTAAATACAAAAGTGGTGAGTTGCAAATCAAATTTTTTTAATATATTGTATTCAGTTTGGTCTACTTAAAGTGTACAAGGAGCACGAGGAAATCATGAAAAGTTTGCATGCTAGAAGAAACCAATGCCTGGAAGAACTTAATAAGATGGAAGAACATTTAGAACCAGAATAAGGCTGTGAGGATAAATACAGCACTTTAGATGTAATTTTAGTATCTTCAAATGTGCAGTTCTTATTTAAAGTAATAAAAACATTTTTGCAATGGCGCCATATTCTTTATAACTTGGTTTTTGTGATACTTTTTTGCTAATGTATAATTGCATTTAATTTCATTCCATTGAGTACAAAGGCTTGATTTTTCTTTGCTTAATTCAGGCAAAGTAAACAGGTTTTAAAATGAGCCTTTATTATCCATGCATTGTCATAGGAATGCTAAATTCACATTCAGTTGCATGGTCCAATCTCCAAAATTTTATGACACTTTTAAGAATTTCCTTTAATTTTTTTTTTTTTCATTTGCCCCCCATTGTAGCATTTTTAAATAGGGATTTTCTGCATTTCTGGTAAATTTTCTTCAGAACAAGTCAATGAATAATTAAATTAATACATTTTAGTAAAAAATAATTGAACATTATATTCATTAAATTATTTTGAGAAGTTTATTTGATTACAAGATATTAATTTATAAAAGTATAAACATTTGATTAAATTGTAAATAAATCAATTTAAATGTACAATATAATAAATTAATAGTTAGTTTGTTAAATATTTTTATGTAAAGTTGTGATGTGCTGGAAACGGGCACTAAAGAAAAAAAAACTTTACCAACATAACAGAATGAAAAAAACAACATTCTTAAACAAAACAAAAGCTATAGTCGGTCAACCTATTCAGAATCAATACTTGGAGATCTCTGGTTATGTGTGGCCCATTCTTAAGTCTGGCCTCTGTCCAACAAACTCTGCATGCTCCTCTAAATTTGCTCTGTCAAATTTAAATAGGAGTTCATTTTGAAGTGAGGGTGGTAAGCCGGTCTCCTTGATTTTAGCTTCCCTGACCTGGCTAGGTTGTAGGGCGCTAGAAATAGCAACAAGTGTGAGTTGGAAGAGAGATGGAGGCAAGGACAAAAACTGGTCCAAGAAAGCAACACTTTCAGTGCAATTATCTCTGACCAGGAGATCTCTTAACCTCTCACGAGGCCTCAAATCAGACTTGAGCAGAAAGCAGTTTGCAACCAAATAGTTGGCGATGTCTTTGTCTCCACAAATCAGCGCCACATCAAGGGGTGATAACTGAAGATTAGCCAATGAATCGCAGAACTGTTTGGAGAAGCAATGGTATTTCTGAAGACACCTGGCGCACATGAGTGATGGAGCAGAGCCTTGGCTCACGCACAACTTGACAACTTTTCGTCTGTTATGTATAATCATCTTGGCCAAGGTGATATCACAATGGGAAGAGTGGACCTTGGCTGATCCAGCAGCCACAAGAGTCTCAATGCAGGAATATCCTTCCTCATTTAAATTAGACATCTTAAGCAACAAAGAAAGTGCAGTCTCCTTATTTCCTTTCTCAAACGCACCAACATCCGCACCTAATTCAATCAGTGTTTTTACCAATTGAGGGATTCTTGATCTTGCCGCAAACATTAGAGAAGAAAAACCATCTCTGTTCTGTTTGTTCACATCGGCACCTGACTCTGCCAGCATTTTCACCACTTTGACATCCGTGGCAAGAAGCAGGGCCGTGTTTCCGCTCTTCTCCTCTAAACCAACATCCGCCTTGTGGTCCAGAAGCAGCCTGACAGAGTCTGAGTAACTGTTCATTGCTGCATACATGAGAGCTGTAAAACCATCTTTAGCCTGCAGGTTGACCTCTGCTCTGTGCTCTAGAAGGGCCATCATTATTAATGTAAGCCCTCTTTGGGCGGCCAGCATGAGGGCCGTCTGCCCTGACCCATTTGCCTTGTTAACGTCTGCCCTGGCACCCAGCAGAAGCCTTGTTACATTTTCCCTGTTATACAGGGCGGCTTTGATCAACGGTGTAAACCCTTGGGCATCAGTGTCATTCACATCAGCTGCATTCTTTAACAGGACCGCCACAATTTCATCTTGCGTAAGCTCATCTTCATCACAAGACACACCAGAGCAAAATTTGATGAGGGCCGTTTGGCCATGCAAGCCTTTCTTGTTGACAGAGGCGCCTTTGCTTATCAGCATCTCAACCATTTCTCTCGTTGTCGCTTCCATCAAAACTGTTTCACCGCTGAACATCAAAGCATTCACATCCATGCCGCTCTCAATCAAGAATGGGGCTGCTTTGTAACTTAAGGCACACACAGCAGTAGACAAGACATTGGCATCAAAAAGGGAGACATCCTCATGTTCCAAAAGAAGCTTTAGTGATTCGCACTGATCTCTACTAGCAGCAACACTAAAGTCTATCATTGGGTTGATAGGAACTCCAAACGCAATTAACTGCCTTGCACATTCTATGTTGCCTTCCCCTAAAGCATAACTTAGTGCAGTGTTTCCGAATTCCCCAACTTGCTCTGCAACAACCCCATTCTCAATTAGAATCTTGATGACTTTACTGTGGCCATTTTTAGCAGCATGCATCAATGCATTCATTTTATCATTGTCCTTGACATTCACATCAGCACCAGCATTAATCAAAAACCGTACAATTTTGTCACATCCACAGGCAGCAGCCAGCAACAGTGGTTGAATGCCCTCAGCATCTTCTGCAACATTTTCATCCTCCTTTTCATGAATAGATTTAAAGATTTTTTTATCAATCTTACAAGATGTGTCCCAACCATTACGGAAGCCATGCCCAAGTGCCCTTTTCAGAATAGTCTCACTGTTGATGGACCCAGAATATACAAATCCGCATTTATGAAGAGCCTTCATCATGCCAACAGAATTTGTTTCTATTGCCTTTCTGACAGTCCAGTAGGGATGAAGGCAATACGCATGCATCAGCTGAACAAGACTGTTGATGTTTCTCTCTGTCGCAATGTCAAGTGCTGATTTGCCGGCTTTGTCTTTGATGTCAAGTCTAGCACCATGATGAAGTAGAAGCATGAGTGTATTAAGGTCACACTTTTGGATGCATATCATAGTCGGTGTTTGACCTGCACGGTTTCTTTCATCAATTGAAGCCCCTGAGTCCAGAATGTGCTGCACCAGCAAAATGTTGTGGCCTTTCTTCACCGCCAGCATTAATGCAGTGTCCCCATTGCACAATTTCCGCCTGACATCAGCACCCTTGCATATGAGAAATTTTGCAATATCAAAGTAACCATTTTCTACGGCCGCTATCAGCGGAGTCCCATATCTATAATCAATTCTATTCACATCCGTCCCCAGCTCAACTAAGAGTTGAACAAGTCCAATGTGACCCAAGAAGGCAGACTTTAACAAAGCCTCGCCGCGAACATTCTTAGAAGTAAGTTCAGTTTCCTCTTTACACTGGAGAAGTTCCGAAGCCGTTTTGAAGTCCCCGCATTTTACAGCATCCAGCAGTCTTCGCACAACTGGTTTTTCTTTCAGTCCTCTACTCGACCTCCTTGTGGGGGTCAGTGTCACCAGTGAACTCGACGGCTCCCCGCTCGTCGGCTCCTGTGTCTCAACAGGCATTGCTTTCGGCGACATCCATCTGCCCTGTCTAATGGCCATAGTAACATCCGAGGAAGCAGACTTTTTGGGCGAGTCACAACTTGCTACTACCTGGACTTTGTTCGACTTCTTTTTAAAATTATTTGGTGTCACCAGGTTAATCTTACGTCCCTTATGGGAACGTTTTTTTACTCCCCAAGTTCTTTTCTGTTCTGAATGCAACACCCTGAAACTAACAAATAATGAAATGTTTTAATTTTAATAGAATTAAATAGGGCTAAAATATAAAAAAATTAGACCTACTTGCTATGCTAGAAGCATGTTGACTGGAAAGCTCAAACAAAAATAAAGCTATTGATTCTGTGTTGCAAAGATACATAGAAGGTTCAGTTTCTTTTAAATTTAACTAGTTTGGGAAGCTAGCATGAGATGATGTGAAAATGTTACCCAAATCTGGCGCTTCTATGCATATTTATGAAAACACCTTTTTTGTGAATGAACACAAAGTCTGCTCACCCTTTAGTAGTGATATTCTCCCCTTTAAGCTTCTTGAGTGGCACTGTTGTGTGCGGCTTGTCCACTCGCTTACGTTTTTTCCCCATATTTTGTAGACAGAAAATCTGATAAAAAACCAAGAGCAAAAACTGATGAAAATGATCCTATTTATGAAATATTTGCATGTCTGAATTTATAGTTGAGGCAAAATTATTTTGTATTACCTAGTAAACCTAAAAAAATCCAAAGAATTGTTCAAAATAAGAGGCTTTTTTTGAAGTTTTAAAACTAATATAGTTGCTTGAGAAAATGGGGAATGACAAAAAAAACAGCAAAGACATTGAAGGCATGCCATCAAAGATAATGGGAATCAGCAATGGAGAACAATTTTTATTACTATAATATTAATATATATATTCATTTAGTATAACTGTAATAAACAAATGTCTTTGAGTTCAAAATAATTAGTTTATTTTCTCTAAAAGTATGGATTGATGTGTAGAAATGCATTATATTTTAACTAATGATAGATACATATTCTAAGATAATACCAGAAAATAAATTTTATTTTTTAAAATTTTGTGCCATGATAAAGAAAAGTACATGTAACAAAATCAGTTACTTTAATTTAACTTTTAACAAATATATTTCTAATAACAAATCTGAACATTATGAAAATGAAAAAGCTGCCAGGTATGTCAAATCTTTAATTTAACTTTTAACAAATATATTTCTAATAACAAATCTAATAACAAATCTGAACATTATGAAAATGAAAAAGCTGCCAGGTATGTCAAATCTTCAATTTTTCAGTCAATTCTCCCAAGTTAAAAAAAAAATTCAACCTTTCAAAAAGTCATTTGTCCCGGCTCATTTTAATTTTTTCCCTGTTTCAATCTAAGTTTGATAGAAATTAATTTGTCCTAGGTTAGAGGGTCATTTACACATTGTCAGTATCAGAAATTGGTGGGTACCGAATCCCATTTTTTATGTAACTAAGCTTAAATTGTCTGGTTAAGACTCTCATGTTCTATAAGCTTAGATTAAATAACCTGTGTTTATTTATGAATGAGATTTACATGTAGCCTAAATTTGAGGCCTCTTTAAATATTGAGCATGTGTTCTGTATGTAATCTATAACCCATATCCGACTTTAGAATTAATAATAGTAATTATAAATAAATTATAGACTTAACGGTCAATAATCTTCTCATGACTATAATTAATACCCCATTGCTAATGGAGAGAAGCAGCATATCCCTCCATGGGTTTTAGCCCCACTGATGATAATAAATAAACATTAACCCAAGGGCAGCCAGCCCTTCGCGCCCCCCCCCCCCCCCCCCCCCCCCCCCCCCCCCCCTGGTGATAGTTCCTGATCCTGTTTTCAACCCTTAACATTAATTAATGGTTAGCTTAGCCAACCTATATAATAATAATATAATTTTAAAATAATAATTGGCTATGAAAAAGTATGAATTACCTAGAGTAAAATAGAACTAATATGACAAATCAAAAATATATTATTACTAATGCCCAGGAGATTCATAATCATTTTTGGCCAACTGCTGAGGAGGGTTTTTTTGGGTGGAAGGGGTGAGGTAAAAATCTTGGTCACACAGGCAGCACTAATGTGAGGTGCCCTAGCTATGCCCCTATCCCAACCCAGTGGTATCTGTAGTTACAAAAATATTAATAAGGTAAGTTAAATCTAAATATTAGCGAAATAAATAGTCATATATGACCCAGGATTCCACATAACATAAAATTAAAAGTCAAGTCAAAACCTTGAAGCTGAAAATAATATTCAAATTTTAATAATAATATAAATATAACTTAAGTCCTACGCAGCCTATGACTATAATACTCCATCATACTCTATGCCTACTAAATAGTGTACCATTAAAATTGAATACCTACTTCATGTATAAGAATAAGAAGGCAAGGCAATTTAATCTAACCTACTAACTAACGTTTAAAACATAAAGTCAAGTCCAAGTCATTAAATAAAGTTAAAGAGTGAGTGTGAAAACTGGTATATTGTAGTGGGTATCTCAGATTGAGATATCCTCAGTAACCTGTTACAGTAGCAGTAGTAGTTGAGCAGTATAGTAAGAAGTTTAAAGAAGAAGACTAAGCCTTTCTCATTTCTGTTAGAGTAGTCTAAGTCTCACTAACTCTGGATGGACTTTTTTAAACAGGAACTCTCGTACTCGTAGTGTAGTAGTCTTAGTAAAATGTCTAATGTCAAATGTAAAAATCAAGGGAGTGAAAGTCAAGTTCACCAGTATTTGTTATTTGGCAGTTGACTTGACACTCTCACTCACTTTTTTTTGTTGGTCTTTTTACTTTTTAGTTGACTTGACTTTGAGTACTTGGACTTACTTTAATTTCTTACACTTCACTACTTCACTACTAACTTAAACTAAGACTAAGACTAAGTCACTAAGCCAAGTGTGACTTCAAGTGTGTAACAAGGCCAGTTGCATTGAATTGATAACAACACATTCATTTAACATTGCGATCAAGAATTAACTGGACAAAATAAGTGAATTTTATAAAAAGCTGGAACAACCTGCTAATAAATAAATAAAGTAGAGTAGATTCTAATTCTAATACTGTTACCGTTACTGTTTAACGTTCACCTGTTTTCGTATTTTTAGAATCGGGAATTTTAAATGCTACCCAAGTTTATTTCCCTTTCTTTCATTTATGAACCGTTTTCCGGTTTTAGTCTCACGAAATAAGGGGTGGGGCTGGTAGCAAGAAGGGATGGCATGGGAAACTACTCTGAAAAATTAGAGTATGGCAAAATTAAAAGAAATAGCATCTCAGTTATTGATTGATATCATCATTAATTATTAATAATAATATTAAAAAAATAGACCTAGGCATTTGTATTATTATATGAGGCCAGTAAGGTCAGTTTGTGATAAAGAGAGTCTCACATATGTGAATTGTAAGCATGTCTTCAACAACTCAGCGCTTATCTTTTGTGAACAAAGTGAGTTGTGTAGGGCCTACTTTTTTTTACTCAAATAAACACTAACACTAACATAATTTGGCAATCCTCCGAAGTCCGGTCCCAAATTATTTCGTATGAAAAAAATGCAATGCATGGCGTGTATTGTTAGAAAACAGCAGAAATGTCAGTCATAGCTTTTGCAAATAGCTGTCACTTTACAAACCAGTCACTTCAAAATACTAAATATTGTAATTGGCGCATATCACTTGCAATTGCAAATAGCTGAAAACGTTCTGCTTGCGCCACTGAAAGGCCCCCAAGTAGCTGTAAAACATACCGCAACTAGTACCACTCTGATAACGGAGTTTACGTTTCGCTTGCATCCAAAGTCCTTCAATAGTTTATGTGTGAATGTCTTGGTCTACTGGATCAACAAATTCACGCGCGTGTACAATGACAGCGTGAACATAAATCCCGTTGTTGAGCTGACCGACATTTTGATATCCTCGCCAAGCATCCGTGATGATAGTTGTCCCTGGTAACACATGATTAGTGATAATGTGCTGAGTGTTTGTGCTTCTCAACGGCCAACAACCTCCATCCAACATCGTCCTCTACCGCAAACATTCATTTCAGAACAAAATGATGCCTAAGACTTTTAAGTAAGGAGTAATCATTGGAAATAATTTGGGACCGGACTTCGTAAGATTGCCCATAATTTTCCTGTTTTGATTTTTAAAAACTACTCAAATAAACCCACCAAGGCCATTTCATCAAATGTACATCCCTATGGCCCCAAAAATTCCATTTATGACCATGAATGCATAAGATATCAAGGCCATTAAGGGATAAATGATGGGGACATTTGATAAATATGCTGATTGATGCGCTAAATTCAATCCTCTTTGTAGCAATCATCTATTCTCTACTTAGAAGGTAGAACTAATGTTCTGCAGTTTCACATTCCTGACATACTGCATCATATGTACACATCAATTAATATTGTGGCTCTTTTAAAAGCTGCTTTCTTATTATTATCTTGTGCGTGGATATCTTACATGATCCAGTTAGCTCCATTTTTTGTTTCAAAGTTTAAAAAATAGGCCTATATGAATGTTCCAAAAATTTATAACTAAAGAAAGTTATTTATCTTTCATAAAATTTTTATATTTATATTTGAAAAATCTTTTCTTTAAGCATTTATTTAATAATATGTTTACTAAAATTTTTTTTCAGATAAGTCTTATTCTTAAAGCTACTTCAGATGATGAGAATCAAACGCCAGGTTACATGTACAAAGAAATAATGGGTTAGTTATTAAACCCGACATTCATACAAAAAATTTCATTATGAAATGCGTATAAAAGATCATTTATGTTGTTATTTGCTAGTAAGTGGCATTTGTGTTATTGATATTTTATAAAGCTATAGTTGTTGTTGTTCGTCCGTCAAAGTTGACAAGGACCATCGAATCATCCGGTTAGGGGCGGGCGAGGGGGTTGGGATTACGGTGAGCTCTTAGGTGGCTTGTTAGACCGATCCTTGCTCGGAATAATCTATGACACCGTGGGCATGGAATAGTTGCTTCAGACGATGACCTAATGTTGCTCTTTCGGACAAGCCTGCGTGTCTCAGCTGTGGTTATTCTATTAGCTTCATGGGATTTAGCCCCCTTCTTGACAGCAGCTCTCCACCTGGCTCTGTCCTGGGCTGTCCGCACCCATTGAGTAGGGTTTATGCTGAAGGCCTTTAGTGCCACTTTCAGTGAGTCTTTGTAACGCTTTTTTGGCCTCCTTGGGAGCGCTTGCCTATCGTGAGTTCTCCGAAGAATAATTGTTTCGGGAGCCGGTGGTCTGCCATACGGGCTACGTGTCCCATCCAACGGAGCTGAGACTGCATCAGATTACATTTGAACAACATGCAACCCACTACTATGTGACTTCTGATGCAAACAAATTTTGGTGCATTCATTTGCAAATGAAAATTTAGGTTTTGCAAAGTATGTGTAAAATAGTACAAAAATAAACATTCTCTTACAATTCAATAAAAAAATCAACAGCACACAGCTCACTAAGATACGAAAACAAACAAAATCAACTATCTTTCTACATTTTTGTAATCCCAAAAGTTTTTAACACTTCACATTAACTTAAAATGACTGTAGAGCCATCGTTAATGATGATCTACTGGTTTTTATGTTTATTTCACAGATATCACCTTTGACCCCATTGGTTATAGCGATAGCCTCATTGAATTTCTGGTTGATCGTCTTAAAAGCAAGTCGTGCCATGTCAAGTTTAAAGTAAGTTGCTTTATTGTTTTTAAGTAATTTTTCAAAGTGATATGTATAAGAATGGATGATTATTGCAATGTTATATCTGGCTGATTGGATGATTATTCCAATGTTATGGCTTTGCTGATAATTTCAGAACTACAATTGGAAAGTTTCAAATAAATAGCAATTTTAAAGGTTCAAATTTATATATTATTGTAAAGAATTTAGATTTTAAATATTCCAAAACTATATTTACAAATATTTTAAGAAAACTACCTGTGAAAATCACTTGATAATGTACAGCTACATCTAAACCTGGCGCCCACTTTGCCTTATGGATAATCCATCCCTGAAAAAAGTATACATAGTGTATTTCTTTCAAAAGTCAGTAATTCTATAAACTGATGCAAAAATCAATAAAAGTGTTGATGGATTGGCCCTTCAGGCCGTGGTAAAGTCTTCTTTGGTTGTTCTGTGTCTTCAGAGTTTCTGTAATTGGGCAATCATGGAAGATAGCTAAGGCATATACTCTGTAGAGCTGCATAGTGTAAGTGGTGGTATGTCTCTCTACAATACAGTTAGTTTTCTATCTTGTTTTATAAAATAAAACGACCTGTGTGCAGGCATATAAGATATGACCCTTGTGCATGACCCTTGTGCAGGCATATAAGATATGACCTGTGTGCAGGCATGTAAGATATGACCTGTGTGCAGGCATATAAGATGTGACCTGTGTGCAGGCATATAAGATGTGACCTGTGTGCAGGCATATAAGATATGACCCGTGTGCTGGCATATAAGATATGACCTGTGTGTAGGGATATAAGATATGACCTGTGTGCAGGCATATAAGATATGACCTATGTGCAGGCATATAAGATATGACCTGTGTGCAGACACATAAGATATGACCTGTGTGCTGGCATGTAAGATATGACTCATTTGCAGGCATATAATTACATGTCATATAAGAGGAAAATTTAAAAAATTATCTATTGTTAATATTTTCATTGTTCTGTCAGGTCTTGAAATTGATGAAACATTTGTTAGACGATGGTAGTAAGGATTTCCAGACTGGTCTTCGAAGACATTCTGATACAGTAAAGGAATACACAAGTAATTTTCTGGAATTTAAATAAAAAAATAAATTTGGTGAAATATCACATTTAAAAAAGTATATAGCTAATTTAACATAAGTTTTAAATGTATAATTAAAAAAATATTTTGGAACCGTCTATTTCGTTCCATTTTGTTTCATGGTAGTGTCAAATTTTATTGTTAAACCATTTTTGTACATCACATCATCAAAAAAGTTGATTTCTAGTTAACATGCACTGTACATTTATTTTAATAATATATTTGAAACAGAAAAATGAAACTCTTTTGTATATTTTGGGTGCACAGGATTTTAAAATAAGATGTTGGCACACATGAGCAAAGGAATTAGAGACCACCCGACAAAAAATATAATCACATACATGGAAAATTGTGTTATGCAAAAAGCCTTCTTTAATGGCCAAGATCAAGTGAAAAATAAAAATAATCTTATGCTGTCTGGATTTTGAGGGAAAACTGAACTGTGGTGATTCTGAGTCAGAAATTAATAGAGAAAAAATCCTAAACAGGCTGAACAAATCTGAAATGTAAAAAACCATGTACAAATTAATGTATCACTGGACATCTTTATAATCAACATCACATAATGAGTTCATAACAGCCTTGCTAAACATATAAACCCTTTCCTCGGCAACTGGGTGTAATACACCCAGAGACAGACTGTTATTGCTGATATCTCAAATCTCCTTTCAATAATCTTTCTGGTACTTGACCTAATCCACAAGGTAGTTAGAATGAACACCCTGGTGGATGCATTTGTATAAAGTATGAGATAGAGGCTTATTTTTGGGGGGCTAGTCTTTTTTTCTTCCATCACTGGCAACTGGGTGTAACACACACGTGCATAATTTAATAGAAGAAAAAAAACCTTCTAAACTGTCTTGTGAACACTTTGGTTTGGTGGTTGTTTGTTGATTATTGGAGTCTATGCAATCCCTAAAATGGATTTCAAATTTTGACAATATATACATAAATATTCTGAATGCATTTGGGTAACAACAATCATAGCATGTATTAACTTGACAAACCGTTTCAAAGCTGGACAGTCACATGTACTCATGGAAAATAGGGACTTTGCAGCTCAGCTGGCACAGTTTTTTCACAATGCTCTTTGCAAATATGTCTAATAAATTATCTGAGTTGAAGTAGTTTGGGCAGCTGTCTGAAGTGTTTGTAAAGATTTCAAAACACTGGCAATGTTCTGCCTCAAAATATCTTGATGCGTTGGGACGGATGGACTCTACCTTCACGTCAATATTGACTGTCTGTTGTCTTCATGAGACAGTAAGTTAGTCAGATATTCTATTTAAATGCCACTCCTGCTGCAATTGATGCCAAGTCAACAATGTTTAAAAAAAACAAACCAAGGGCCATCTTTTACTTTTTTGCATCCACAGAGAACACCTTCGCAATTTTGTCCACGGTGAATATGACTCCTTTGATTTTGTTGTTATAGAGCACACTCTCTGGTTTCTTGCATTCGGTTTCACTTTCTATATCTGGACGAATGTGTTCATGAGCAATACATTTTTCTGCTTCAAACTCTGTTATTTGACAAGGTTGTTTGTGGTCTGAACAAAACCACAGATTTGTTGAGGGCCAGAGTCTTCTATTGCTTGAATCCCTTGGGTCGGAAATCTTGTTCCGTTTCACTGTTCCAACTGGGGTCAGTCTGTTCTTGGCCATTGGTTCTGCAAGTTGTTGGGGAATGAAATAATAGTCTTTTCTGAAATTGCAGCCGTTTCCATGGAAGTCCCTTGTGATGGAGATCACAGTCTCTGAGGATATTCCAACATTTCTCTTTGCCGGCAGGGCACTTGCATTTTCTTTGCCAAGATATGGGCAGGCTCTCAGAGGATAGCTTGAAGATGATTCACAGGCCCAGGAGATTTTTATTCCATAATTTGTCGGGCTTGCTTAGCATATATTGAATAAATCTGCAACAACCAGTTGTTCACCTACTATGATGTTCTCTCCAGGAACATAATGCCTCGCCAAATTACTCTGGAAAGCTTCTCATATACTATCTCTTATTGCAGGCCTGCACAACTCAAAATGTAAGGTGGGCCATAATACTTTATGAAAAACTCGTGCAGGCCAAAAGAAAAAAAGACAAGGGGAAAGCTATTAAGAAAATAATAATAAAAAAGAATATTTTGTTACTTCGCGGGCCGCAAAGGGGGTGCTGGCGGGCCGTATGTTTTGCAGGCCTGTCTTGTTGGATCAAAGATGTCACGAGCCAGAAAGGATTGATCTATATCAAATATGACTCAGAAGTTTGCTGAATCTCTTCATTGAAATTGCTGTCCCAAATAGAGGATTTCCAACAGGGCTGAATAAAAATTCCATTGAAATGCTGTTGAGGTGAAGAGCACCGTGTTTAGTATGCAACCAATAAAAGCTTTCATTTAGATAGCATCAGTCCCTTGACATTTGCCTGCTTTTTACTTTTTCATCTCCCCTGTTGGTGCAGTCAACTATTGTTTGTATCATTTTTCATTAATGTACAGAAGAAATGTTTCAGTGGGAGAAACTATATGATCCGTGAACGGAGTTTGGTTTCAAGGCAACTAAATCATGCCACTGCCACATTGTAAAAAAGAAAATTACAAAACGAGAGCAATTTACTGTGTTAAAAGACTATGGGTGTAACCTACCCATTTGCCCGGAATGGCCTGAAACACTTTTTCCCATTACAATGAGTGTACGGGTGTGCTACACCCAGTCGCCATGGACAGGGTATACAATATGTTGCCGTGGAAAGAGCTAAACCATGTGTGTTATTTGTTACATAAGGATGAAATAATTTTCAGAGTATGGAGGGCCTCCTCATCCGATGCATGGCAATGTTCCATATCTATCCATTCGAAAATTAGCAAAGGTAAGAGAATGATAACAATTTAAATTTTTAAAATTTTAAAAAAAATTTGTATTTTTATTATTTAACTCAGTGCAAGTTAACCAGTTACATAAACTGCATAACCTCAGAAAAATAATATTGTTAATACATAATGGGGATTCTGCTGGCATTAAGGATGTAGATTGAATTATATGGGCCAATATTTACATCTAAATATTTTTTAACGGTTATTTTCTTGTTGTTTCTTTTGGTTCAAAACATAATCAAATTTATTTGACACATTATTATGTTCTAAGGAAGTCTGTGAAACATTATACAGTCAGGAGTATATAAATGCCAAGTCTCCTTCAGATGCCACAGGGTCAGATAGACCTGCTGAGTTTAAATATGGTACACACTCCTTTTTTTTTCTTCTTCTTTTTTTTTTTTTTTCTCCCGTTTTTTTTTTTTTTTTTTTTATTTTATGGGGTGGGTGGGTGTATTTTAAAAACTTAAAGGTATAAAAATAATGTTTAAAAAACTCTTACTTTTCTTAAATTAAAAAATAATTGTCGCTTTGCGAGCTTTCATCTTTTTCAAAATAAAGTTTTTTTAAAGTTTGAGTGTGCTAAAACTTTGCTATACTATTAAAAGATACTTTTATATTTAAGGTGGACTTGGTCCTGTAAGAACGGGGGGTGCAATTCAAGGATTTGGTAACACTCCAAGTAATCAGCCAAGTAAGTTGAATGTTTTTTTAAAATGTTGTTTTACACGGAACTGAAATAATTCTGAATGATTTAGCTTTCTCTCAATGGCCAGCCTAAAATATATATTTTTTGTAATAGTATTTTCAATTATTAAACTAATCCCAGTGAAAAGGGCTACTTTTTTGTATTGGCTTTATTGATTTGCCAGGTTCCATGAGCAAGCTGTGATTTTGAGCTGATACTTTATACTGTGTGTTATATTTCACATCCACTTTAAACGGGGTTCATTGATGCTGATTTCTAAGCTAGAGAAATACTTAAGATGTCTTGTATTGTATTTTTATTGTTAAAATTGTAAAATATTGTCTTGGTTTAAATATTTATTTATTTATGTGCTGAAAATGAATATGTACAATGTAACAAAAAACACTTTCGTTTATTTGAACAAATAAAAGAATCTTATCTATCTATTAATTTTTATAATTGTACCCAAAACACATTAACGTAGTGCTAAACTAGGTTTTTAAAATTATTTATAAATTTTTGTTAGTATTTGCTCCGCTAATTTTTCTCATGATCAAGAATTTAGCGGGTCTAAATCCAGTTCAGCTGAATGAACCAATGAATTATGGTACAAGTTATTTTATTTCCTATCTTTTAGACATTCTAATGGTTTTAAAAATTAGATTTCTCCTTAAAATAATCAAGTTTATGTTGTTTGTGTTTTTTTAAAATTATTTATACAGAAGGAATTGGGGAAACCATTCTTGATGGTATTGAAAAATTTGGTGCCAAGATCTCAGAAACAGCAGCTGACCGCCAAGCAGCACTCCTGGCAAAGCTGGACCTTGGCAGTTCGGTCAGCAACTATCAGCCCCCTGTGGTCATGTGTGGCCAAGGAGAATCCCATCTTCTGCTTTCCCCAGAAGAAAATACAACTTCAGTGATCACTAAAAGTACTTTTAGATCTGGTAGGTTGGTGCAGTCATATCAAATATCCATCTCTCTGTTTTTTTTAAATATTTAAACATACAAAGTGTACATATTTCTCTTCTCTAGAAACATCGGATTTACTAAAATGTTTTCTCTTACTACTATTATATGGAGAGATCTCATTTTCTTACAACCATGAGGTGGATGTAATTCCTTTTCTTACAACCACCATTCTCATCGAATATAGAGATATGTCGTTCCTATTGTAATTGTATTGATTTTTATGGGGTACCTAAAACAAAAATAAAAAAATTAGGATTTCCTCAGCAGAAGTAACTTTAATGTGTTTATATTATTTTACCACAATTAACCTAACTGGGTGGCTCTGTCAGATGTCTATACAAAGAAAAAATATCTTCAATGAGTTTTTAAAAATATATCTCAAACATTTATGTCGTTTCAGTCAAAAAACATGAACCTGGAAAAGCTGGAGGGGGTTGGGGGGATGACGAGGATGATGAAACCGATTGTGGAGATGACTTTAAGGTCAATGATAATAGTTCAAAGCAGCAGAGCATGGACACAGATAGTCTGTTGGACCCAAGTATGAGGTTGATACCATTGTTTTCTATGTTGTTGATACCATTGTTTTCTATGTGGTTGATACCATTGTTTTCTATGTGGTTGATACTATTGTTTTCTATGTGGAATATACCATTATATTCTATGTGGTTTATACCATTGGTTTCTATGTGGAATATACCATTATTTTCTATGTGGTTTATACCATTGTTTTCAATGTGGAATATACCATTATTCTTTATGTGGTTTATACCATTGGTTTCTATGTCTGTACATTTGATACCTAAGGATACTTGAATTTGAAATTTCCGCTACGGTCACATTATATTTGTCCTCCACTCCCATTAAATAGTTGGCATCATGCCAAGTTTCACTATAAGAAAACAAGAGAATTTTTTTTTTTTAAATTTTAAGACATGTATTTCAATCATTTGCTCAGCTGCGTGGAGATTTGGAAATAAATTTTTAAAAAATCATTGTTAGTGGTTCAAAGAAAAAGGGCCACATGGCCCTGACGTGTTGGACATCCCGGATGGACCAAATGATGACGCATTCTTAAAATGTACTTTAATTTCATGACATGTCAAAGCTGCAGAACTTGAATTGCTTGGTGCACTGAATATATTGACGACAAATATATAGTGCTTACCATTTACTGACTCAAGTCTTTAACCTGTGGTTTCTGGTTATGCAGTCATCACCACAGTAGTTTAGTGGTGCCCACGTGAATTAGAGATGCTGTCAATGATAAAATTTGACCATTTTTATGGTATATGATTGGTCAGTTAAAAAATTCAACCCAACATTGCCACAGTGGTTTTTTTGTGTGTTTTTTGTTGGTTTTGTTAGTTGGTTTTGTTTTTTTAAAGCAATCGTTTGAAATTTTCTAATTTTTCCAACTCCTTGAAAGGTTACAACCTGAAGCCGACTGGCAAGAAGAATCTGATTTTGTGGCCTGTGTACTCAGACAGGGCTCTACGGGTGCAGGGCAAGCCTACCTGTCCCCATCAGACGTAACAGCATTTTTGACCAGGTGCAGCTCTCTCAGCTGTGATGCAGTGCTGAATATACTGGTGTCAAAATTAGCCAGCAGAGACGTCGGAGTTGTCATTGTAAGACATTTGTCACTGCTTCATCACAGATACATACATTCTGATATGTTGGGTATACATACATTCTGATATATTGGGTATGCAGGTCAATGCTTATGTTATTTAGAGTCAAGAGTGCTCTGCCTCTCCTTACAAGTAACAAAAAATTGTTGGGTTCATAGAGCAGTCTTATTTAAAACAAAACTGCCAGTTTTCCTCCAAGCTTTATTGTGGAAGAATATCAATTGCTATTTTTAGAATATGACCACAAGGAGACAAAGAGTCCAAGCTTTGAGGAATCCAAACTATAAGTATAATGTACTTCATAATGAAATTAACAGGTACAAAAACCAACAAAAGTGTGGTCACTAATGCCGATGGGGGATCATACTCAACATGTATAGGCATACTCACTGGCGTAGGAAGGGTGGGGCAGAGGTGGTTGGGGAGGGGTCAGCCCCCTGGCAACACTTTTCTCTGCATAGCCAGGGTCTGTATTTTCGGCCAACCGAAGTCTTTTATTGAGTGGGGGGGGGGGGGAAATCTTGGCCCGCCTCGTGTGGTACTAACCCTCCCTACTCCACTGTGCATGGTGCAAGAACATTTATTTTTTTTTTTTAAAACATTTAAATTTTGCCCAATTGATTGTCCCTTCAATTACCCCAAACATTTGTTCTTTGGCCTCTTTAATGTTAATTTTATGATTGGCCGGTGAGTAGTATATTAAAATATTGTGCAATATCTTGAGAGTGAACAGTGAGCTAGATCAGATTTTGAGAGTGAACAGTGAGCTAGATCAGATTTTGAGAGTGAACAGTGAGCTAGATCAGATTTTGAGAGTGAACAGTGAGCTAGAGCAGATTTTGAGAGTAAGCAGTGAGCTAGAGCAGATTTTGAGAGTGAACAGTGAGCTAGAGCAGATTTTGAGAGTGAACAGTGAGCTAGATCAGATTTTGAGAGTGAACAGTGAGCTAGAGCAGATTTTGAGAGTGAACAGTGAGCTAGAGCAGATTTTGAGAGTAAGCAGTGAGCTAGAGCAAATTTTGAGAGTGAGCAGTGAGCTAGAGCAGATTTTGAGAGTGAACAGTGAGCTAGATCAGATTTTGAGAGTGAACAGTGAGCTAAAGCAGATTTTGAGAGTGAACAGTGAGCTATAGCAGATTTTGAGAGTGAACAGTGAGCTAGAGCAGATTTTGAGAGTCTACAGATCAATTCATTATGCTCTTGTCCATTCCATTCAGAGAACTCTGCAGTTGCTTGAGGGAATGATTTACAACAAAGAAGAGCTGATTAGCATAGACTGCCTGACCGCCCTGTGCAAGGAAGCTCTAGTTGCATGCTTGACCTCCTCCCAAGCAGTGTCGCAGACTGTCATTGCCACCCCTGGTGAAGGGGGCGGAAAACAAGTCGCAAACAACAACTTGTGGCTTTCTGCCCAGACTAAACTCACCAAAGTCATTCTTACCCTACAGCAGTTGTCATCACACAAAGAAATTCTTCCAACAGATAAATTGAAAGATTTAACAATTATAAGGGTGTGAGACATTTCTGTTGTGTAAAATGATACAGAAAATTTCCTTGTGGAAGTTAATTTAAGCTTGACAAGAAGCTGTGATTTTTGTGTTCAATAAGGAACATATCTTTGCGGTTGTGTGTGAGAGAGATATATATATACTCATCCTGAGTAGTCCTTTGCCACTTTGCTTTAATATCTCATATGACGTAAGTCAATATGCAGTGCTTCCAGTTATAGGATTCAAATAATTGAACAACTGGTTTGCTGCCCCAAGGACCATTCCAAGTATGGAAAGGGGTAATAAGGGGAGAGACTGCAATCAGGTATGGAAAGCAGCTCATCCCAGGTTGTTTGTTATTTCATGGGGTACATTCTTAAATAAGAACAAACAAAAAAGAGGCACAAAGAACTACACTATCTTATAAGGAAGATGACCACTAAGAGAGTTTGGAATGCAAATTTGTGATTTCATAATGCCCTGGCACCAAACCTTAGAATGCCATAACAGAGAGTGTTGAGTCGTATCAGACTTTGGTTACCTAGATGTATGGCAGTTACATCTCAAAATGGCACCTGCAGTGGGAAGATTCAAATGAAGTCAGGCTTTAGGGAGTTTTTAAATTATTATTTATTTTGGGTGGAGGGGGCGACATTTTGGGACAAGCAATATTATAATACTGGGTATTACAAATATTTGTAAAGAAACCAAAGTAAGTTCTATGACTTTCAAAAACTTCATTTAAATATTTTTTTTATACTGTACATAAATTGTGTGGTTAGGAAATGTTTTATATTTGGCAGAGAGTGCCAACAGAACTTGTTCTGTTGATATCCTAATGACGGAAAGCATATCTGGCCAGAGAGTAAGCCCACGGAACTTATTCTGTTGTGATCACAATGACGGCAAGCATATCTGGCCAGAGAGTAACCCCACGGAACTTGTTCTGTTGTGATCCCAATGATGGCAAGCATATCTGGCCAGAGAGTAAGCCGACGGAATTTGTTCTGTTGTGATCACAATAAGGGTGAGCATATCCCTTGTTTTAATCTATGTTTCATTATCTCTATATTTAAATTCATGTTCCTAGGCTTTGTAACTGCTAATGGCTTGGTGTCAAAACGTTTCAACTTTGTCTAATTTATTGAAGCCCTACTATACTTGTTGCATGTAAAGTGTAAATTGACTTTATTAGGAAAAGAATCCTCATGTTATGTTAAGCGTAAATTGACTTTATTAGGAAAAGAATCCTCATGTTATGTTAAGCGTAAATTGACTTTATTATTTTTAACATTAATATGTATCAACTTAATATCTACAGTTTGTTAAACTTTATAAAATATTTGGTTCATTTCATAGAGTGAAGATGACTATATGCAACTGAAAATGAAATTAATTCTTTTTATTTTATAAATGCATTTTATCAATAAAATTGTAACTATTTTTAGCATGTTAACATCTGGTATTTTTGGAAAACCACCACTGGTATAGGAATTTAGGTATTTATTAATGTAGATTTTAACACAATTTGAAAATAACCTTTAGCAATATTGCTCCACTGGGTCTTGAATATCATCCTCCATTCCACTGAACAAATTATTCCTCTAGCAAGAAGTCTCTTGTTTAACAAGTTAACATTTATTAAAACATTTTGCCCATCTTGCAAAACACTTGCAGACCAAATTATAAAATGGGTCATGACAAAATATTGTGGGAACCTGTACATCAATGACTATCACTGAACGTACAAGAGCATACTGACTGAAATTAATTTTGGAGTCTTTAATTTTGCAAGTGATTGAATGGTGCTTCAAGCTTGATAAAAGCTTTATCATCCTTTACATGGTCCAAACTGTTTAAATACACTATAGCTTCAGTAAGTCCACAGCACTGGGATGTGCTGTAAATTGAAAGAAAACTGGGTTATATTTCACTCCATGAAATATCTAGGACGTGTTTGACTGAAATCCTTGATGGCATTCATCCTTTCTCCAATCACTTGCCTAGAATTATTGGAGTTCCAAAAGAGGTTTAAGATCTGAATCTGACTTCAAAGATATGCATAAAGTTAAAGTATCCCAAAACTAGGAACGTCACCTTCTTATTCATCACGGACATAATGTTGATGACAATTCTAACCCTGATTGATCAGTGAAACCAGATGATTCAAGTTAGAAAAGTAGTTAGTGACATTGACGTGTAGGCTACAATTTGGATATGTTGACTTGTAGGGGTGTGCCGGACCCCGGTCCGGAATCCGGTTCCGCCGGATTTTGCACTATCCGGTGAAATCCGGTTCCGCCGGATTTACATGTATCCGGAACAACCGGATTCCGGAATCCGGAATATACCGGATTTCGGAATTTGCCAGATTTTGTGACTCACCGGATCATAATCTGAAATAAAAGTAATTCTCTTTCCCGAATTTCACACGATCACGATACATTAATCGATTGTTTCGAGCGTTGAGCTTGTTTAATGTTTAATATTCCGTACATACCAGAGGCTAGAGTCAGCACCGCTAATAGTGGCCAATAGTGTAGGGACTTTGATAAGAAAATTTAAACTTTTTGTAAAAATAAACCAATGGCATAGTTGAAAAGATGTAATTTTTTAAAGAATTATAACACCAAAATCATATTTTTAGCTGTTGTAGTTTTAAAGTTATGAATTTTTAAAGTACGACTTGGTTTGTCATTTTTTAACATGGACTGCATCTCCACATTCTGTGATCTCATTCCACCAATCCCGTCATGCGCAATGACTATATAGTTTATATAAGGCAACGCATTCCCTGCCTTATCACTAAAATACTGTTTAGACTTAGTTTAAACTTTCAACTTTGGCACATGAATAATTAATTAAAGCTTTCCCTGACCAATGGTTTAATAGTTTTTGCACACGGCAAACTCTTATGAATGAAACTCTGAGGTAGTACTACGATACAGTTATGCAAGTGGCTGTGAATGGTTGCCAATGACAACGTGTTGCACACGGTAAATTCTGATCATTTATAATATGGATTCTACCGGGTTGTTAAAGCTCAAATTAAAACATTCCAGTTTAAATGTCTTTAAATGCATTCTGAAACACAAGTTATCAATTATTTTGATGTAAATAGTGATAATAAATTAATATTTCCTAAGTATCGTCAACTTCCGCCATTAAAAAGGGGGGCGTGGCCAACCCCATGGCGAAATTAGGTTGAGCGAGCTGCATAAACTGCTGCGAACGCGTAGAAACATGGCGTCTCTCGTAAGACACTTATCCAAATGGAACGGAACTCAAATATATATCGAAAGTACTAATTTAATAATAAATAGACACACACATCGGAAAATTAAAAACTCGGATTTTTTGGCGCCGATTGCGAATTCCCATACACAAAAAGTAGTAGTCCACCTTGACTTACCGAAGTATCTACCAATAGTACCAAAATCCGGAATCCGGGAGAAACCGGTATCCGGATCCGGCGGATTTCGCATAAGAAAATCCGGATCCGGATCCGGTTGGAAAAAACGGATCCGGCACACCCCTATTGACTTGTGAACTGAAATATGTTCTGTATGAATGTCCCAAAATTTTGAAAAAGGCAAAACCTTGCTAAGCAATCAAACATCACCCATGTAATCAATAAACTCAAAATAATTAAATTATTATTTTTTACACAATGATAAGGTTTAGGAGGATTTACCTGATTCAAACATTTCATTACATTTGACAAAGAAGAGGATGTACCTGATTTAAACAATTTATTACATTTGACAAAGAAGAGAATGTACCTGATTCAAACAATTTATTACATTTGACAAAGAAGAGGGTGTACCTGATTCAAACAATTTATTACATTTGAAAAAGAAGAGAATGTACCTGATTCAAACAATTTATTACATTTGACACCGAAGAGGATGTACCTGATTTAAACAATTTATTATATTTGAAAAAGAAGAGAATGTACCTGATTCAAACAATTTATTACATTTGACACCGAAGAGGATGTCAATTTCAAAAGATTTTTTTATATCCCATTGTTTATTCTGCTGGAAAATTCACAAATTGTGATAATGAGTAAAGACGTTCTTTAACATCCTTTTCAAAAAATATTATTTTGAGGTTTCTAAATTAGATCTGTTTGAAGAACTCTTGCATTTAAAAAACAAATTAATTCTGTCCGTTTCTCCAAAGGATTTGCTAAAAAAAATTCTCGAATAAAAGTTGTATGCAATTTCGTTTAAATGTTATCATTGTGTTGCACAGTTTTAAAACCATTCCTGTTATAAGCAGAGTGGTAACTTAGCTTGCTGACTTTGATACAAAAAATTAATTAAAGTTAAATTTGTAGATAATTTTCGTAAATATATTCCTTCCAGATGTCTAAGGCTAAGGATGTACAATTTAGTATGTAATAACACTATACTATAGGCTTAAACTTTATATCTTCTACTTTCTCTGTCTGCTTTTACCATGGAGGTGCTGCGGGGAGGTACAGTTGGCGATAAACCTCAAGGTGTGAGGCATACTTAAGGTTCATGTTGTGGGTCTTTTTAACACAGTCAATGAAGCCAACAGAACAGAGGCTGACAGAGCGCATACAACAAGCCTGAAGAGCTTGGGTTAACTCTGCACCAGAGGATGTCCCATCCATTTATGTTGTGGTTCCTATCTCGTTTTACCAGCTGCTGGCCTTAAAACATCTCATATCGCAGGTGATGATTTTTCTCCCACAACTTTTATTTGGAGCTCAAGTCTGACATTTGTAATTAAGTGTTAAAATAAAGACAGTATTTTAATTAATCTTGCTTTGGCCTCCTTCTTGATTCTTGAGTGTCTTAATAGCTGGCTGGATTTGCCCTCTGCCTCTATCTTTCTATTCATCCTTTTAAATATCCTATTAAAATAGGATAATTTTGTGGAGACTGCATTCAAGATTTGTGAAGGGAGTACAAAGAACAAGATCAGATACGTAATTGTTTGTTTTTTTGTTTTTTTTTCTTCAATATATATCAGTCTTTCCCATTCCGTGGTATTAAAATTCTCTAAAATAAAATATTAAAAGTCTAATCATTGCTTGGACTATTACTTATTTATTTTGAAAAATATATTCATAAACTAATATTGAAAGCGATACAATAATAATTATTTAAGCATCTTTGTCAATACAAAAATTGCTTGTTAAGTAGTAATTAATTGAAAATTCACGTTTTAAAAATTAAAAAGTTATGGGAGAGCAATACTGGCATAGTTTATCTGAATTTCCGTCAACGGTTTTGCTCAATCCTGGCATATCCGCTTTCACGTCGCTCATAACAAATACGTTGTTATTGTTGACGCATTATCAGTAGTTTACTTTGACGTAAGTTTTGTCCCTAAAATTAGGTTAGTAAGTGGAGTTAATTTGGTAACCGTTTATTTTCTTAGTACGCATTAAAAAAACCGAAAAAAACTATCTAGTTGTTGTAGCCCTATTTTAGTTCTAGATAAGGGCAAGAGTAAGAGGGATTTTTACTTTTTTAGGTAGGACTGACTAAGCGGTAGCCTTTTATTTAATTAATAGTAGTACCCACCCAAGAAAAATCTGACACAAGGCCACGGCTGACTATTTCTAAGTCTAAGCAAAAATTTACAGCTTACCAAATTTACTAAGTGTAAAGGAAGGTAATTAAAATATTTTTACAAAAAATGGAAACGCAAGTTACAGTTTCATTTTCATGGAGTACAGACCAGTTTAATTTTACAATTTACAGACTTTAATTCAAATTGCAGATTTCACCAAACTCAAACTCAAACATAGATAAAATAAAAAAGTTGTCAGCAAATCAATAATTGATCAATAATCAATACAATTCCCCTTTTCCCAAATGCTAGAAAATTTAAATATGATATGGTAATCTTGCAGTTCAGGTGCTTATATTATTTTTGATAGAATGTCGTATTATCGGGTGTAATCTTACATGTATTCTAGTATTCTTTATAAAATTTAGTCCAGACAGTAATAGTTAGCCCTGACACTAAATTGTTGTACAGCAAAAACTTTTCTTTTGATTGATTTTTACAGCCCCCATTGGTACATAGGCGCCAATAGCGTAAACAATCTCTCCATTTTCTTGTTGTTTTTTTTAAAATTCACCCTACATTGCTACATGCCAGTTTGCAATTTTTCAACTGAAAGCATATTCACAAAAAAATTAAACAAGAAATTAGATTTATTATAAATTATACCAAAATTATTTACGAAGTGTCTACACGTCCGGCGCGCCGGACGTGTAGTGCGCAAGATACACGTCCGGCGACTTGTCACGTGACCGCCGGACATGGCCGGACGGCTAGTAGTTTTTATAATTCCAAACGAAGTACGATTTAGTACATCTTGTCTGGTCTTGTGGTAGAGTGGTTGCTTAACGATAGGAATGTTTGGGGATCTATACCGGGGATAGGTCGTTTTTTTTCTTCCCATTTTAATTAAAATATTTTGTATACCAATATATTTATATTATCATGTTCCTCAGCAACAGTATTTTCATGAGAAGTTTTTAAATATTTTGTAGCAATTGAAATAATTTAAAATGAAATCTTTAACTTTTATTGGTTGCCACACTGGCCCCTAATTTATTTTATGGATTACTGGTACACAAAAAATAACAAACTAAACAAAAATGTTTACAAGCCACTTTCACTTAAGTTTCTTTTTCTATTATTTGCATTCAAGATACTCAGTACATTATTTGGTAGAGAAATAGATTTTAAAATTAACAATAGTTTTGAACTATTCGCAGTCACGTGACAAGGCTGACCGACACGATAGCCACTTTGTTACGGCGGTCATGTGACTTGGTCGCCGGACACATAGTGCGGGAGATAGACGTCCGGCGCGCCGGACGTGTAGACACTGCCAATTATTTATTGATGCTTAATTTTTCAAACTAAAAGTAAAAGCATGTTCACAAAATAAAGTTAACAAATTTATATAAAATTGGTGTGTATATTGGCTAGTTTTAGGCTTAGAAAAAATTAACACTATGAGTTCTTTAACTTTCGTACCGATATTTGAATATGGATAATCAAGTGTATGTTATTGTTATCTGTACTACTTTTGATCTCGTTCCATTCACCCATGCCCATGCAGGAGCCTTTGATTGGAATTTATACAAACCGCATATAAGTATAAGGAAAAAAAGAATGTTGGCCCCTATAAAATAATGGAACATCTAATTAAGCTCTTGTAGGAGTCATTCCCCTTTGTTTATTTTGAGAGAATTATTTTTGGTAAATTTGGAGATATTTTTACCATTGCCGCCGCCTGGTTGCTGCGAACCACGAACTTTTACGTGTTCACAGGTCGCGACAGCCAAGATGGCGGCTGTGGCAAAATAAAATAACTCACGTTTCCTAATTGAATAAAATGTTAACAATGAATGGAAAAAATTTCCTAAATGTATCACTAAACCTAACCTGAACCCTAAACTTATCCCTAACCTGGGTTTTGACCCTGAAATCTAGGAAAATGAACAAAAACAACAACAAAAATGTTAAGAAATAATTATAAAATAACAAAATAATGAAAACCCAGCTTACAGTTTCATGGAATACTCTTTTACACACTTTATTTCAGGTTCCACCAAAAATAATATCCAGAAAATGAATGAAACACCATGCAGTCATTTTCGGAGATGGGGAACACATAAAAATATTAAAATTAGCCAACCAATGAAATATTAAAATTAATCAACCAATAAAAAATTAAAATTAATCAACCAATAAAAAATTGTCATCAACATATTAATGAAAATGTAACTCTATTAACCAAAAAATAAGGGAGTAAATCCAAAACAACAACTTAACAAAACACGCAAATGACATCAGGGTGCTATCTCTCCAAATTAGCCTTATTTTTTTATGTATTGTATTAGTATTGCTGCAGAAAGAATGTTTAGTTAATATATTATTTCTTTGGTCGTTTTCTGAGTTTATTTTTATATAAATTACAAAATTAAATTATTATTTTTTAAATAAACATAAAGTTTTAATTTATTGCTTGAAAAATTTACGTTAATTCTTTCGAAGAAGTGGCGGCGAAGGAATATTTCAACATTAGCTGTTGCTAGAAAAGCTCATTTGAATAATTAATGGATATTAAAATAAAATTTAAATTTTAAGGCAACAATAACTATCCATTTTGAGCGTGTGGAAATTTTAGAATGTTCGAAATGTACTTTGAAACTATTCGGATATGGAAAAAGGGGTGATTAAAAATGATGTTACGTCACTTTGCTCACTATTGATAAGCATACAATTTTGGAAAATGGCTTTGATATTGTATTTTATTGATTTTCTTATAAGTTTTGGATTTTAATTTTGTTGGAACCTGAAATTAAGTGTGTAAAAGTGTATTCAATGATACTGTAAGTTGGGTTTTCATTTTTATAGTTTTCTCTCTGATAGTAACTGTAGCCCACATTTTTTTTAACTTAAGGCATAGGCTTAGGAGATTAGGCTTTCAGGTTCGATTTAGGGGTTGGGGTTAGGATTAGGGATAGATCTAGGGTTCAGGTTAGGTTGAGGGATAGATTTAGGGTTCAGGTAAAGTTTAGGGATGGTGGCCATCAACCACTAAAATTATGTGTTGCCTGATTGTACTTCATTAAAATTTCATGTTATTTTTTTACAATTTTTTTGTTGAATTTACATTTATTGGAAATGAACTTTTGAAAAACTACTATTAATTTGCTTTTAAAAAAAAATTCTTTTCAATTGCTTATTTTCCTATCTTTCGGTAAGTAGTTGAAATAACACATCCCGTCCTCTACCTTCTTTTCCCCACATGTGTTTGCACTACTTTTTTTTCTCAGTCTCCATCTTGGTTACATGACCCTGACCTTTCATGTGTGGCCACGGGAAAAAACATGGCACAATCTCTATGGATTAACCTAAGTTGATTAGACTCCGTGAAATAATGGAATATCACTAAAGTTGTTTTTAAGAATCCAAGGGACAGGGTATTTAAATTGCTCCGTTTTTTAAAATCTGAGTGTAGCATATCTATACTATTTACATTGGCTTTCTTATATATTGTATATAACTATAAGCTAAATCCTAAATAAGTCAAATTAAAATACATTTGGCATGAGGGATTTTCTATTATAACATATTTATGTCTTTCAATGCAATACTTTATAATCAATAATAATTAAAGTTAAAGCAACAATAAATAATAATAAGAGTATTAAGAGTGAATCTTATCATTCTGAAAGTAGGGTTATAAATTATAAATTTTTAACAACTAGGCCTATGCCTATCTATAAGGAGAGTGTAGCCTATAGAGCCTACTATGAAAATAATACTTATTTAAAATAGGTATACTAATAACAGTATCACAGGAAATCATATATTTTAGCCTTGTAAATTAAATAAGAATGTAACAGGTCTGGCATATTCTATTAAATTTTTTGTCCAGTTTTGATTGATCTTGGAGGTCGTTAGTAAATTACGTCACAATAGAAATGACCTTTTTAGACCCCTCCCCCCTGTCACAAATTATTTAACACCCCCACCCCAGTGTCATGTCACACCTAAAATAATTCAAAACATACAAAAAATTTTCATAACTAAACTAAGATTTTATTTTATTCTTTGACATTTTCCCATAATGGATTAAGATGTAGTAATATTAGAAAACTGAGTTTCATATTACCTATAATACCTGAGGTAATTTCAAACCTCATATCAATGTTTTTAAAATTATTTAGATAAATATTTTTCCAAAATTATAAAATTTTAGATTTTAAAATAAACAAAAACAAGAAGTTTCACTTTTTTTTTAATTATAACACAAAAAAAAAAAACCCCCCCACCCCCCCCCCCCCAGCATGACATAATTTGCAAACAACCCCTTGGAGGACAACTCTTCTGTGTTAGCTTTTCATTGTTTACAAATAAAACTATTCTAGCCATGTTGGTCTCATCAGACATTTGGAAACCCACATACAGAACCAGCCCTAGCAAGCATTAGACGATTAGAGTGGTCTAGTTGAGTTGATGGAAAAACTTTCCAATGACAATATATTATTTAGGCCAACAACAATACGTGCTAGCCTTCTAGAGCTAGTAGTCTCATTATTATAGTCAATAGATCTACTTATTAATTTATCAAATATGCCAACTTTCTACATTATACAATGAAAACTAGAAATAACAAACCTTAAAATAGCACTGTCCCTGGCATATTCTCTGTTTCTCCCCGACCTAGAATCATGTTTTAACACTGACTGAAACTGCAAAGAGCACCGCTTCTGCTTTTGTCTATAAGGTTTGCGTTTTGCCCAGGTTTAACAGTACCGGAGTATATATATCATAATTCATGATATGTGATAAAGTACATGTTAAATTGTTATATTGTTTGGCTCTACTCATTCATTTTATGGGTTCCTTTTAATTAAATAACCTTTAATAGCTTATTACTAGGCTAAAACTAAATTATGATTGAGAGGATGATCGTCCTGTTATGTCATATATCATCTTACTGAATTTTACTTTAGGGCCATTTTCCACTTACGTACACCTTATTGTCTATAAAAAAGACCATTTGCAGTGTTGCATTTGCTGGTTGATTAAAAGTCTTTCAGAAAAGCAGCCTTTCCTTAGGTCAAGCTCCTCTTCTCTCAAATCTTTCCCAGGAACATATAACATTTGTGTAAACCACCATAAGTATCACTGACACTGGCATAGCTGTTACTATCAAGATGTAAATTATTGAGAATTCATCCCAGTTTTCAACAATATTATCAACTATATATTTATGTACCTCTACATTTTGTCTACTGTTCATGTTAGGGTTATCTCCCAGACTGTGCACGTTCCATCTCCTACAATCAACAGGATTGTGTCTGGTGTCTGCTCCCACCATTTATGTGAGACTTTTAGAGTTGCACTCTCACTGACATTAACTTCAAATGTTTTCACTAATCTCAATGTTTCTTGTACATTAGGTCCAATCAGCTGTGTTGATCCTGCTTGTTTTAAATATATTATTATTCTTTAATGGTAAATTGTAATTGTATATCAACTTTCAGTGTGAAAAATATATATTTTTTAGTGATACAGTGGGGTCTCGGGAGTCCAAACTTCATATTTTCCATCATCCCGTTTGAGTTCCAACTTGTGCAAGTTCCATGGGGAAATGAACGCACAAAAAACAAAAATTTCGGACTCCGAGGCCCCATTGTATATATATCTTAAGACAGGGGTAGGCCAACCTGTGGCCGCTGAAACATTAAATGCCACCCGTAAAAATTATGAGAACTGGATTAATTTTTTAATGTACTGTAAAATTTTTTAATTATTATCTTTAAAACTTTTTAAAATTAATTTTTTTAAAGTGTAAAACTGTCATACTAATAATAATAATCAAACACATTTTTAAAAGTATCCCTCTTCTTATTAGCAAAAGGAAATAGCATAAAAAGGTATTTGGAAGCATGAAATAGAAATACAGGACAATAAAAGAAGTATGCATCATATAAGAGACTTCCTCAGCAGACGAATGAAGAAATAGAAAGTATTAACAAACTTGAGTGTTCGCCATTAATGTTACTGCCGGAAGTTGAAATACTTTTTTCTTTCTCATTTGAACAAAGTTTTAAAAAAACTTCCTTACTTAGTTAGTGCATTTGAAAATAGGCCCAAAAAATAATGTAGCTCCAAAAGTTTACATTCCTAGGTTGATGAGTTAGCCTGGGTCTCCTAGTTTATATAGATATATGAATAGTTTTTGTTCATGACTGCATGGCACATGATTCACATTCCTAGTTTGATGAGTTAGCCAGGGTCTCCTAGTTTATATAGATATATGAATAGTTTTTGCTCATGACTGCATGGCACATGATTCACATTCCTAGTTTGATGAATTAGGCAGGGTCTCCTAGTTTATATAGATATATGAATAGTTTTTTTTCATGACTGCATGGCACATGATTCACATTCCTAGTTTGATGAGTTAGCCTGGGTCTCCTAATTTATATAGATATATGAATAGTTTTTGTTCATGACTCACTGCATGGCACATGATTCACCAAGCAGTCTTTCATTTGGTTTTCTCTTAGTCTTTCTTAAAAGTTTATATCTTTTTGTAGTTTTCCATTAGTTTATTACTTTACATAACGGAGGAGAAAAGCACATACATTTTCTCTTCCTCAAAAAAACAAAGTTAAAACTATTTTTCCCATTGCATAATTCTCTGAATAATTTTAATTTCAATTTTTTTTCCTTCTTCAGAGTTATTGTTCTTTGACAAGCCCTGATCTAAAGGACTTAGAACGCAATCCCAACAGCTGTAAAGATGTCAGTTAAGCTTTGTGTTTTAAATATCTGCCTGGCTTTGATAGTTCTGTCAGTTGAGGGTCGAGCTTCTAATCCTTTTATAACATATGACAAGGCAAAAGAAGTGTGGACTAATAGGAAGTGTATGTTTCCTGATCAAGCAAACTTTAAAAACTCCACTTCACTTCTTGAACCGTGTAGTGTGACCAACAATTCTACAGTAACAGAGAGTTCTGTGGAGAAAGTTTGTGAGGCCTTTTTTAGATTATCCATTCAGATGTGTTATGCAACATCTCCTAACCAAGAATATGTAGATTCCAAGCTGAAACCAGAATTACTTCAACATGCTCTTGACTTTACTGATGATGATGTGTGCCAGTATGCCTCAAATCTGAATTTTTCTAATCTGCCTTACCTAGATGAGCTACGAAACTACACTCAGTGCAGTCAGCACTGTTTGAACTCAGCATTGAATACGAAACCCATCTGTCAGCTTTTGATTTCAGCTTTGTGCAGTTTCTTTGGAAAGAATCTGTGTCAGCCAGGAAAGAAATATCCCATAGGTTAGTATTGTGCTTCATATTGTAACACGTGAAACGATATTAGGCATACGCTGAGCAGGGCCGGCGCTAGGAGGGTGCGGGGCCTTGGGAAAATTGAATTTTGCAGGGCCGTTGATGTTATATATTCTGCCAAAAGGATATTAATACATGTTATAGTCGTACTGGGGTCTTGCTGGTCACAATGGGAGGCGTCATAACGGATATTTGTTCACTAGCTTAGTTTCCGAAATTTCTATTTTTTCCTAAAACAGTTAATTGAAGGGATATTATGGGAGCCAGACTGACCTTCAGACCATTTGACTATCAAATTAATCCAAATATTGTGTTGACTGGGTAAGAACTATTAATAGGCAATGTGCGGCGGTCGCCCACTTCGTCATCCCCTAGCGCCGGCCCTGCGTTGAGTGTAAATGTATCATAGCGTTTTCTTTCATTTTAATCATGTGGGATTTAAGGTAGGAAAGTTTTAGCTTCATTTTTATGCATTGCCGTATTGCCATTTTTTTCTTTTTAGATTTGATGTCTAAATATTCCAAAATTGATCAGACTTTTAGGATTGCTTAGGAAGTTAGCTTAAGCGCATATAATTTATAAATATTTTTTTGTTAGTTTATCTTATACACAAAAAACCACACACCCCTCCCATAATCCTGTGTGGTTACTATGCACTGTTAACGGGCTAGTTGTAAACATGATTTTATTACTGGTGTCTAAATATAGGTATTAGTATATAGCAGAGGTGGGCGACCTTTTTTCCAAAAAGGCCACAGATGTGGCAAATGAGCAGTAAAAGTCACCACACTTTATTTAAACCATGAAATAACACATTTAAATCAAATTAAATTAAGAAATAAGCCATTAAATCATATTTTATTTTTACGCAAAATTTTAGGCGATATTTGACGTTCCATTTCATTAAGAAGCTGCATCAAATTTTTGGGATCTAAATTTTGACACATGAATCCTGTTATAGATAATACTGATTCCCAGAACCAAGTTCTTCTTCTTTTTCTATATTTTTAGGGCCCACGATCAATGAATTGATCATTATGGCTCCTATGTTTCTGGGGGTTTGCAATGTAACTGTGCATGGTTTTGAAGGGGATACTTCACTGGTTACAAGGGCGACTCAGCAAGGGTATTATCAACTGGTGTTTGGAAGACAGGAGGCAATAGACGCAAATGTGTCAAGTGTAGTCGTCTCAGAGGAGAGGGACGAGTTTCTGTTTAATGCTGGAGCAGTGGACCAGCCCATCATTTATTTTGTATACTATGGAGAGTCTGGATAGTCATCATCCTTCCTCCAATGGTGACCAGCCCAGTGTTCCCAGCATGCTGCCACCACTTGAGGTGTTTCTGTAGCTGCCAGTCGTTGGACCGCCTCCAACCCGTCGATGTTCTTCTGGGTGAATGGGTCCCAGACTGAAAATGCGTACTCTAAAAGTGGCCGGACAAAGGCTTTATAGGCTTTTTTTTCCACGCTTGAGTTGCAGTTGCATTGATTCATGCATTGAGAATAATGTTGAAAACCCCCTTCCCAGTTTCAAGATTCTTTTCATTTTAAGCTTACATCTGATCTAACTTTAGTCAGCCATAAGCATTATCGCTTCAACTGTTGTTTTTTTTGTGTAGAAGTTTTTTAAAAAACAGAAATGTTGGCAGAGAATTCCACTATAAAGTAGCATTCAATAATTCAATAGATACATTTTATGTAAATAAGTACATTACATTCTATAAATATGCACATATATTCAAATCTTTATTTCTTTCCTGGATGCTTAATAGTAAATACAATCATGTTATTTTTAATATTTCAATAATTTTTAGTTGTAAATAAAATGTTAACTTCAAAAAAAAAAACTATTGGGTAAAACCGAATTAGACACATTTAATAGATCGCTTCGCCCACATGTGTCAATGGGTGATAGGGTTGCCCACCCCAAGTCTTTAGTTTTCTAATTTTACGAAAGTAAAAATTGCATAAATGCTTGAGATTTTACCCATTTAAATATCCTATATATTACCGCTATATCATGTCACCTTTGTTTACAGCAGAGTCCACTTTAAACTCATCCAGGACGACAAATGCAAGTTTGGTGACCTCGACACCTCCAACATCCGAGAAAAACAACACTTCAGATCCTACCCAACAAAAATCTACGGGCAAAGAATCAGAGAGAACTACTCTCACAGCTGATGATGTTACAGAGAAGATACTAGATGGTGTTCCAGTAAGTGCAGCAATTCAAACAGCAAAAAGCGCACCTGACAAAACTACAGCAAAATATGACCCTAAGCCAAGTCAAAAACTAGATGATGTGGAACCAACAGATGTTACTTTTGATAAAGATTTGGAAGAACCTGATCCCAAGTCTACTGAAGATTCAGAAGGTAAAGGAACTGATGCCAGGAAGAAGATAGGTGAATTAGATGACGAGGATATAAAAAATGAAGAAAATGAAGAAGAGGACACTGGTAAAGGTAAACCAAAAGGTGAAGAAGAAGAGGACACTGGTAAAGGTAAACCAAAAGGTGAAGAAGAAGAGGACACTGGTAAAGGTAAACCAAAAGGTGAAGAAGAAGGAACAGATCAAGGCTCTAAGGATGGGGAGGTTAAAAGTAAAATTTCTGGAACAGGTGACGGGGGAAAAGCCCAGGGTTCAAGAAGGAATGGAGAAAATAAAGATATAAACCAAACAGCTGAGGAGGAGGAGAGCAATGGTTCTGGCCATTTCCTGGCCTATTTCTTGACTGCCGTTGTTATCTGCATAGCGGGATATATTATCTACCACAATAAGCAAAAGGTAAGTGCTTAACTGTATCATGCTGTTTCAAAAGACGGATGTTGAAAATAGATGTTCAACAGTTTTACAAAAATACTTAAGCATGTTTTTTTTTGCCTTCTCCAAAATGTTTTTAAAAGAAATTTCATAACCATTGTCTGTTTATAGAATAATCAAAATTATTTTATTGTTTGCTTTACAAAGGAATAATAATTATAAGGTAGATTTGATTGGAAATATGTAATCTATTTTTTTAATTTAAAAAATAAAGGAATTATAACCAAAGTTGTATAAGGAAACTTGTACTTTCAAAGGAGAACCCTAAACTTAAAATGAATTCTAACAAATTGAACGCCTGTTACAGATAATGGCTTTCGTCATAGAGGGCAGAAGTAATCATTCGGGCCGCCAGAGATCCAAAGGTGTTAAATATACAGAACTGAAAAGCAACGTTGAAGAAGTACTGCCATCTTTGGAGAAATCTGCAACTGCCAAAAATTTTGTATATTGAACATGTGAGGAATACGTTTTTTAATTTTTGAAGTTGTTTCACATAGATTGAGACATCCTAAATAAGTTATAGCTGTCTAGAAGTTGTGTCACATAGATTGAGACATCCTAAATAAGTTATAGCTGTCTAGAAGTTGTGTCACATAGATTTAGACATCCTAAATAAGTTATAGCTGTATGGAAACGTTTATTATCAGGTATTTGTTTTTGGCTGATAAAATGTTAGTCTGTTTTTAGGGGGGGGGGGGTGGGGGGTTTTGGAAGTTTGAAACAGACTTTACATAATCAAGACTCTAATTTAGTCAATACTCTCATTTAGTCAAGAATCTAATTCAGTCAATACTCTAATTTAGTCAAGACTAATTTCCATTTTTAGGATTATTGAGAAAAGAGGTTGATGCCTAATGTTTCAGCAATATTAGTTCTGCCAAAAATAAACATTCCTTCCATTTGTTTCATGATTTCCCATTAGCGATACAAGAATGTTCATCAATCAAAAATTGTGTTGAAACATCGAAGCATGCAGCGTTACATGGCTCCAAATTTTGTGTCCTGTTTCAAACCTTATTAACTTGGAGGTTTTAAACCAGTCTGTCCTGTTTCAACCCCTAATTAGATTGAAGGTTTTAAACCAGTCTGTCCTGTTTCAAACCCTATTAACTTGGAGGTTTTAAACCAGTATGTTGTTATTTAGATCAGACTAGTTTCAATTTAAACTGTCAAAATGAATTGAATTTATTTCTCATGGCATAGCTAAGCTAGCTGTGATGGCAAACCTGTGACGTGCATATCAAATGCAATGCACCATGACTTATTTGCTGACAAATCATCAACACACCATAATATCTACTCTTGTTATTGACGCTGTGATTTAATTCAAATTTTTAAAATTAAAAAAAGAGGGTAATCCTTGGTGCAGTATTTGAATCTTTATGATCAATATGTTAACCGTTGCACCCCTTGTATGTCTCACAGACACTGTCCTGTTATTTTATTTTTTCAACTTTATGCTTCTGCATAATTGTATTTTTAATATGTCAAGAATTATGTCTACTCTTCAGGTGGGTTTAATGTGATTGGGAGACGTACCGATAGAGACATTTTCTACGTATTTGTAACACTGAGCACATCATATGGCTTGCCATCACTCCTAGGCATTTATCAGTATCTTGTTCAAAACTCAGGAGTGTGGTTATTAAAATGAGTCCTTCTGGACTGTGGGGGATCGATGGATTGGTTGGAAATCTAGCTTTGAAATCCTTGCCCAGATTGTAGGTGTGTGTGTGTGCGCGCTTCGCTACCATGAACTTCATATATCTTCATTGACCTCAACTAGCCAACAGTCACACTGACTGGAATCTCACTTAGACATTTGCTGTTGATAGGGAAGTGTATTAATATTCACAAAGTGCATTCCATCACATTCTTATGGTCCCTATCTTTGTTTGTTTGTTTAATATTGTGGGACAGCTATTTTGTTAACTATTGTGGGACAGCATTGTCAGGTTCTGTATAAATGATTCAAGTATAAGTTGTGGGATTAATTACACAGACAGATCTGCACACCACATTGAATGAAAATTATGTCTTTCTTCATAATTTTGAATGGGTATTAGTAATAATGTGGAAAGATAAGAAAAAGAAAAAAGTTATTCAAAGCCGGTTTCTGCTATTCCTCAACTGATGTTTGTCACTGTGTCATTTGAAAAAATTTCTGGTTTGTCATTGGATCAGTTGAAACATTTATCGTTTGTCATTGGGTCAGCTGAAACATTTCTGGTCTGTCGCTTGGTCAGCTGAAACATTTCACCCTGCATCCTACTGCTGTGTTTATGAGCATCACTATTTTATCAAGATCATATTATTATTTCTAAGGTTTTTTTTTGATTATCAAATAAATATATATATATATAAGATAGTCAACAACAACCTTAGAAATAATAATATGATATATATAGGTCGACCATGACAACCTAAATACATAACAGGTGGTTTGAAATATTAAATTTGAGCTGTGTGCTCAGGTGAGTGCTTTGGAACCCATCATTATCATCTAAGATGCATCTAAAGTATAAGTGTGATAGTCAATCAGGATTTCAAGAAAGAGAGTATGTTTAGTCTTATTCAGTCAACTCACTGTTAAAATTAGAAGTACTGCAAAGTGGTCAGACCCTCAGTTGTAACTTCAGAGGACCAGAATTAAGAGCTGTTGGTACAGTTGACAAGTAATGGGGAAGTACATCATTCAATTAATTTAATTATAGAACAGTTGTACAGTTGGGGAAAGTTTCATTTGTTCAAATGACTATAAGGAAATCAGTTTTTAAAGTGTTCCATGTTCATTAATTGTACTTTACATGAATGTTTACATTTATGACTAAGTCAAAAGATCTTGGAATTAATTATTAATTAATTAATGGATTGATTTATTTTTATAATTTTTGGCCCTTTTTTTAGAAAAGATATCTGAAAATTATTACAAAAAATAATTTCTAAAATCTGGTCTCTTAATTTGTACAGGTTGAATTTTTGCATAAAATAAAATATGTAACGGCTTTTGTCAATCATGTCATTGTTTGTATGACTCAAACTAATGGACCAGTGGGCTGAAAATCTGTCGTGGCCTATATCAACTGCGATATCTTTCTCTCCTTTTCTTGTTAAGTAACTTTAAGTTACAGATTGGGGCTGTCTAAACTTGACCTATACACTATTAAAATAATTCCTGCACCACTGTGATATATACTTGGTGAGTCATTGAAAGTGGTCACAATGCGAGGGAGGCACTTTTCTTGCCTTGTTGAGTAGTGGGATTGTTAAATACAACCCAGGAACTTCTCTTTTTATTATAGTAATAATTGGGACCCTGCCTGGATGAAAGGAGGAATATTTTCTTATATTAATATGCTGTTTTATTATTTTTTGTTTATAAAATATGTACTGTACATGCTGGCGTGAGAAAAAAAATTCTACATTGCCAGCACATAAGACACAGCTCATATTTTAGGCATATTTTGAGGGGGAAAAAGTGTGTTACATATGTCGCCCAGTTACCATATTCAACGTGCTTGTGAACTTAACAGTTTTGTGAGTTCTCAAAAGCTAATGGTATGTAAAAAGATGTTCCAAAAATGACAAAACTGTGTGTCTTGCAGAGTGACAGAACATTGTCAAAGAAAAGAGAAAAATACAAAAAGAATTTTTGTTCAAAAGACAAATGTAGTAAATAAAGTTATTCCCGAGACTTGTTTAAAGTTTCTCCAACAGTGCTGCTCATAAAAGTCTATCATTTTATCACAAAGTGAGTGTACAGATCTGTGAGGAATAATGCTTCAGCTTTGTCACTGTTCAATATAACATGCTTTGGATTGATGTCTATTTTTATAATTATTTTGATACTTGATTAAAATATATATTTTTTGGAAGTCCTTCAAGTCCTCCGAAGTAGTCCTCCAAATTTTATAATTACAATTACAAACACTGAAAGTACCGTAATTAAAGTTCTTAAATAATTTTACTTCCCGATTTTTAAATTTTTTTTCATTTTAGAAGAAATTGTTTTTTTTAATTGAAACTAGCAAATAAAAACATGGAAAAACACACCAACTATACACAAAGCTTTGATTAAGGAATACTTAAAAATGTCTTTTGAAGAATATTTATCATTGATGATTGATGGCCTTCTTTTTTTTCTTTTTTTTTTCTGGTTTAATTTAATTGTTGATCATGTGTACTTTTTATTTTGGATATTTCTTTATTCACTGACTTTGATGTTCCGTCAAAAGCTTGAAATTTGGTGATATTAAAGTTTTTGCATGATCATAATTTTTCTATGCAGAACACACATTCTTTCATTGAGTTTAATCATGGTGTAATCAAGTTTTAACTATGATAAATGAGATTTTTTATGAATGAGGCACACAAAAAAAAAGGATTGTAGTTAATCATGTGATATAATGTCTTGACCATTTAAAATATATCCTTTTATTCTGTGCTTATAAATTATAAGGACAATAATGAACAAATAATTATTTTTATCATTACCCAATCAAGAAGCTAAATAATTCAAAATCAATATGCAGAATAAATAAAGGATTAAAAAATAATGCCTACTGATTGCATAAGTTGTTTTTTTAAACCAAGTTAGATTTGGTTCTGTAACTTTGGTCTTGAAAATGATCACATTTTTCAGTGAATAATTTCATTTGAATTTTTTTTACCATTTCAATAATTTGAGGTTATTTACTTTTTTCTTTAGTTGTATTAGTTATGTACTTGCATTATAACTTTGACTAGCACGGAAGGAAGCAATGCATTTGGATCAAGTCTTTGCTGCTAACATCTTGTTGAAAACTGAGGCCTCAAAGTGAGGGGATGGCGGGATGGTCGCTCTTGAATTAGGTTTCCCCTGATTCATTTGTCAGGCTAGCAATAGAGGTCATATGCTAGCTACAAAGAACAACTACAGATTGCTGTCATGTAAGCCTACAACTTATGTAACTTAACATAAAGAACTTTTTTATTTTTTTTATTAGTGGGTAAACTACTAGTGTCTACCTCTTTAGCAACCATGGTGAAGGCAATGTGTATCAATTGCTTTCAAGGTACAAATACCTGATTTATATTCATTTCGGAGGTCCCAACATCTCAACCTTGGTTTGTTTGATAATTAATTGATCAGTGTAGCTTGAATACATGAATGCACTGTACATATTATTAATAATGGTTTATCTGTCGCTGCGGGGAGGCTGAAATGCCATTTTTTTAAATATAAAACTTTTGATATAATAAAGAGTTGTTTTATTCCCTTCCTTAGAAATTCCTGTGCACGGTGTTTATGAAGGATTGCTAGTGATAATGGATTATTACCCACACATACAGATTTCTTTAGTTTTATTAAGACACGCACTTTTACTTCACACAACTCTGATAATGGCAACAAATAAGGCTATAATGAACTTGAAAGTTTTTATATGAAATCTACAATTTTAGATAGTGCGTATTCATTGAGTTTATGAACATGGCATGCATAACATGATAATGACTGCAGTTTTAAAACCAAAGCAAATTCTCAACACAACAGCATAATAAATATAACAGCATAATAAATATATAATAACCATTTTTATAATTTACCATAATTATCATTTAGTACATTTTGAAATAATTTAAAAACCATTTATCTAAGACACTCTACATATCCATTTTGGCCTGCACTTTGTTTATATAAACTAGGCCACACGTGCTGTAAATCAATACCAAGATGAAGTGAATCAATACAATATGTCACCCAAATTATAGTTTAAGACATTTATGAGAAAAAGATATGAAAACAGTTAATTGATGGCACGGATTAAAAAATAAATTCATGGCAAAGAAAAAGAACAGTTGCCTAATAGTACTAATAGTGTAAAAATTCATTAAAAATCAACCTTGCATTGGTGGATTAGAATAATTTTAAATTCCCATTACAGTATCCCCAGATGAATTATATGAATATAAGTAAACAGTCATTGTCCACCATCATGAATTGATATGCAGAAATCTATGACATAAATTAGGCTTCATAGCACTGTGAGATTAAAATGAGTTATTATTATTAAGAGTAATAAACATAGTTTCAATTTTAATTTTTAAAGTTTAATTTCATCAGTGCCAGTTGAAAGATTTAAAATATTAACCATATTGCCAGTTAAACAATAACAAAAGCAGTGTCATTGTAATGTACATACTGTCTTCATAAATATTTTCTTTGAATTATAAAATAAAAATAACATTTGCTTCAAACCATTAAACTGGAAATAAGTCAATGGAGGACCATGATATATCTTCAATGAAAAAACAACTCTTATACGGAAATGAAGATATTCTTGAAGTAAAAGTAAACAGACACTAGTAGCCAAAATGTAGTTCCCCATATATTGAGGGTCAAATACGATGCATGTGTGTCAGGGACCACAAATGAGACGGGTGCTCTACCGGAGAAGAATTCATGGCCACAGTACAAAGCAATGGAGTTCATACCTAGGTGAAAATGTCAATGAATTATTGGCTAGGGTTTTAGAGTAAAAAACCTAAAAAAAAACCCCAATCTTGTCACTTTGTCAGCCTTTACAACAATAAACAACAGTGTCCCACTAATTATTAATGCAATTACTCCAAATATCCATAAATATGTTTGCATACTATGTACAGAATACCAGACTAGAAATGCAAAGTATCAGTACTTAAAATAATTTTTATTGTTGGTAGATGATCAGATACATTTTTAAGCAACTGTATTTAGTGATGCTGATTAAAGAATTATTTTTTACACTATGTGTTCTGACCCCAAAGACATCATTTATGCCCTACTGCCCTCTGGGTGAGGAATTAACTTTAAAAGAATGTAAAATAACTAAGTAAAACAGAAGGGTTACCTGCAAAATAGAATGGTTCTCCCCCCCAAATTTTGTATACATCTATTAAAATGTAGCACACCATGAGCAGGAAGAAGGCCATTCCAGACAGAATAAATACAAAAGAAAGAGACCTGGAATAGCAATAAATATTTCCAGTCATGGTAATGCACTTGGAATTGGTGAATAACTGGTGCAATATAAAAAAAGATATCCATCTACCAGTCAGTAATAAAATTCAATAAATGTTTCAATGGATACTAATAATACTATTCTTTTACAAGGTTAAAATTAAACCTGACTGATTTATAATTCAATCAATGTGTAGTTGTGATAAAATGTTAGAGACAAGAGAAGAGATGAACATATAATTACATCAATTTAGTTGTGATAAAAATAAAATGTGTGACAGTGACAAGAGAAGATATGAACGTATAATGTAATCAATGCAGTTGTGTTAAAATGTTTGACAGTGACAATAGAAGAGCTGAACATACCATAAGTTTTTGTTGATGGGAATCCAGCCTTCATTTAATGATGCCTTACAAAGCAAAGTTCCTAGGCCAATCTGGCAAAGGAAAAATGGAATAATTAAAAGTAAGCAGGCTGAAATTAAAACATATGTAAATTTAAGTTAATGAGAACCTTGCATTTGAAGGACATTCATGTTGTAATTGCTGTCCATTGCAGGTGGTGATACCAGCATAATAGATGGGTAGTTTGGGTAAATTTGATTTACCATCAGATTTAACTTTTGAATTTTTGAGAGTCATCATTAACTTTTTCAGTGTTATGATGCACATGTATGGAATACAATTTTATTTAATTCAGGAAACAATAATATAGTTTCATGATAATATAATGTCTTACCAGAAAAATACTCCAGATGAGAAATCTATGGCACCTCTTCACCCAGTCGGTATGAATAAATAATATCTTTCCTGCCTAACATCCAGAAAAGCAAAATTTACTAAATTAAGTAATTAATAAATCAACAAATCAAATTTAGTTTTCTCTCTCAATACTTAATTTCAGATCATATTTAATAATACTACATGGATTACCTTTTTACATAATATTCCTCATAATTTATTTTATAGTGTATTTGTTTATAATTTAGATCTCAATAAATACACATTGTGTACCAGTTAAAAGATTTTTAAAGCAATAAAAAAAATTAAATTAGCTTGTACTGTACTGCATTGAAGTTTGTCACTGAGATTGTCATAAAAATCAGACTTAAAGATATCCACATGATAAAATGTAAACTATCCAAAAAGAGACATACTTAATAATAGCTCAACTATAAGAGAATATGTAGACTAATCCACATCACCTCTGTACTAAGCATGTTCATCAACTGACTGAGTCTAATAAATAGCACTAAAATATAAATGGGTTACACTTGTATGAATTTCTTTTAGCTCAAAAGTTCACATTATGTGTGCAACACACAGTACAGTAGCAAATTTAGTGGTCATATTGGCTGTACAGTCACAAATCCAATAGTCATATTGGCTGTACAGTCACAAATCCAATAGTCATATTGGCTGTACAGTCACAAATCCATTGGGTACATGGCTGTATAGTCACGAATCCAGCAATAAAAAAACACACTAATTATTAATTATATAAAACTAAAAATATAAAACATACTAATTATTAATTATTTAAACTAGTTATAGTTAGGGGACAAAAACAAAGCTCAAACCTGGAGTCCCAAGAAGCAAAGAACACAAGAATTGACAGTGCCTAGCAGACCCTCGGGGTCATAAGGCACTTGACTTTGATAAATTTCCTGCAATCAGACCAGTTTTTACACTTTATTTTAATCCCATTGTTTATGTGCTAACTAGACAGTGCAGAAAAGAAGATGCCTTATGCATTCGGCAGCTACTGACAATACCATTTAATGAATCCAAATTTTTTATGGTTTCAGAGTTAAGAATACTTAAATGAACAACTCGTGGGCAGAAATAATCACCTGGGACGTAGGGCTTTGATAAATATGAGAGTCTCCAAAAAACTTGCGATCAATGTAGCCTGCTGCACCCCCGGTACAGTTGAAATATTTTCCACCTTGTTCCAACCCGCCTGGACCAATGTATCCCCTGTGGAGTATCCAAAAACATACAGTTACAAGCTTTACAAATACACATAGTAAAGTAAGTTCATTTAACACATCTAGATAGCTATTCTCAACCTTTTTCATCTTACGGCACACTAGGACTAATTGTCTACGTTCTGTTGACACAGCATTCAAGTTTTTTTGCCTTTTTAATTTATAGGCTATTCGGTGAAGTGCAGCATCCAAGGATACAATTATTATATGGATTATTTTATTATCCATTAAATTTTTGGGTATAATTCCCACAAATGTTTTTCACTTTGCATTTTATTAATCTATAACAAAGCTTGTGACACATACGCATTCCTGCAACACACCCATATGGCGTGACACACGGGCTGAAAATCTGTTGATCTAGATTCTTAAATTATAATCTCAAACTATTGATTATGTTGTTAATTCATTACACCCTATAGTGAGTGGGTTTTATAACTGAAGCTGGAGCCGACCTGGGACATCCTGGAACCGGCATGGCAAATGTGATAGCTGTGTGCAGTGCAATAAATGCCAAGTTGACAAACCATTCTGGCCAATACATAATGATGTCTCGAAATGGTGCCAGGCGGATGTACTGAAAATTTAAAATAGATTCTTGAAAAAAAGAAATATGTATAAATATGAGTATATGAGTCTCAGTTTCCTTCAAATAATCTCCAACATAATCTTATTAATTTTCTCTTTTAACTTTTATTTCACATTAAAATTATGGAAGCGCAAACCATAATAACATAGTCTTTCTCCCTTTTTATAATACAAATTATCTGCTTTGCCACTTGCACTTCATAAATGGGCAGCTAAGTTTTATGGCAATATTAAAACTGGCTAGGTTTTAGATGCCAAGTACAAAAATGATAAATTAAACAAATGTTGTCAAGTTTTCGATCATGTTGGGCTTGCTCCCGGTATATTAAACGTAAAATTGTGAGGAGAAATTAAACCGAAATTTTAAAAGAAACTTTCATCCCCAAAGGACTTATTAATATAAGAATAAAAAGTTTAAATAATATCACTTATTTTACAAATGCCCCCCCCCCCCCCTTTTTTTTTTTCCCACTTGATCACTTGTAACTGGGAAATTCAACATATTTAACTTTCACCATACCTGACTAGGGTTGTTAGCTGGCGCCAAGTATAAGAATAAGGTCGCGGTGATCAGATATGTACCAGCAAATCTCTGCAACACGCCTGGTATGCGGAATGTATCAAAGTTTACACCTGCAAAATAGAAATTGAGGACTACTTGCCTGGTAGCACTGCCAAGAATTGGCACTATAAATATTTAAAAAACATGTGTCCACAAAACGTGGTGACCAGTATAAAAGAAAGGTAAATACAATTCCAGCTGGGAGTTCTGTAAGAACATGGCTGTTACACTTGCACTTCTCACAGATGTTTACACTTTACAAATTAAAAGAGATTAGAAATCAAATAACGGGGGGATTGGCTCGTAACAGGGCTGTATAAACAGCTACCAACATTATAATCCAACTAATGAAACAAAAATGCATGAAAGAATTCGTCATGAAGGTTCTCAAAAAAAAATAATAATATTGAGCTTGATTCAACGGAATAAATTTATTAATTAATCCATTTAGAATATTATTTAGTTTAAGTGCTTTATTGTGATGTCTATGGGAGATTACTTTCAGTAGTGTCACCCAATGTTGATGTCTATGAGAGATTACTTTCAGTAGTGCCAACCAATGGTGATGTCTATGAGAGATTACTTTCAGTAGTGCCAGCCAATGGTGGTGTTGGTGGTGTCTATGAGAGATTACTTTCAGTAGTGCCAGCCAATGGTGAAGTCTATGAGACCATTACTTTCAAAGTGCCAACCAATGGTGATGCAGACCAAGAACTTTTTGAATTATTGACTGTAACATCACAGTGCTTTAAAATTGACCCCAAAATGTTTGTATCTCATAGACCATGAGATGCTGCAAGTGGCCAGAATGGTTGTATCTCATAGACCATGAGATGCTGAAAGTGGCCAGAATGGTTGTATCTCATAGACCATGACATGCTGAAAGTGGCCAGAATGGTTGTATCTCATACACCATGAGATGCTAAAAGTGATAAAAGATTAATCAATTTTGATACAAAAAAATAAAATAAAAAAATCATAAAGCGTTTAAAAAAAAATTCAAATCCTATTGGAGTGTCTGTGCCGAAAAGATGGAGCCCTTGGCACAAGCCCTGCACTTACTTTGCAAAAAAATTATAAAAATGAACTAATCCCTTGACAAATATAAAACTATATATATTCTTGTAGGGTATAGGATGAAATAATTTGTTCTTTATGAATGAAACTCAAAGCTCAACATTTATGCAAATGAGATACCGGTATCCTGATTAGCCAATTTATGCATGCACTTTTTGTTGACACTTAGAATAACATTGTATTACTTGCAGAATGTGTTAAATTTTATGATAGTTGAAGCCTAAGTAGGCCCTTGCCCATATTTGAATGAGATTCAATGTGAAAAACTACATAAAATATTCCTCTGTGCCTACTGGCATATTTCAAAGTCACATATTTTTAAGCATTTATAGGGGTCACTATGTAAAAAAAAAAAATTCATATAAAAGGGCAGAACACAGTAAACTATCAATGGAAGCCACCATTAAAATGGTGAGATGAGCAAGAAATGCAAGAAGCAATCAGATTAGCTGGTATGAAGACCAGCAAGCCAATCTTAGGCTATATAAGACCACAATAATAATAATAATGATAATCATCTTGAGGCTTCTAATATTGGGCGGATAGATCACCCTTTTGTCTTGTTCACCATAATCGTTAAAGCTTTAAAGTTGCCTGCATTTATTTACTTGTATATTTTGGAATTTGTACTTAAATTTGGTATCTAATGAATACCTCCAATAATCAGCATAACACAATTACGATGGCATTTTCAATTAAACATGCATTCTTTTTTATAAAAAATTTATTGCACTTTCTGCTCATAGATTTATCCATTTTAAAAAATTATTTACGAAACTAAATTTTATTTTTGAATGAATTTTTATTTCTCCAGGCAATTAATACCTTTAGACCCAGTTTTGCCACTGTATTAATATAAATATATAAACACACACACACATATATATTTTTGCACCTCTATTGTCTGCTGGAAAAAGTCTTTTTGCAGGATTGTTCTTTTGTCATTAACAAAGCATTGTTTTAAAACATAATTATGTGTCTTTTAATTAGATATAACTCACCAGAACCCACCCCAAATGAGTTTATCAACAGTCCCAGAAGAAATAGTGTTGCCGTACGTTTGAGAATCCTTAAGAAAATCTTCCACCTCGGAATGTTGCGTCTCAGCTGACCTTGAAAGCTGAACGCAATCGCCGTCCCCATGATGAACACAAACCTTCAAATATAGGATTACATGTGTATGTAAGAATATAACATATATTTATCGTTTTAAATACAATAAAGGTTAGCTATTAAAAGTGATATGTAATTTTTTTAAATATACGTTAGAGAGAGTTAATTATTTTAATTAATAATTATGGTTTGTTATAAATTTTAGTTATAAATTATTAATTTATGTCTTAGGATAAAGAATGGGAAATTGCACTTAACAACAAATGTATTTAGTCATGACTTTTATTTATAATACAGTTAATATAAAATGGCTTTGGAGAAAAAAAAAGGAAAAAAAATCAATAGAAGAAGGCCTTATGATTCCACTTCTTGAATCAATGTTTATATACATTTTTCCATTTTGTTTAACACGATCAAAACAACAAGTTACAATTAATTTAAAACTATATATTGTTGAGAGGTTATGGAGAAAAAAAAAGTGTCTTACCATGTGTTTCAAATTGCTTAAAGCAGATTTTAATATGTCCATTAGTTAATAATTCAAAACCTTAATTTTACACTAGGCAAAAAGCAACAAAAGAAAAATCACCAAAAATGTTGGCAGCTATTCCAAACTATTCCTCTCGCTGTCCTCTGGGATACTAAATTGCAGCTATGTGTTTATTTTAATTTTTATATTGTTTTTACTGTTGTTTGTTCACTGAAAAAGGCTTCTGGCTGAAGCCTTTTTGCTGATATTGTATTGTTGCTGCCTTTTTTTTTCAGTTTTCACCATACTTTGTTTCACTTGTTTCCTTCTATCTGACCTGATTGCACCCTCTCTCCCTTATTATCATTTCCAAACTAAAAGAAGTATTACTCATTCCTCATTGCAGACAATAAAGAAAGAAATTGCCCAATTTGTTAATTTAAAATTTATTTTTAATGGATTGTCATTAGATGTTGTCCATTTTTTTGTATACTTAAAACAACAATTATTATAACACATTTTAAAATAATTCGTTTCGCTTAAATGATTTAGCATTTAGCATTGTTACAGATGTTAGAACATTCTGTTAGTGACTGATTTTGCTGTCATAAGTGTTCAAGTATCCTACCATGGGAAGGCCAAGTCAGCCACAGTAACTCCATTCCATGTTGAATGAGCAAAGAACCAGTAGCTACCTCCCCCATAATTGACAAAAATCATGATGACTATAGCCATTCTGCAAATGAGGACACACAACAACACAAACATAATAGCAAGCGCACAAGCATGCAAATACGAACAAGATCATTTCTGTATAAAAAGCTTCAAGAGCAAATACAAATAATATCACTACCAATGAAGTTAAATTACACAATTAAAAACCCATATTTTGAATTTTGATTTTAAAAACTTATAAAGTGAAAAGAAACCATATCCAGTATAAATGGAAGGAAAGAAATGATTTTACATGCAACAGGCAATTGCTTATGGGAATATGAAATGTAAATGACATCAATTGCTTTGGGAAATGCAGTAAAACATTTTTTTTTTTGACTTCATGTCTTGCAATAATTGTGATTTATAATCATTTATATTACTATTTTATAGAATATTAGTAATTAGTTAATATTTTAGAAAGTAACAAAATTCAGCTAAGAAGTCATAGTTATTGTTATTCAAAGGAAGCACTAAAGACTTATTCCATGCCAAACGCTCAGATTCGTTTTTATATATATTTAGAGCAGGATGGTTCCACCAAATGACCATTGCCAAGAAAATCTAACAGAGGTGATCATGAAGTGTAAGAATTGTTACATTTGAAACAACTCAGTTTATTCAAAATTGAAAAAAAAAAAAAAAAAAAAAAAAAAAAAAAAAAAAAAAAAAAAAAAAAAAAAAAAAAAAAAATAAAAAAAAAAAAAAAAAAAAAAAAAAAAAAAAAAAAAACAAGTTCCACCAAATGACCATTGCCAAGAAAATCTAACAGAGGTGATCATGAAGTGTAAGAATTGTTACATTTGAAAAAACTCAGTTTATTAAAAATTGAAAAAAAAAAAAAAAGGAAAATTAATTGTTGGGAGTGTTTAAATAAAATAAATAAAAATATGTGTGGTTATTAAATATGAAACAGTTGCAAGGCTAAAAAAATCTCTACAAGATTTACCAAACAAGAAGTTAGTAAGTTTACAAATAGCGTCTAGGCTAATAAACAAAAAAAATGTGAGCAAACAAAAGTAAATTTCTACATGCAAGCTTAAGCCATAAACTACATGGCCAGGGAAGCTCACCAAGGGAAGACTAAATCAGCCACTGTCAGGCCATTCCATTTGGAATGCTTGAAGAACCAATACTTTCCTCCTCCGTAATTTACAAATATCATGAGGAGAATAGAAATTCTGTTTTGTTGAAAAAAATTTGAATGTTAACAAAACAAAAAATGTGGTTCCCTGATCTTTGCCCTTAGAAGTTCAATTTTACATTCAGCACATTTCTAAAATATTTTATTCAGCTTTATATTCTCGCTTATGATGCCTTATGAGGGAGCATGCATCAATAAATCTGTTGAGGCAAAGTGCCCAATATATCTGGCCAGAGTTCCACATGAAATGAGTGTTGAAATTGTAGGTTTCTTTTTGCCATTACCGAAAGATGCAGTCTGTAAGGCTAATTTCTGACCCTTTAAATATGTCCAGATAATTTGAGTTCTCTAACTAATTTCTTACCCTCTAAATGTGTCCAAAGACTTCAATCTTTCTTTAACAGCAACCCGAGGTTGTTGACCCGTGGCCGAAGCATCATCAATTTGATTGATATTGGTTGGAGTACCTAGGTCCTGGCAGAGAGAACATAAAGTCAATTTACTTTTAAGGTTGTATGTTGGCTTGCACAATTTTAATTTTGGAAAAGAACTCTCTAACCAGACTCTTTATTGTAGCCCATTGACTATAACTATACTACAGTAGATGGTGGTGGGGGGGGGGGGGGGTTGCCATTTTCAATACTATCAACTTCATGTAGTTGTTTAATTCTCAAAATAAAAAATTTAATTTTTAATATGTGATTCTATATTTTGTAAATAACCTCTTGAAAATAAACCCTTTAATATTAACTTAAGTTCACTGAATAAATACTTCACTGAGCAACTTCATTTTTCCCACTTTTGTTTACATTTTTATTTCTCGAAGACTAAGACAGACACACAGTTAATGAATTAGAATTATTGATCATTTAATCAATGTTTAACACTATCCAGCCACACCTGATGATTAAAATCTTTAACTGTTGAATGTTAATTCAAATATTCAAGTGAGTCTTCTGAATTTTTAAACAAACCACCCACACTATGCCAAGGTGAATGGCCCAATATCATTAACTAGAGAAATAAAATATTGGTATAATTTTTTAAAATTATATAATTTCGGTGTCAACAATATAAGAACATTTTATAGTGCAGCAGATGGAAACCTTTTGAGCTTCACTATTACCTGCTGGTGTTGGAATTCATCCTTTCTTATCAAACATATAGACTTATCAAGAAAGTTTAAGTGTAAAAAGAGTAATATCACACACAAAAAAACTACCATTGCTTGAATAATTATTTAAAGCAAAATGCATTTGTAAAATTAAAAAAATTTAGGAGGGTACAACATCCCACTCTCTTAATCAGTTACTTAGATCAGTTGATTAGGGTGAATTCTTTCCCTATAAGCATCAGTTCACACGATCAAATTAGCTTCAAATTCATGTCACATTTTTGTAAGAACGCACTATTTTGTGCATGATTTCTTCTTTTGGAAAAAAATGGGAATTCGATCAAACAGTAATTTGAAAGTTGTGAAAAGGCTTCATATAAAAATCGCATCAAATGCATGATAAAAATTTGATCGTGTAAACTGTCACTTAGTCAAACCAAAATATATAGATGAATTTGACAACCAGCCCCCCCTGCCCCCAATCAAATAATTACTCTTAAAGTCAATATTTCCACATTTCCATTTAACTGGATCTATAAAAGAATCTTCCCTTATTTCACTTACCGACATCATACTCTCTGTGCTCCAGAAGCAAAGGATTCTATGTATGTAGCCTTTACTGGAGTATAAAAAAAAAATGTTGAGCAATTAAATCACAGTTCGTCATTTATAAGTATTCCATACGAAAGACAAATGAGTGTTTTTTTCATTGCTTCAGATTAGTTTGGAATGTGCCACAAGATGGAAATAGGAGTTATTGGCAAGTTTACTTTACTAATTAACATATTGTTAGCTTAAAAATGTCCTTTACCTGTACATATATTGGCCTAAATTCCAGAGAATGATTAGAAACAGGCAGGCACCCAGGGCAATATAAATTGCTGCCGAATAAATACACAAAACATAAAATTTGACTTGTCTTTTGTTATGTTATGGAGTCAGCAGAAAAATTATTTCAGATTTTAAATCAAACCAAAAATGGATGCTTTTTATCATACAATTATCCAGGCATATTAATCAAATTTTAAGTCAAAAAATAATTAAATTTTTTAAAATGCAAACTCTTAAAAAACTGTAGACATATCTGGAGAAAATGAGGAGCTATAAATATTTTCTTACGAATATGGGGATCTCCTGTTTCACTCATGGTTGGTACACAGTTAATAGTGTTGTCCACCAAATCCATGGAGATATAAATATTATACTTTCCTCCTTCAACATAAAGCATGGTCAAAGCTTTTTCACTATAATTTTAAAAAAGACAGGCACATTTCTTTAACACAACAACATTTACTTTTCATTGAATGTCAAATTGATAAGACCTATAATTTTTTACTTAAAACTGTAAACCCATAGTTTCAAAGAGTTATTTATATTTGGTGTTAAATTTGTATCTGTTAAATTTTAAGTTATGCCAACCATTACAGCACAATATTTTAGGCATCCTGTTAGTTCTCTTGAGCAAACCAGATTGTTACTGATGCTATATTTCCCTTTGTTTTTTTCTTAAACATGAGAATAATTTATTTTTAAAACTTTAAAATTTTTCAAAAATGTATTTAAAAGTATTTAAAGTGTTTTTCTCTCTCCTAGTTGTAAGATTATAATAACTGTAATAAATTTTAACATGGAAAGATAGGCTTGTAGTGTACCAAACTTGTCCTAACAATTTAAGAAAGAATGATATATGTACAAAAATAATGGGGAGGATCAACACACCCATCTATGGTGCCCTTTCTCTACTGAATCGGCAATTGATTATTTTAAGTTTGGATCAAAGAAGTCTAATTATATTACAGTATTTATGAATGCGACACTTGACTAACAAAAAAAAAATTGATTATTGCCCTAAATAAAACACAAGAGTTTTCTGCCAACCTGCAGTTTGATTATTTTAAGTCTGGATCAAAGAAGTCTAATTATATTACAGTATTTATGAATGCGATACTTAGACTAACAAAAAAAAAAATTTGATTATTGCCCTAAATAAAACACAAGAGTTTTCTGCCAACCTGCAGTTTGATTATTTTAAGTCTGGATCAAAGAAGTCTAATTATATTACAGTATTTATGAATGCGACACTTGGACTAACAAAAAAAAAATTGATTATTGCCCTAAATTAGACACAAGAGTTTCTGCCAACCTGCAGTTTGGTGATGCTGTAATAACTGTTCCGCTTTCATTGAGGACTCTTATTTCAACTCTCATCGGCCATCTTGAGTCCACATTTAGTGTGCAGTTGCTAGTCACTAACACAGTCGGAATCAAGTCACACTGCAATTAATAGAGCAAAAAAAAAATAGTTTTTAAAATTTTAGTTTTAAAATTTTTTAAAAACTCTGCACTATGTATCATTTTCAAACAAGGTTCTAGATTAAATACCAACCTAAGGCTTTGGAAACATATTTATATTTTATAACTTGACAGATTTACGTTAAAAAAATTTCTAGCTAATTAAAATCTTCACTTTTAAATAACCATTTTTATCCGTTTAGTTGTTAAAGCTTTTATCTTTTCATGCATTTGGTACAACATTTAATGCCTGAAAGGTAATAATTTTTTAGTCAGTTCCTCAAGCGGCTATGCATTACACATAGAAACATAATTTATAAAAAAATTTAATTAAACAGCAAATCCATGATAAATTTTTTTAAATACTTTTAATTTTTTTTGTTAAAAGGTAATTATTCTCCTTTTTATAAAATGCCTGGGTGTTTTATTTTATGAGACATGTCTCTGGTTATTTGGAAACAGCTCATTAGCATTGAATTTAATTTTATTAGTTAAAACCTAATGATTTGAAATATAATACATAACAGGATCAATGTTTAAAAACAATTAGGATCACCATTAGTTTATTACCTTATAGCATTGTTCCGATTGAAGGTAAACAACTAGAGTACTTGATTGTGCATCATCATTGACAATAGTGAGATGAGCAGTATTAATTTTCCTATCAGGAATACCTTGTGGGCAAAGGCGAGGAAGGATGGGTACCGGTACCTGTCTTACTGATGATATACCAGTTGCAAATATAATCAAGCCGAAACTTAACTGCAAAAGATCTGAAATTGTTAGAAAATAGGTTAAAGCAATTTAGAGGAGAAACACTGTTATCAAGTAATTATTTTTAAATAAATATTTTATTTTTATACTGGGTATTTGCCAAATCTACCCTTTATATAGGACAAACAGATAAATAATATTCAGCTTGATCAAACTAATAATCATTATCACAAAATACATCTTCAATATGCACATTTTAAATTTTTTAAAAAGAATATTTGTATTTCCTATTATGAATAAATGTATTGACATGCATTACAGGCAGTTTTTGATTTACAAATGAGTTCTGTTCCTAGAGGTTGTTAATTACCATATTTATTGGCGTATAACACACCCCCACGTATAACACGTACCTCAATTTAAGAAGGAAATTTCAGGAAAAAAACTAAACATTATATCGGCGTATAACACGTACACACGATTTGCCCCTTATTTTCGGGGAGAAAAAGTGTGTTATACGCCAATAAATACAGTATATGTTTGTTCATTATGCATAAAAACCAACGAAATATGGACTTTTTTGTTCACAAACAACAATGCTATATTTAAACAGTCATTTTTACATTCAAAAAGCAATGTATTAATTAAGGAATATGCAGACTAATGTGTTATTATAACAATGTACTACAAAGAAAATATAAAGTTGAGAAATTACAAGGAGAAATTAAATAACATAATTAAATAATTCATTTCTTAAGATTTTTCTATTAGTAGTAGTAGTAAAAACATATGTTTCTGAATCAAGAGTTGCATTTATTTATTTTTTAAAAATCAGTCAAATATTGTCAAAGACCAAATGTGGCAGTTTTGTGGCAGTAGTTCTTAAATATCAGAAACATAAAAAATGGCACAGGGCTGACAAGTCATCTCATTCAATATGATTACTGGAAATGTGTACGAAAGAAAATTATTCAATTGAATATTGTGAGACAGATGTTTGTTCAAACCCAAATTTGTTTGCATGTAAGTTTGTTCTTTGCATGTAAGTTTGTTCAAAGATCAAATTATGTGAAAAAAAATATAATGAATATATTTTATAAAAGGTAAAATTTTCCCCATTTTTCACTCACTAAAACATTTTTAAAATAAATTTTCAAAATAAAATCCAATTAAGGCGTATGTAATAAGCTAATAAATTTATTTTATGGAATTATATAGAGTTTATAGCAGTTGTTCCCAACCTGTTTCTCCTCAGAGCCCTTAGAGCTTTGAATGCACTTCTGAGGGGCTCCAGTAAATAAAATAAACACAAATTGAATAAAACTTGTAATCCATACATAGGGCATAGACCTAAGCCTAAGGGGCTCCCCCATACATTCTAATTAAAATGGGTTCTTTGAGTTATATATGTTGGGAACTACTGGTATAAAGTATAGGCAAATGTAAGGCAGGCCATAATACTTTATGAAAAACTTGAGTGAGCCAAAAGGAAATAGAACAGGGGGGAAGCTATTAAGGAAATAATAATAAAGAATTTTTCGTTATTTCGCAGGCCGCAAAGTGGGTGCTAGCAGGCGCATGCGGCCCGCAGGCCATATGTTGTGCAGGCCGGGAGTATAGGCGTACAAAAAGAAGTAGAAAAACTGGAGTATACTCTTTCAATTTCAAGGATTTTTAATAAAATAATTTAGTGGGCAGGCCCCTATTTTAACTTACTTAAACTAAATTAAAAGACTTAAATATAAAATTAAACTTTGAGAAATTATGTTTTTTTATTTTGTCTTTTTTTGTAAAATTGTAAAGTAAAAGTATGATATTGTGAATTATGACTATGTGACATGCATGGTATGTAGTTAATGTGTTTCTGATTGTGTTAACTGAATCATTCACTGATTTTGTGAATGACCCGCGCCGTCAGGCTCAACTCAGATTCAGATCTGACTGATACTGATTGTTTTGTCACAGATTAGATCATGCTGTGTCTCACACTCACACCGTGACCATGTAATGTAATAAAAGTAGTTTGTAAAGTGACAGACAAGTTTATAAAGTATTCACGGTCAAGTAATTTTAAAGAAAGAAAATCTTTTAAATTGAATCAGGACATAAACACACCCAAACGCAACATCATATGAGCATGAACTTGGTTGTAAATACTATATAAATGAATATTAGTTAAGGAGGCTTGACATTTCCTATCACAACACAACAGTCATGTGACACTTATTTTTATAAAATGTCATCCAAATATCGAAAACCGACGAACTTAGTCATTATGAATACCTTCCGAACTTTTTACTAAGCCGAAATCCGTGTCATTAATTAGAGACTAAAATTTATTATTAACAGTTTGTTTAAATGTTAGAAATAATTTATATTAGGATATAAATATCCCTATTTAATTGAAGTGTCAAAATTCAAAAGCATAATATCTTGAAATTACATTACTGTTGCTACTACATAATATCCATTGATCAATTTATCATTTCATTAAATAATTCAAGTTCAAAGGTCAGATTCTTTCCAAAGTAATAGCACCGCTGGACTGCCACAGTACTTCTATAACTATAGTTCTTCATAACAGTCAACTGAATAATATATATTTCTCTTATTATAGTTATTGATTGATTGTCTTGACTCAGTAAAGCTGCTGCTCCAACTTTCTATTTATATGTTACATAGATAGACTCGCGTGACGTTACTCTATTACTATTATATTACCGTAGCAAAGGCAGAGGATGTCTGAAGATGCACCAGATGAGAAGTGTCTTGAAAACTATCAATATTCTTTTAGGAAAGACATAATTAGGTAAGTCTTTCTACCTATAAAAGTAGACTTAGTAGTACATACTGAATTATTCACTAAATTTTATATTTAATTATGTGAATATGACATGATATATTGGATATATTTAACTACTTATCCACTTACCAGTGGCGTCACTTGGGGGGTGCGGACAGCACTGTCACTGGTTGACAACCTTACAACTCCAGGGAAGACACAAATGGTTAATTAATGATAATTTGTTAGAGCTGCTCGATTCGGGTGCATAATATATCAATTCTAAGTTTAATTTAAGAGCAGGATGCTATCAGTCAGACTTATCATTATCATGCATCTTATTTTGCACAAAAACCCAGAGTTTTGGGGCAAATCATTTGTCATTTGAAAGAGATGCTTATAACTATAAATAAAAAAAGGGATATATTATACTAATTATAGTTAATAAGTTATAGTCCACTCATTAATCATTCCTCATTAAGCCTACAAATATTTCCCACAATTCTGTGGCTTAATGTGAGAGGAGCTTTTGAAAAATGAAACTTATAAAGAACTATTTGCGATTAACCATAGAAAAGTCCAGGCTTTCTGATCTTCCTATTGTGTTAACTGAATGTGATAAGTGAAAGAATGTTGATTTTGATGAATTGATTGACAGGTTTGATCTTTGAGGACCAGGAAAGTAAAAGCTGTAACTGTTATTAAATGTTAAGTTAAATGTTTCAATAAAAGTAATTTTGTTGCTTTTAACTTTTGTAAAATGCCAAACACAAAGCGATTCTTTATGATCTGGTTACAAATCAATCTGTGCCAGTAGGGGTTGGGGAGATATTCGTTGGGAGGGGTGGCACTATGAGTTTACTCCATGGGGTGATACCAACCCTTGTGATGCCTCTGCCACTTAATATAATCATTCATCATCATGTCCTACTGAGACGCTGGTGCTTGAAGCTACTGCCAAGCAAGGAATGCCACTTCTGTCTATCAGTTGTTGCTAATGATTCCTTTGCAGTGTACTTTGGAAGCAATCTGCAGATCCTGCCTTCTCTAAATTATACTTCATAAGACATCTTTTGGACTTGGTCTACCAGGACATCTTTTTCACTGGGCTGTCCATCATAGTATATTGTTGTCCTAAATCTCAGTTCTTTATTGGATATTGTCTTTTTCCAGAAGATTCTATGGATCCTTCTTAAGCATTGCACCTAGAAAACTTTTCCAGCTTCTGTTCTGATATGCTTTGGGTCTTCCTGCACTTTGAATTTGATCTATACTCAAGGCATTTCTTTAAACCAGGGGTAACTTTTTAAACAGAGTGCCAGTTCACTGTCCTTTAGATACTGTTGGTGGCTAGACTTTAATTTGAAGAAAAAAATGAATATGAACGAATTCCAATGCCCATTGCACATATCTTATTTGTTTTGCAAAAAACAGGAAAAATCAATAAAACATTTAAAATAAAAAACAATTTTAATCAACATCAACTTTTTAGTATTAAAATGGGAAATATTTTTTGGATAATTAAGAACAATTAGCAATATTACGATTATATATATATATTGTATTTCATATATTAATTTTTAAACATAATATAAATTATATTTTTAAAATCCTGAAATCAAAAAGAAAAGAATACATCTTGAAATGATTTTTGCATTTGAGACAAAATTAAATTCAAATTAGTAATGCCTACATTAAAGTTTATAATAGTTATAAAATAATGTTGACTAAATCTAGTGGCGTATGAAGGAGGGTGCAGAGGGGCAGTCTGCGCCAGGCTGCACTTTTTTCTTTATATGGAATAAGGATGGGTGGCACTTTTGGCCAAATACAGTGGGTTTTTCCTAGAAAGCCCGGAAAGGGTGGAGGTGGGTGTGGGGGCATCAAATTTCACAGTGCTCTGGGCAGCACTAACCCTAGTTACTCCAAAGATTAAACCTTATCTGAGGAAATGGTGTTTGAAAGGAAGACAATAGGTTTTTTAACTAATTATTCATTGAATATATAATGGCATTCAACTATCATTTCAAATGCTGTAAGCACCAAATTGATATTAAATTTAAAAAAAACAAAGGTCTAATTTTGCCCATTATTTAAGGGAACTACTGACCCATAATATATTTATTCTATTTTTTGAACAGCAATAAAGTGGCGTTCATTACGGGAGGTGGTTCAGGCATTTGTTTCACCATTGCAGAAATTTTGATGAGGTATTGAGAAAAGTTGAGAACCTCTTTATATACTGACCTTGATTTTTCTCTGTCATTTCTGAAAATATGTTGTGTTTTAGAAGTTCACTTGTTTGATGTTCAATTTTAACTATTTATCATCCATCATTATTGATTTTTTTTTTCCTTTTTAAATCCTTATTGGTATTATTATTACAAATTTTAAGTCAAAAGTAACGAAAAGCAAGGAAAGACCTGTTTGCAAATAATTCAAGATTGCATTAGTATAGAAAACTGAACATCAAATTTCAGACATGGATGTCATACTGCTATTGCTGGCAGGAATCTGGATCGTCTGAAAAAATCTTCCCAAACTCTTAGCAAGACAACTGGACGCAGGTGTCTGCCTGTACAAATGGATGTTCGAAAAGTGAGTTAATTTATTTATAGTTAATTTTTTGGTTCAGCTATTGATAATCATGGTGGAGCAAATTGCGATCAGTGGCCATTTTTTAATAACATCTTTCTATACTCTGGTGTCCCAACTACAGTAATTAAAAAACAGCAACAATTATTTTGCTGAACTATAAATCTGATGATTTATGACTTAATGACTTAACCATAACTAAGCTATACAGGAGATATAAAGCACATAGGGGTTGATTGAGTTACTTTGTTTATGGAGGACAAGATTTTCAAATCTCTGTATCATTTAACTATGAATTACTATATCAATGGCTAACCATAACTGAGGAATACAGGAAATTAAGTTTATGTTGAAAATAGTAGTTGAGAAAACATTAGACTTGCTAATCTGGATTCTGCTATATCATGGATAACTGTTTCTATTTCTTTGAAGACATTTTTAACTACTTCCGTACATCTTGGTGAGGTGAGAAATCAGCTGCTCAGCCGTAGCATAATCCTAGAAAAATATTTTAACCTTTCACATTTTAGTAGATCACCCATTTACCAATTATGTATTCAATACAATTACATGTAATTAAAATTTCAAATATGCCAAGAATTAAAATAAAATGACTGCTATCAGAGGCCATAGGGAAATTTCCAAATGGCAAATGTTTATTTTGTTGATACATACCAATGCAAATTGCAAAAATGCAAAGTGTAAACAATAATGTAATCTTCATCATAAGCAAAGCTTGTTAAAAGTTTTTCTGTTTGGTATATAAAATATAAGTTTAAGTGCATATGGTAAGTTTATTTAATTTAAAAACAAAGTTAATATTTGATAAATTGTTTACAAAAGGTATTCTTCTTCTTCTTCTATATATTAAGGGCCCACGATCAATTTATTGATCATTTTTGGCTCCTATGCACGTAGAGGGGATTTGCAATGTTTCTGTATGACACCCCTCAACAAAAAAAAGTGTTGTTTTTTGGTTTGTTTTTTGAGGGTGGCTAGTTTTAAATTTGTGTATTGGTGACTGGTTTGTATGTTTGTGCGATTAGTGACAGGAGAGAATTTTATTTACATTTTTGCAGGAAAATACTAAAGATGCTGGCTATATAGAAAATATGTCTCTTTTTATAAGTCTTCTATAATGCAAAACTAAAAAAAATGTGTAGTTGAAAAGTGGATAAATAATTTGAAAACCTGGCTGTCATTTATTATTTCTGGTTAAGAAATTGTATTTGTTTATTAAAGATAAGTCTAAGATTAAGCAACTGCTAACAATAATGCTTTTTCCATCCACGTTAAATTTTAATAACAGCCCCAAGAAGTCATTACTGGAGTTGAAGCATGCTTGCAAGAATTCGGTCGTATTGATATACTCATCAATGGTAGTAATTTATCATCTTTATTTGTTTGTTTTCTGTTGAAATTACTTTATGGACTTGACAACATACAAACTGTCTTACACCAATATCTATTTCCATCACTTGTTTTGAAAGCTAGCTGCGAAGCATCAGACCCTTGTAGCGGTATTTTAAGCAGGTGACCCATTTATATGTAAAAGTCTTTTTCTAGAGAACTTGTCAAAGCAATGATATAAAAAATAAGTTAAGTAAACAATTATTAAATACTGTGTTACTTTTCATTTAGAGTTACTTTATTCTAAAACATAATTTTTAAAGATATGTGCTCAACCTTGTAAAACTTAAATTAAAATACTATTAATGTAAAACAACGGCTCTGCAGTTTGAAACTTTAGGCAGAGCCTCACTTGTTCATTTATTAAATAATAATAATAAAGCAAAGAATAAAGAAATTTAGAGGTGCTACATAAAATAAATAAACATGGTCTTGTGGGAGTACATGATCCAGATTACTTTGGGAGGTTAAACAATTTATTAGTTATTAACAGGGGACAAAACGCTGAAAAGTCTACATATATCATTTGAAAGCAACTACGATGTTTATTTCATAGAATTTCTTTAACATCTTTCAGGTGCAGCTGGCAACTTCTTGTGTCCCCTTGAGTCTATGTCTTTCAATGCCTTCAAGACTGTTTTAGAAATCGACACACTTGGTACATACAACGTCAGCAAAGTTGCTTATGATAAATATTTTAATGTAAGTAGGATAAGTCATAGCAATACTTATTTTTATTTCAATGATCTTTATTTGTAGTTTAGTATATTTCTGCAAGTGCAGGATTTCTTTCAATTAAAGTGCAAATATCTCTTAAACAAGTGTTTCCCAACCTTGGGTTGTCCCCCCGTCAGGAGTGCTAAGAAAAATGATTGGAAATAGCAGATGGCTTTTTAATTTCTCTATTAACAGTTTACTTGGTGTAATAAGTCACACATTTTATCCCCTAGTTTCTTTAGTTCCCTTTGAAATTCTCTTAACAAAATTTTAAAGCATTTCTTTTGTAGGAGCTGTGAGATTTAGTCAAAGAGTCTGTAGGGGGTATGCAATATAGAAAAGGTTGGGAAACACTGCCTTAAATCGAGAATTGAACTCTTGGTTCATTTTACCTGGTCTGTTGTTGATCATGAGGTAAGGTCTATACTGACTTCTGTCCTCTCTCAGACTCATAATAAGCATAGCTCAGTTATAAAAAATGCAGAAATTATAATTTTTCATTCATTGCAAGACAAAAAGATAATTTTGAGCTGTGTCTTTCCATTCTTATCATACTTGCTGACAACTATACTTTTGCAGGCCAATGGTGGTGTTATTATCAACATTACAGCTACACTGCATTACAGAGGAACAGTTTTACAAGCACATGTTGGAAGTGCAAAAGCAGCCATAGGTAAATTAAATTAAAACATTTGCTATTAATTAATTCTTATTAAATACCGTCACTACTTAGTTAAGTTTTATTCTAAACTTATAATTTTTTTAATTAATATTTTTAATTAAATACATCTTTTTGCATGGTCAGCATTTATTCTTTAACTGCATTTCTTAGAAAGGCTTAAGAAAGTAGTAAAACTTGAGATGCTTAAATTTTTTTAAGAGGCTCTAACAAAACATCAGGCCCTGGAGTGGGGACCACAAGGTATTCGAGTCATCTGTGTGGCACCTGGTCCTATAGATGATACAGAAGGCATGAGGCGCTTAGGTAAGTCTTTCACACATAAACTTTACTCTAACATCGGGGAACAGTCGTATTTTCAGTGATTTACTGTTATCTTTCAAAATAAAAAAGTTAGTCACCACAAAGAAATAAACAAGAAACCTTCGCATAATTTTGAAATAAAAGCTGAAAATTATAATGAGTTAATTGGAATTATTGTAATAAATATTATATTACTAAAGATTTAAAGGTAGACCAAGTGAATTGTAAATTCTAATTTTAATAGTAGGCCAAATGAATTGTTACAAATTGTAACATTCCAATTTTAAAGTAGGCCTAATGAATAAACGTTCCAGATTTGGACAAGTTCTTTTGATGGATTAATATGTTAAGTTTACTATTGTGTGTAGCCATTATAAAAATTGTTTATCATTAAAAACCATGTTTGGTAATTCCTTAGCTTAATAAAAACTATGTTATCAATATTATTAATGTTATTATGTTATCAATGTTATCAATATTGGAATAGTAATTTTTTTTAGTTGACAAGACGTAACATTAGTCGCATAATACATTTTGATATTTTTTAGGATTCATTATTTAATTTAACTCTTCCCTAGAAGATGGCTATTTTACCTTTGTCCTTCTTTTATTGTAGGAGGGGGAGTTCCTAAGGAAATCATCAACAATAGCATCCCTATAGGTCGCATGGGAACAAAGCGAGAAATCGGGGAAATATGTCTATTTCTTGTGACAGACATGGCTGGCCTGATCACATCCTCCACAATAATCGCTGATGGGGCTTCTTGGTTGTCTGACTCCGACACACAGAGAAGGATGGAAATGTTTAGAAGTCTGAAAGGAAAACTCTAGGGAGATAACTATTCTCTTTGTATTGAAAGGAAAACTGTAAGGGGAGATAACTATTCTCTTTGTATTGAAAGGAAAACTCTGGAGGTGATTAAGTATTCTCATTGTATTGTGAATTTAACATGGGATATGCTGACTTCTCATAAGGTTAACTTTTTAACATTCTCTGTATTCAAGACTTATGACAAGGCTCATATGTGTATACTGATGAAGAAATCCAGCTTAAGACAAGAAATACATGGGGGGGGGGGATTTATTTTTCCCCCACGACTTGATTTCAGATTGAAGACATAATGTACAGGCTTTTTGGGGTTTGAGCTGAAACTTTGTCTGGCACAGTGCTGATGTTTTCAGACATATTTTCTTATGTAGATGTTATGTAATACATCCTGAAACTTGTCTGACACAGTGCTGATGTTGTCAGACATAGTTTCTTATGTCAATTTATGCATACAGTTTTCTATTGTTCAGATTTTATTTCTTTTTTTTTTTTAAATTTCAATCTCAGCCATTCAAGAACTCATTGTTACCAATTTATCCAGATGAACATTGAATATATCTATGCATGTATACATTTTTCCAATTTAAAAAATGTGAACATTTCAAATAATTAAAATATTTTTTTTAAAATTATGCTTTTGATTAATGATCTTCACGAGGGATATTTTGTAAATAAACACCCATTTAATATAGTATTAGTTCTGCACACACAGACAAACACACACACAAATTATGCATTAAAATAAATGTCAGTCTTTTGTATAAAATGATTTTCTTAAACAGCCTATGAGGGAGGTTGGGGAACTACCACCAATAATCTAAAAAAACAAAAAACAATATTTTAATGCGTTTGTGAACTATTCATTATTTGAAAATAGAAGATTTTTAATGAAAGATTTCTCATTCAATGGCTCTGGTGGTCCCTATTTCAGATGAAAAACCCACATACCCCTATACTCTCTACACCACCCCCATACTCGCTACACCACCTCCACGTCTGCAATCTGTGCCTTTCAGAGGCCACTAGACAAAGCTTTAAAATATATTTTAAAATGCATATGTAACTGAAAATAAAAATTATAATATGGTGCTCCAGGTTGTAAAACTACCAAAACTTTGAAAGTACAAACAGAAACATTAAGTACAAACAGAAACATTAAGTAGAAATACAATGAAAACAAATGAACAGTGGCTCTACAGCCAATACAGGACACGCTGATTCCTGGCCTGTCCCTGCCTGCCTCGGGTCCCTGGCCTGCCCTTCAAATCGACCAATCCATCACAGCTCTCAACTCTAACCACAGACCATCAGCTGCTGAAAATCTGCCTCCACATCAATAACATCACAAATCTGTTGCAGTCGTGGGCGATAGGTGAGTCTCCTGCCCCTTGGTTGTTGGTGCTACACAAACCTTCACTCCTCTGTGGCAGTCAGGGCCAGATTTCCCATAGGGCCACCCTAAGTCATTATCATAGGGCGCAGGCGTCAGAGAGTGTTTAGAAGAAGAAATTTCCAAATAATTACAAATAGGCTGTTAATATTATTTTGGTAAGGCCATACAAAATGCTGTAGTAATATAAATTTTAATTTAAAATATAATATGGTTCAAAGATTGTATAAAGATTGTTTCAAAATGAACTATCATAAAATAATATATTAAATTGGAAATTATAAGGGGGGTGGGGGTGCAGAATTATGTATTTTGGCCTAGAGCGCAGATATGTAAATATATCCTAGTGGCAAACAGTGTTCTGGTCGCATCATCTCACATCTGATTATCGGCTATCTTGGAGCACGTCACACTTGTGGGTCTGACCATTGCTGGTCTATATAACTATAACTATATATATATTACATAATGTGGCAGTCTCTGTGCCCAATGTTATAATTATAAGCATGTGCGCACACTAAAGACGCAATTTTCTATTTGGCTTAGAGTCTGATGAAGGAGATATTCTGGAATTTTAATGGAATGTTGCAAGTTTCATTTACTATATATAATTCATTATTTTAACGTTGTGGTTCTTTAAGTTTAAAATGTCTAACAAAATATTACTGTGGCCAGTGGCGTAGCCATGATTTTCTATTAAAAAATGGGTATGGGTTCGGTGGGTAGATGATGGCCAAGGGGAATGAGTGGGGATCAGTGCCATCAGGGATGGGACAATACATTTTTGAGCAATTGAAATGGTGGCATTCAGTGATAATTTTCACTATTATTACAATTACAAGCACTATATTATGTGCTGTTTAGCCTACAATAAATATTAAGAGGTTGTTTAATTTACCTAAGAGGCCATGAATAAAAGGCTACTTTTGCCGTGAGTCCCTCCCCAGAAAAGTGTGTAGTGCACCTTTTCTCATGATGGCCTAACCACGCACATCTATTGCTTTTAATTGTAGTTTGTACTTTATCATAATAATTCTGCTGACTCTGCATTAATTAAGCTTTAATTGAATACAATTTTTACAAAATGTAATTTTTCGTTTGAACCCCCACCACGCTCACACCCCCTGGCTACGCCACTGACCTTAGCATTTTGACCCAATTTTTCTTTGCCTCAGGTGTATCTAGAGTGTTTGGCATCATTTTTATGCCTCTCCCTCTTCAACTCTGAAGGTGGGGCGCAAAAATCGGCGCACCTCACTAGCCTGGCGCCAGGGGAATCTGCCCACCTCCCAATCTTAGCTACGCCTCTGAATAGCCTGTCTTTATATGCTTATAAAATACTATAACCATGTTAATGTGACGCCCGTACATGACCTATAATTAATATTTATGTATATGTTATTAAATCTTGCTTCAGAAATATCTAAAATTTTAGTTACATCATTAAAACAAATGTAGACAAGTTTTTCAGAAGCCATAATTCATAATATTAAGTCTTCTGAAATTCTCTAAGTGAAACCGAACTCTAGGCATTTTTGTCTTGAAATTATCTAAATTTTATTTATTTGCAGTAATAATTATTAATTTCTTTTGCATCAAGCATCTCCCTTCACAAAAAATAAAATAAAACAAATAAAAATAAACAGCTTTTTCCATTCATCAAACATATTCGAAACGAGATGGCCGACATTCCCCCCCCCCCTCCCCTTTTACTTTTACTTGTTACACTTCCTCTAAATAATAATGTGATGTCCCCTTATTATCATTATATAATTGAAGCTTAGAGGGAAAGGGGAGCAATTGCATCCGGTTCATTCACCCTTCATGATGGCTGCCCTAATTCCTAATGTTTTTGTTTATTTTTTCCTTTAATAATTACAACCACGGAGGCCTGTATGCCAACTGTATAATAAACTATTATCAGCTATAAATGATAAACTAAGATATAATTGAATAGTTTTCGAAGGAAGATTCTTTCCGAGTTCCCACAATAATATTCTTCTAATGCCATCAACTTCACCAAAAATGTTTACAAAACCGAAGAGCTGGCTATCTGGAACATTGTGGAGGCCGAAAAATCCACATTCTTTAGAGCACCTAAAGTAAGTTACTTGCTGTATGTCCGTAAGTGAGACATAAGTTATAAGTATACTATGTAGCTTCATCAGGATAATTTCAAATTATATTTTATATTGTATAGAAAATTTTATAAACTTAACTTTTCTGAAGTCAAGACTCCAAGTAACAATTTAATAGTAAAAGTAAAATGGGTAGTAGTCATAAAAATAATAATAATTCACATCATAATTTATTATAATCATTTGATAATCATTTCATTCTTAAATATAAATTAAATTGCTCAGCCACCAGTTGCCAGAGATAATTTTCAGTAAATTCTGCTTAAAGTAACTTCTTTTCTTTTATATTTTGAGGGCCTATGATCAATGTATTGATAATTCTGGCTCCTGTCCTATGTTTGTTGCGGGGTTTCGTGATGTTTCTGTACATGGTTGGTTATGAAGAGGATACTTCGCTGGATGCAAGGGCTGCTCAGCGATGATGTTAGGAATGGGGGTTGGAAGGCAGGAGGCAATAGACGCAAATTTGTCAAGTGTTGTCCCTTAACTGTTCCTTTTGGAAGCTTGTTCCAGTCCCTGATAGTCTTTGGCAGGAATGATCAGTTCCTGTACTGTGTTCTTGCTTTATGAGCCGGAACTTCTTGTCATGGCCTTGTTGCTGTCTAAGGGGGAGAGGGACAAGTTTCTTTTTAATGCTGGAGCAGTAGACTAGCCCATTTTTTTTATCTTGAACATCATGGAGAGCCTGGATAGTTGTCGCCATTCTTCCAATGGTGACCAGGCCAGTGTTTCCCCTAATAAGATTTCCTAAACGTTCATCATTCAAAAGTTATACTTTTTGGACTGGATGTTGGTCATTACACATAATCCACCGTCATTGGTCGAGGTGCATCCAAATATTACCTTTTTACAATATTTTTATATTTTAAAAAATTTCATCTGAAGAAACATACCTCATCCAGAATTCAGTTGGTGACACATTCTTATGCTTGTTTCATGAAAAAATATGTCAAATAATAGTTCAACTGCCCTTCCCCCCCCCCCCCCCCCATCCTTTACAAACATATGAGCCAGAATGATCGATACATTGATCGTGGGCCCTCAAAATATAGAAAGAGCTCCTCCTGACCTACTGTCTCTTAGAATTCCTCCGTTACTAACTCAATATTCTGGTTGGGGCTTGAGCTTACGCTCTTAAAGCCTGGCTTGTACAGTGATTAACAGTGGCAACCTGATCCATCTGTTGGGCAGCGCCATATAACATTGTCTGAACATAAGGCTTTCCCGCCACTGCTCTAGCCTCCCCTGCAAGATCCTTTTACTAAATTGCACTTATTTCAAGACAACACAACTTTTATCCTGGGTTCTACTCATTGAAGTCTCATTCATAGAGCCCTGAATACCAAGTTCATATCCCCAAAATCATTAATCAGTCTGCAGGTTAGACAACGCTTAACTAGTATTGCTCAGTTTGATTCACTTTTTATATAAAAAAGATCATTACAATACTGTCACCTAAGTAAATTTTAAAAATTTAAAATCATTATTTTATTTTATATGCTTTCGTTTATGTTCACAAGAATTGTTTTTTAATTAATGAAATACATCACCTTATCCCATTTTGCTTTGCAGAAATATAAATACAGCTTTTGAGATATCTTTTAACATTAAGAAATAATTAATTCCTAACTCATATCTTTCTGAAAATTATTCCGCAGATTTCTATATAACCTTTTATGCAAAAATCAGACTGTGACAGAGCAGAATCGTAGTCTCCTTGTGGAAACTTTGCGTTCTATTTCTGAAATACTTATATGGGGAGACCAAAATGACAGCAGTGTGTTCGAGTAAGCTTTGCGCCTTTCTTATAATACTCTAAATAAAATTTGTCCTATGAGCCCCACTAAAAATAACTAAATATGAAATAGGATATTACAAATTACAATATATTGAATAGCTTAAATGAGGTATGCATAATTTTAAATATATACACTTGTCTTTTATTATCCATTTAATAAACATTCATATTTTTTTCAAATCTTTAATCAATAAACAGTGAACAAATACTTTTTTTACTTTAACTTTTTTTTCTACATGGATAAAACTTAATCAAATCTTAGCTTTTAAAAATAAAGTTTCTGTATTTTGTTTAACAATTGCAGCTTCTTCCTAGAGAAAAACATGCTGTCTTTTTTTTTACGCTACCTTCAACAAAAATTTGGTAGGTATATATGTGTCCAGCTTCTGCAGACACTCAATATACTGTTTGAAAATATCAGCAATGAAACATCTTTATGTGAGTATCAATTTTTTTAAAACTTTAGAATAATAGGTTTAAAATATGTCCTAAAAGTCTTTTATTACTGAATTTAATGTATTGCGCTTCATAGTAAGGGTGTAAGTTATAATAGTATTTAGGGTATGTGAAATGTATGTAAATAAAATAAGTTATAAGTCAGATTTTCAGTATGTACTTAATCAATAAGATCACCTGGTTTCAAAGCATAGAAAAGAATCTTAATTATGTTTTTGAAACCGACTACATGTTTATTTATAGGCAGTGTAGTTAAATCAATCTAATTTTTACAAATATCAATGAATTGATGAAGTGCAGCATTAATTATTTTTCTTCAGTAAATTTTGTGTTTCATTTTAACCATATGTCAACTCCTATTTTTTTCCGGATTGATTGATTCATCAAGTTCTTTCACACGTTGAATACGTCATACTATTCTTACTATCACTCAATATAAACTCAAGACCTTTTCATAATAATTTAACTTTAATATCCTAGTATTTACTATACACATAAACACATGTATGTAGCGCAGCTCGCTATCAGACATAAATAATACACATTCTTCTTCCACAAAGTTCCACTCAAGACTGCCCAGACTAAAACTTAGTCCCAATACTGACTAGACAATATGTCACAATCAGCATAAAAATACGTCACAGAGTCAAGCGTGGGAAGAGCTTTCACTAACTAATTAAAACTCTCAAACACATATCGCGCGTAATGAAAATAGTATTCAGTCGCAACAATTATCAATGAACTCCCATACTTGACACCATAAATCAACTTAAAATAAAATTGTAAAAATATAGAAAAGTGGGATTTGTCCCCTAAATAGGATAAGAAATATAATACATTTTAAAATATTTTGCCTGATATTTTATTGATCTGTTTTTTTTTTTTTTTACAGATTATTTATTATCGAACAATCATATCAACTCAATTATTGTGCACAAATTTGACTTTTCTGATGAAGAGGTATGATTTCAAGAGTTCCACGTTTTCTAATTATTTTTAAATTCTTATTTTAAAGCCTCAACTTAGAGCCAAATGTTTTACCCTATCGCTGCGGCACAACGCACAGTACGTTCATCCGCCGTGCTAAAAAGCATGGACCAACAGACTATGTGTTGTTTCAATATCATGGTTGTTTCTTTGCTATTTTTCCATTAATTTAGGAGTTATTTTTTAATTAGACTTTTACATGGAAGAGTGGTACTTCATTGTTTATGAGCAAAAGCAAGGTTTATTTGAATTATGAATTTCTTAATATTCTTCACTGTTTCTTTTTGGTTGGTCAATAGTGTTGCTATGGCTCCCCCACGCCCAAGTGGGGATGAGTAATTTTCCTAGACAATTAACAGCTCAACAAGCTTTGGAAATGTTTCATGCTATTTCTATTGATAGTGAAGTCTTAACTGAAGATGATTTAGATTTTAGATTTAGAACCATCACATGATTCTGTAGTGGTAGTTTCAGATGATTTGAGTTTTAGCAGTGAAGATGATGTATGCCTACAGCAATGAGTTTGGGGGAAAAAAGGTTTTGCATTTCATGTTTTCACATTTTAAATATCTTTTCTGTAACTTATTTTAGTTAAACTGAAGAAATACATTTACAAACATGTAGTCCATACCATTATATTTCATTTGATACCAAATTTAGTCTTATAAACCACACAAAAAAATGTGTACATTTTTTTTTTTAATAAACCCAACCTCTTACTCTCTTTTGCTCTTTGAAAAAAAATTAAATTTTTACATTAAAAAAATTCCGCAATGAAGGAGTTAAATGAAAAACATCCAATTATCCTACAAAAATACTTGAAATGCCTAATTAAAAATTATAACAATAATTAATGGCCTCAAATTTGTTTGTTTTCAGGTGATGGCATACTACATATCTTTCTTGAAAACACTTTCGCTTAAGCTGAACAAACACACCATTCACTTCTTTTACAATGAGGTAAGTATCTGCAATGATCATAACACGGCCAGGTTGGCTATTTTGACAAGAGCATTTATTTTTACTAAAGAAACTTATTATTACTACTGCTGAGAGATGATTCAATGTTTTTTTTTTTTTAAAAAGTTTTTTTTTAAACTTACTGTTATTTTCAAATTAAGCAATATTCATTGCCTGAAGCATTGGTCAAGTTAGAAAGCACCATCGATAGTGTACCTTTTGATGTCACATCACATTTTTAAAAGTTTAACTAAATAACTTTTTTTCTTAAATGTTGTGTATGTTTTATAAATAGATTTGTTATCTTTTTTTTTAAATTTAAAAAAAAAAAAAGTTAAATAAAATCCTTACTTTATACAAGATTTAATGCAAAGATTTTGTTAGTTATTATTGTTTATTATTAAAGGTTATCTACTTAATCCAGGTTAGGATGACCGAAGTGGATTATAGAATTTTATGAAATATTCATCATCTTTAACCCACTAGTCTAATATTAAGAAGACCTTTAGGGATCATGTGTAAAGTGCTCTAGTCCAGATAGTTCAAGTTAAACAGAGACCAGATAGTTCAAGTTAAACAGAGACCAGATAGTTCAAGTTAAATAGAGACCAGATAGTTCAAGTTAAATAGAGATCAGATTGTTCAAGTTAACCAGAAACTCAAACAGGAAAAGTTGGGCGTATTACTTACTGTTACCTTCTGGCAATTATTGTTTTTTTCTATTAAATTAAAGCTATAGAATAGACTATTTATTTTGTCTGCCCTTTGGAGACGTTAAGTTTGTTTTATTTTCAGTTCTTGCCCCCACTAATTTTCTTGTGCCCGACAAGACTAGCCGTTTTATTTTGGCTTGTTCATTAATATTTTTGTTATCGTTTTTGTTGATGGGCTTTTTTCAGACTGCACACACTCCAGTAAGTTTCTTACAGTGACTTGAATTTATTTTAAACTAATGCTAAATAATCTATGAACTAATGGTGAACAAATGCTGCATTGGTTTGTGGGTAAAAAATATGCTGGCTATTTATCATAGATTAGAATGCTCTTCTTTCACTGTGTACAGTCCATAACAACAATTTTGAATAGACCAAGCATGTATTGTTTGTGATATGATTTTTTGAATGTTTAGCAGCTTCATTTTAATTTCTTCTGAGATTGTGCAAAGTGACAAAATTAAATTCTTTTTTGCATTTTTAAAATAATTTGGATATAAATTGTAAAGTAAATTAAATAGGAAAACCACATTTATTTGCCCACTTAGAATAAAAGGTTATAATAATTTAAGAAACCTCTCAGAAGTGGTAATGCTTAAGGTAATATTTACAGCCTAAAATCTTTTGGCCATAAAATATGGCAAAAAAAACCTTTGTGGAATGGCTCCTCATATTTTTACTTTTGGAATTTATGTTATTATCGAGTATTTTTATAGTAGCATAAGTTTCTAGTGGAATTAGAGTTTAATCCCAACATAATTTTTGTGTGATATTCACTATTAAAAGGAAACATACAAATTGATATCTAGAAATAACCTACATATTTGCTAATTGGTACCAGTGCCTTTTGCATAGTTTTTAAATAACACTAATACAGTCCTTAATATTTTTATTTTCTTGATTTATTTTAGTTCAATAAATTTTTATGGTAAAATGTTTCTTTTTTGCTAAATCATTAAAACCTGCTCTGTTTTAATATTTTCCTATTCAGAATTCAACAATGAAAAATAAATCTGATATCATTTCTGTAAGAGAACTTATTTATATTATACTTTTAGTTTGGCTTAAAGGGTGTGTGTGTGTGCGTTTCTGTGTGGATGTTTAGAAACTACTAGCATACCTCTATATCCTTTTGCAAACAAACAAAAAATAGATTTAAATTTTTTGAAGCTTGTGGCCTGTATACATTTTATTTTACTCATACTCATAGTTTCTGCTAGGTGGTGGTTTAAAAAAAATCCCCTCATATTATATTTTCATCTGGCAAGAGAATAGAATCACGAGAGGGCAGCTCATCCTTCTCTTGTGCATAATTTCGTCAATCTTTGTATTAGACTGTATAATATATACAAGAACCATGATCAATGAAGGGTCATTACAGTGTAATATTCCAACAAGTGGCACAAATATGACTGTTAGATACGAGTGGCCTGTATAATAATGACAAATGTTACATTCTTGTTAACTCTTCTCCCTTGTTTATCTCAGTCTTTGAATTGGATGCCACACATGACGTATTATGAATAGAAAATTGTCCCACGCCAGTCAATGTATAAAACATAAACTGATCAGAAAGGTCAGCGTGACCCAGCTCTGAACCTCAGTTTATAAACATTTTTGATCTGAGTTTAGATTTTAATGAATGGGAAACAGTACTGAAAGATGGCTGGAACACAATAAATGGGTGTCACGGCCATGGTAACATTTTACACGCGACACTAGATTGATATGGTAATTAAGACACTCATTTGCTATGCCATGCCTTCGTCATCTCACATTCTGTAGAAAAAAGCTCTTCTCTTGTTAATAATTAAACATCCTACCACACAATTGAATAGTTTCACTTACTGTTAGTTAAAATGTGACATCTCATTTTCTCAATCTTGTGCTAGAATACATATTAATAACACCAAGTTCTGTTCAAAAATTAAACTTGGTTTGTTAAATGTATTAACTTGGATGCAGAAGAAGCTTGATCACATTTTTGGCATCACGTCCTGCTCCTCTCAAAATCCTCCCCCCTCCCCTCACTATTTAATCTTCCAAACAACCTCCCCTCCCCCACATGAATTAATTTTTTTTTTTTATCTCAAACCATTACCAGCAAAGACAATACACCTTACAAATGTATTATTAGCCCAAGCATGTTCTAGAACAGGGGTGTGCAAACTGCGGCCAGCGGGCCGAATGCGGCCCGGCAACTGCGGGCCGAATGCGGCCCGGCAACTGATATTATGCGACCCTCAAAGGCATTTAGAAATAAAAAAATTACTTTGTTTTAGTTATTTTGTTGAATTTTACAGAATGATTGTTTTAACATTTTTGATCAAATTTCTTTCTAATTTTCTATTTTTTTAAACAGACCTTGACTTTTGTCATGTAATGCTAAAATTTACCCATTTATAATGTTTATCGACATGTAAAAATTGGACATAACATACATGCGGCCCCCCAATAGCTTTACATGTGTCAATGTGGCCCTCCACACAAAAAGTTTTCCCAACCCTGTTCTAGAGGAACATCTATGCGATAATTTTGTAAATAATCTTTATCTTTCCTGCAGCACACAAATGACTTTGCTCTTTATACTGAAGCCATCAAGTTTTTCAACCATTCCGAGTCCATGGTGAGGATAGCAGTCCGGACCATCACCCTAAATGTCTTCAAAGGTAATATTCCAACATCGTATCTTGGTCTTCTTTCTTAATAAAAAAAAAATTCCCTAAAACACAGTGACATAGCTAGGGTTTTTGCCGTCTGAGGATGGCCACCTGTGCTATGAAAAAAAACCTAAGCAGTTGGCTGAAAATGCTGCCCCAAATGTTAAGAAAAATATGCAGCCCAGGACCGTCTGCCCCCTTCGCACCCTCCTTCTTACACTACTGCTTAAATCCTTCTACTAATTAGTCGTAATTAGGTTTTTAATTTTTACGATCCTTTAAATAAAAAAAATTAAATTAGCTTGTGCTTATTTTGCGTTTATTTTGTGTTTGGTTCAGTTTTAAAAAAAAAGGTTTTCAAAATCTTTTTTGGTAATCTTCCTGTTGAAGTCATTTGCTGCATTGCTTTAATTTCAGTTGATGATAAAGCTATGCTCAGCTACATACGGGACAGAACAGCGGCACCCTACTTCTCAAACCTTGTGTGGTTTATAGGGAATCACATCTTAGACCTGGACACATGTGTGCGCCATGATCACGAGTAAGTTTACCAAGATGGGTGGCACTGACACTGAAAACCACATTTTTTTCTTGTGCTCATAGTTTTTAACCCATCCGGCTTAATTGGTGGTAACATTGAAATGACAGTTTGAAATATACATGGGGGAAAAAAAGGATGCTTTCAGGGATGCATGGAGGGATGGATTGATAAGCAATTCAGAGGTCTCAGAGTGATGGATTGATAAGCAATTCAGAGGTCTCAGGGTGATGGATTGATAAGCAATTCAGAGGTCTCAGAGTGATGGATTGATAAGCAATTCAGAGGTCTCAGGGTGGAAGCAACTGTTTTTGGGATATTATATAAAAATATAACTTTAAACTATTTTCTTTCATAACATCAAATTTTTTGTTTATGTAATAATAGTGGAATATAAATTTTGTATTTTGTAATTATAGTGGTATATAATATTATCACAGAAAGAGATATCTTAACTGAGAAACGAAAACTGACATTTTTGGATATAGTCCAGTACCTGACATTTTCTAATATAGTCCTGTGCATTGCTTGTCAGTTAACTTCTATTCTTTGGGTTTTTGACAGCAGCCTGCCCCCCCCAAGGAAGTTTGCTTAATAAATTCTAAATTAAGATTAAGATTATTATTTTTCCTACCGGGTAGGTAATCCTGAACATCAGAATTGGACTTACAAATTCTTTATACTATTACTTTCTTCCTAGTCATAGAAGTCGAGACCGGCTGGCTGATCTTGTGGCTGAACACCTAGACCACCTCCATTACCTCAACGACATTTTCCTGATTGACATAGATACCCTGAATGAGGTTTTGACGGACAAGCTGCTGAACAGGCTGCTTGTGCCGCTCTATGTCTACTCACTGACCAAACGCAAGAAATTCTCAGAGGAGGTGGTAAGCAGCTCTCATTTGTCCCTCGGTCATTTGAAAGCTATTTCCATTTACAAGTCATTTTTTAAAATAAAAATATATTAATAAAGAATGTGTCTATGATTTGTTTATGGGATAAGTGGCTTGTCTTACTTGAATGTGTCTATGATTTGTTTATGGCATAAGTGGCTTGTCTTACTTGAATTTGTTTTCTCCGCAGGATGACAGAAAACATGTCAGCTGTGTTGTGTCTCTGTTCCTACTCTCACAGGTGAGTGACCACACTAAGGCATAGAGACATGATTACTTTATGAAGACCTTTACTTATTTGTGTAAAAAGTTTTGTCCCTATAATTTATAATAGGATGAAGACCTTTACAGATATTTGTAAACATTTTAGTCCCTATAATAGGATTTGTGGGAAAATGTCAATGTCTACCACATGGAAGTGAATTCATGTTTAAATAATGACTCAAAGATTTCATGTTTTAATAATGACTCAATGAATTCATGTTTTAATAATGACTCAATGAATTCATGTTTTAATAGACTCAATGAATGCATGTTTTAATAATGACTCAATGAATTCATGTTTTAATAATGACTCATTGAATTTATGGTTCAAATGAAATCTTTGTTTATTTGTCTGTAAATGAAACCTGCTGTTATTTGACTGGTTAAATTACTCATGCTTAATTACCCCAGGTGTTTCTGATCATTCATTATGGACCCCTCATGCAGCAGCTAGCAGAAGTGATTTTCCAAGGGGATGTGGCTCTGGCTCACCCAGGTGGGCCTGGACATAGGGATTCCCCAAAAATGGTCAGTTGTATGGTCAGTTGTAAGATTGTAAGTGCTCATCACTAAAATGGCAAGAGATAACATATAAGATAGATATTTCAATAGGTTGCTTTTCAGTGAAATGCAACTTTCAGTAATAAGTATGGAAACAGTCCTCTGCAAGTCACTGCTCACTGGTGTGTTTCTGATAATGATATATCTAACAGAAGATGCCCTTTTCTCCCCTATGATCATCTGGTAAAGGCCCACTTCTAGCAGGTTGTGCATTGGGATATAAAACACAAAAATAACACTGCTATAAAAAATAAAAGTTTTCCATGTTTGGTGAAGATGGGTCCTGTATTAACTGGGTGACCCAAATGTGTTTGGTGAAGATGTGTCCTGTATTAACTGGATGACCTAAATGTGTTTGGTGAAGATGTGTCCTGTATTAACTGGATGACCCAAATGTGTTTGGTGAAGATGTGTCCTGTATTAACTGGATGACCAAAATGTGTTTGGTGAAGATGTGTCCTGTATTAACTGGATGACCCAAATGTGTTTGGTGAAGATGTGTCCTGTAATAACTGTGTAACCCAAATGTCAAACAGAACTGACTTGTCAAATAAAAACAGTCTCAGGCTGAGGAAAACCAAAATTGTCTCCTAGAATTTGAAGGCAATAGATTGACATTGATTTTATACGTCCATAATATGTTGAACTTAAAATGCTTCATTGGTGTCAACGTCTGCATGTTGTTAGACAAAATTAAAAAAAAATAATTCCTTTTAAAACTTTTCTATAATTTATGTTCTCAAGAATGAATAAAGAATACAAGGAAGAGAACTTGTCAGTTTCGGTCTCTTAATTCAAATTTTTTATAGGGCATCAGAGAATTCAGACCTCCGCGAGAATCCCTGGAGAAAACTTTAGAAAACACCAGACCCAAACGTAACTACGATCATCAGCAGGAAACATCTAAACTTGTGAAGCCTGGGACTAAGCCCGAGGAGCCTGTTATGTCAGCCCTAGCAGCTGAGGTGTTGAGCTCTCCATCTACTGGTGAGTTTATCCCTTCAGTGGGGGTTTGAGGTGGTTAGTTCATACCTTTCAGTGGGGGTATTAAGGTGGTTAGTTCATACCTTTCAGTGGGGGTATTAAGGTGGTTAGTTCATACCTTTCAGTGGGGGTATTAAGGTGGTTAGTTCATACCTTTCAGTGGGGGTATTGAGGTGGTTAGTTCATCTCTTTCAGTGGGGGTATTAAGGTGGTTAGTTCATACCTTTCAGTGGGGGTATTGAGGTGGCTAGTCAATTCCTTTCAGTGGGGATATTGAGGTGGTTAGTTCATACCTTTCAGTGGGGGTATTGAGGGGGTTAGTTCATACCTTTCAGTGGGGTATTGAGGTGGTAAGTTCATCCCTGACAGTGGGGGTATTGAGGTGGTTAGGTCATACCTTTCAGTGGTGTAATGAACAAATTTTCCAAAATTAATCTGTTTCTGAAAAAGTAATGTTTTTTTGAGGCCTGGAACGAATCAGTAATTACAAATAAGCTTGACAAGACATTTGTTTGGTAGCTGCCTAATGTTCACATGTTACTACAATCCCGACTGTTTTTGTATGTGGCAGAGGGGGCTGTCAGTCCAAGCAGTGAAGTATGCTCAGGTGACACAGAGCTGTCCAGTCCGACCCAGAATTCCACAGATGAGGAAAAATTACTGGGCAGAAGCCACCAAAGGTTGTCCGCCCCTAGACCTCCTCCACCATCAGAGAATTTGCAAACCAGTTTTTCTCTGGAAAACAGGTGTGTGAAATAGGGATGCGTTAGATTCTACAAAAATTTATTTTATTGAACATCAAATTATTATTGACAACTTTATTTTTATAGCTGGTCAAATAATTAACCACAGGATTTTAAATATGAAATTTGCAGTATCAGCTGGCTCAAATCTGAATGTCATTCCACTAACTGTCATTGAGTGAGTGTGCATTAACAGTTATATAAATCTTACTAATGATCGCACTCATAAATAGAGAACCACTGTATATACAATATTTACAATAGTAATAATACATTATAAAACACCAAAAGAACATAGATATAATGAGACTATTTACCTGAATTATGAATGTTATCACTGTTCACTTTTGGTCACTGTTCATGTGCTGTTATAAGCATCCATATCTCCAATAATTCAATAATTATGAAATAATCATTTGTCTGAATTTGATCCATAAAATAGCATTAACCCTTTACAGGGCAGAGGTATTTGCATCTTCTGAACGGGCACCACTTTTCTGTTTTTTAGTAAGATTTAGGGTTACTCTACAAAAAAAATCAAATCCAAGGTGGTAGTCAACAAATTTATGTAAAATAAAAAGCAAAATAAAGGAAAATGAATGCAGATTTATTATTGTACTCACATTGTGCCATTAATCCTTATATGAACACAAATATTTGCAAAAAACAACATATTGTTTGTGATTGTGAGTCATCTATTTACTATTGACAAACACTGCCACAAAATCAAAGTTTGTAAAATTCAACACTGCTTACTATGCAGATTTCACTAATATTAATAATAATATTAATATCTAGTTCCCATTTACAGTCAATTCGCGCACTTTAATGTCACTTAAATTGAATCCAGCGAAATCTCCGCTATCACTTGAATAATCAGCAAAATCCATTTCGAAAATTTTTTTTTGAAACCCTTAAAACTATAAAAAAAATCGATTAAATACTTTTAACTGGCGCCCACACTATTCATCTATCGGAAAAACCGGATGTAAACAATAGAAAGTCTCACAAAGACTCGGAGGTCACGAGTTTATAACTAATTTTCGTCACGGACGCTTTGGGACGTTTTGCCGTTCAGTTTTTTCTGGCATCCGTCCGTCACTATGTGACGATGGAGTGGGCTTCGGAGGACGAAATCCACATAGCCTGGGATTATACTTCAAGGATTATAAGCTGGTTCCCAACAGCAAATCGCCTCTCTCCACGCCTCTGGGTAACCCAAGGGAACATCATTTGGATGATACAGCTTGGCACCAGTGACGTCGCAGGAGTTGCCGGAATGTTTCATTCTATCAATGTTATCCGCCTTTCGGGACTCCAGCTCCGGGTTTGATTTCAGAGTTTCCTTCTCTTAGATGAGTTGCCATCCAAGGTTAACGAGTCTCATCTACCCGGGGTGCTGGTGGTGTTATAGTTTGACTGGGCTCTGGCTGGAATTGAACTCCAGACCACCAACTTGAGATTTGCTCAGTTTAGACCATTCGGCCATCCAGCACCCTATCTCAGTTCAGTACTAAAGACGTTTTCGGCCGCTCTGCCCCGAAAAGGGTTAAACAAATATAGTCTAGATACTTCAATAACAAACTTTGGTCTACCCATCAGCTTCTCTATTACTTAACAGAACAGATTTCATTTAGTTTGACTGTCATTTCTTCTCTTAAGATTTGTCGTTTCATAGACTTATATTTCTTAACATTGTCTATTGTTTCAAAGGCCGTACCTGGAAGCTGTCTTCAACGCCTTAGAATGCAGTGAGAATGATTACTCTGCTCTGTTTGCACTATGCCTGTTGTATGCAATGGGCAGAAGTGAAGGTGAGTTGGAATCTCTGGTTATTTTACAGCAGCACCCGCTGGAGCAATGCCAGTGGTGGTCTTATTCAATAAAGAAAGAAGCCAATTAGTCATAATACATTTTTGGGATTGTTCACTCTAACATGCTGAAGCAATGCCAGTGGTGGTCTTATTCAATAAAGAAAGAAGCCAATTAGTCATAATACATTTTTGGGATTGTTCACTCTAACATGCTGAAGCAATGCCAGTGGTGGTCTTATGCAATAAAGAAAAAGCCAATTAGTCATAATACATTTTTGGGATTGTTTATTTGGCCAGGCATCTCACAAAACCTCCTGGACAGTGTCCTCATGCCTACAGAAAGATCTGAAGTAAGTAACTTATGTTGAGACTCAACAGTAACACATGCCGTAGGAACTTAGTAGTTTAGAATTGTTTTCTAAGTCTGTTTGGAATTTATGAATTGAATAGTTTAGAATTGTTTTCTAAGTCTGTTTGGAATTTATGAATTGAATAGTTTAGAATTGTTTTCTAAGTCTAATTTATTTAGGATTATGACGTTCAAGAATGTTACAACATGACAATTTAACGTCTCCATTTAATCTATCATGTTTTTTAAAAAGTATTGCAGACCTGTTTACCCTCAAACTCTTAAAATCATGCAATATCATCTTAAAAGCGTTCAATACATTATCTTAATAGTAAAAAATAAACATACAGTATATTTTTATACACCTCAAAATCGTACATTGTACGCAAAATCATAAGTAAACAGGTCTGGTATTGTTTTGTTTTTTTCTGTTTTTTGTTATCTACATAATTAAATTTTTATTTATTTACAGTGCAAGAAAAACTACAACCTTTTCTTGGTGGAGAGATTAATCAGGATCATCGAACTGGCCTGCCAGTCAGGTGAGAAACGTAACACTGTTTAGAAGCACTCCTCAGAGAGTAAAACAATTTTTGTGAAGAAGGCATTAAGTAAGAGACTGAAAGTTCTTAGTTTAATTTCAATGTTATGTCATCTTTCACAGTTCAACTTTATGTCATCTTTCACAGTTCAACGTTATGTCCTTTCACACATTTGGAAATATTTTCCTTATTTGCTCTCTTCTCAATGAGGGAAAATAATAGATTCAGTGCAAAACTAAATTTTAATTCACATGAGATTTTTAAAATATGTCAGCAATTTACACTACAGGTGCCCACAAATTCACAATGCAGATGCCCACCATTCTCAGAATGAGAAAATATTAGAAACAACAAAAAAGCAAATAAGTTTTGTTTTAGGTATCTATCTGTTAACCTCAGTTACCTCAAATAAGAAATGTAATATTTGTAAGCTATTGAGCCAATAATTGAATGATTTGAAGCTCTAGAGGTTTGCAAGGTGTGGCAGATTCTCATTGTGTTGGACAGGAAAGGAAGAATTTATTCAAGTCTTGAAGTTTGAGTCTCTACCCTTAAATATGCCCTTGTTGACTTAACGGAGCCACTTCTTTGCCCTTGTTGACCTGATGGAGCCACTTGTTGACCTGATGGAGCCACTTTTTGACCTGATGGAGCCACTTTTTTGCCCTTGTTGACCTAACAGAGCCACTTCTCTAAATGGGATATCGTGGAGTTTGTTACTGGGGAGACAGGCCCCCTTCTTTTATAAGTGGCAGTACATGATACCCGATGGTCAACTCCTCTGGCCAGTTTGGTCTGTTTGTTTTTGTTACCTGTTTACTTGAAGGTATGCCAAGTGTTTACAGGTTGCAACTTTACTAATGATCCAGGTAATAAAGTCCGGCTGGCCACACTTGAGATTAGCATCAAGTTACTCAAACAGCTGGTCAACAATGAGGACAAATCGTACCTCCAGGACAGACACCTGGCGTGTATAGAGAATGCCAGGGAGTGCTGCACACAACAGCTGAGAAATTTTTATAAGGTAAAATCTAATAGGGAAAAAAAAACAATATGGTATTTTATAAGCCTGTGTAACGGTGCTGTTACAATTTAATCCTATGTTATTTTAAGTTTACTTTAAGGATGAAGAAAGAAAAAAAAACAACATTTGTAATATTTCCCCTGCTCAGATATGGAGGAAGAAAAAAAAGGAACAGTTGTAATATTTCCCCTGCTCAGATTTGGAGGGAAGTTGATTACTATGTTTAGAGTAGTGATTCCAATTGAAACTCCCATTCAAGTCTTCACTGGTTTTACTGTGGGGTTAGTGGTTGGTTCAGTTGTAAGCACTTGTTTTACTGGGGGTTAGTGGTTGGTTCAGTTGTAAGCACTTGTCTTACTGTGGGGGTTAGTGGTTGGTTCAGTTCAGTTGTAAGCACTGGTCTTACGGTGGGGTTAGTGGTTGGTCCAGTTGTAAGCTCTTGTCGCTGTGTCTGGCTGGGTGCACCACATCTATGTTTATTCTTATTTTAATCCGCAGAGTGAGGAAATCTTCTTGGACATGTTTGAAGATGAGTACAGAGAAATGATGGTTAGTGAGGCCAGTCCTTTTCAAAAATTTAAACTCTTAATCTCATCTGCTTGTTGGCAGCAGCTTCCGTCAAAGATGTTTAGTGTTTCCATGGCAATGCAATGTCAATGAGGTCCTGGACACTTGGCCAGAGAAATAACCTTTTATTTCCAGAAGTTTGTTTCAAAGAAAACATCAGGACGGGAAGAGTAAAATAGAAAGAGAAATATGAATGTTAAGAAAATGTTAATTGCATAAAAAGTCCATTAAGAACTTTCTGTCAGAAGTCATTGTTTTGTTTTTGATCCTTTGATAGAAAGAATTGTTCAGTTTGTCATTTGGTGATGGAAATATGCTTTTGTTTGGGATTCAGACTCGCCCCTTAAATGTTGAATACCTGATGCAAGATGCCTCCATCCTCCTGCCCCCGACTGGCACCCCTCTCACCGGGATAGACTTCAACAAACGTTTACCGTGTGGAGAAGTGGAGCGGGCAAGGCGGGTATGTAGACATAGTAACGGCTCTTAACTTTAATGAGATTTTATGAACGTTGTCCATCTAGTAATGACATAATAGAGCCTCGTGTGAGGGGCATACTTGTAACAGGTTTGCAAACACATGAGTAATTAATCTCTTTATGTGCAGTCACTCTGTTTATATGCAGTCACTATGTTTATGCTGTGATAAACAGAAGATTAACAGTGCCGGCCATCCCAGATAACACATATCTCACCCCACAGAAGCCAGGGCACTTAATCAGAGCCGAACGCTCAATAAACACTGACTTCATATCTGACAACTCCATGAGCAGTTACATCCGGAACAATAGTAAATGCTTCACTGTGCCTTGATGTAACACAGTCAAATATAAACAATCATTCTTCCCACGAACAATAATCGCTTGGAACCACCTGGACAATGCCGCCGTGGACTTGTCATCAACGGATAGCTTCAAGGCTGCCCTGGCATCCGCTAGGAGCCGATAGGATAGCCGCATTTTTTCCCAAACTGTTGCACATATGCCAGTACATGGATGCAGCAACGTACCCTATCAGAATATATAATGAATGATGGCTCTTTTACATTTTTTTAGAAATATGAAGGGGATGAATAGCACACAAGAGTATAATCATATTACTTTGTACCATGTTTATATTGTGTTATTATAAAAATTGAGTCCCAGTTTCCTGTCCCTCCAGGCCATCAGGGTGTTTTTCATGGTGAGAGATTTGTCTCTGAGTTTGTTGCATGAGGCAGAGACACAGCTGCCGCTGACCAAGGAGGAGACTTGTATCAAAACCGAGGATGTCCTGGATTTGAGTGAGTCAACATCTCATGTAGGATAAGTGTACCGAGAACAATAACTTTTTTTGTTTCCTTTAGTTCAGGGGTGGCCGACCCCAATGGTTTCACAGGCCACTTTCATCATGAATCAACTCTTCGCGGGCCACATGTCCTCAATCCTAATACAGAAACTAAATACCAAATAAATGATGCGCACAATAAATTATTTTTCTTAGTGCGCCTACTAATCATCATATGATAACACACCAACTGTACCGCCCTCACATATGATAACACACCAACTGTAGTGTTGCACCATTGGCCATGTAGTAACCTGAGACCAACAGAAGAACTGCAAGTGGATATTTAGATTTCCTTTGCCAAGCTGTTGTTTTTGTAAATCCTTTATTTTTATTGGTGACTAAATGGTCATATTGGATGACAAATAGTCATTGGAATCATTTTTTTTAATCAGTCCATTACACAGAAATGGTGCATACAGAAATGCTATATATATATTTTAAATGTGCGTTTATGCCATGAATAAAAATAACACCTAATTGATTGAAGAAATAAGTTCATTTGCGATAAATCCCGATGGCCACAATATTTAATGCGGCAGGGAGCGGGTTGGCCACCCCTGCTTTAGTTACTTGCTAGTCCTAACTGTTCAAATTAGCTCCCTTCACATATTGATCAGTGTTAGCAAATCATTGGGTGTTTCTGTTAAGTGTTAAAATCTTTTAGTTCTTTGCATCCATCATCTGAACTTTGGACTGAAGCTGAACTTCACACTCTGTTTTTTCAGTGCATCTTTGGAAGCAATAATTCTCTGGAGTAATTGTACAAAATTTGTTTGGGACACATTGATGGGTGGAATGGGACTTTTTTTCTTTATTAAACACTGTTACAGACTCTATCTACATATCTCAACATAAATAGTTTAATAAGACACAAACAAATTGTGTCAATATAACAATAAAAGTTACGCTTTAATAATAATTATACAATATACAAGTAAACGTTTCGGCACATGCCTTCATCAGTACAAACAAACAAAACATATTTAAGTTAGTATAAATTAATAGGGGTGTGCCGGATCCGTTTTTTCCAACCGGATCCGGATCCGGATTTTCTTATGCGAAATCCGCCGGATCCGGATTCCGGTTTCTCCCGGATTCCGGATTTCGGTACTATTGGTAGATACTTCGGTAAGTCAAGGTGGACTACTACTTTTTGTGTATGGAAATTCGCAATCGGCGCCAAAAAATCCGAGTTTTTAATTTTCCGATGTGTGTGTCTATTTATTATTAAATTAGTACTTTCAATATATATTTGAGTTCCGTTCCATTTGGATAAGTGTCTTACGAGAGACGCCATGTTTCTACGCGTTCGCAGCAGGTTATGCAGCTCGCTCAACCTAATTTCGCCATGGGGTTGGCCACGCCCCCCTTTTTAATGGCGGAAGTTGACGATACTTAGGAAATATTAATTTATTATCACTATTTACATCAAAATAATTGATAACTTGTGTTTCAGAATGCATTTAAAGACATTAAAACTGGAATGTTTTAATTTGAGCTTTAACAACCCGGTAGAATCCATATTATAAATGATCAGAATTTACCGTGTGCAACACGTTGTCATTGGCAACCATTCACAGCCACTTGCATAACTGTAACGTAGTACTACCTCAGAGTTTCATTCATAAGAGTTTGCCGTGTGCAAAAACTATTAAACCATTGGTCAGGGAAAGCTTTAATTAATTATTCATGTGCCAAAGTTGAAAGTTTAAACTAAGTCTAAACAGTATTTTAGTGATAAGGCAGGGAATGCGTTGCCTTATATAAACTATATAGTCATTGCGCATGACGGGATTGGTGGAATGAGATCACAGAATGTGGAGATGCAGTCCATGTTAAAAAATGACAAACCAAGTCGTACTTTAAAAATTCATAACTTTAAAACTACAACAGCTAAAAATATGATTTTGGTGTTATAATTCTTTAAAAAATTACATCTTTTCAACTATGCCATTGGTTTATTTTTACAAAAAGTTTAAATTTTCTTATCAAAGTCCCTACACTATTGGCCACTATTAGCGGTGCTGACTCTAGCCTCTGGTATGTACGGAATATTAAACATTAAACAAGCTCAACGCTCGAAACAATCGATTAATGTATCGTGATCGTGTGGAATTCGGGAAAGAGAATTACTTTTATTTCAGATTATGATCCGGTGAGTCACAAAATCTGGCAAATTCCGAAATCCGGTATATTCCGGATTCCGGAATCCGGTTGTTCCGGATACATGTAAATCCGGCGGAACCGGATTTCACCGGATAGTGCAAAATCCGGCGGAACCGGATTCCGGACCGGGGTCCGGCACACCCCTATAAATTAAATTTACATAATATGAATATACATATCCTACCTAAAACAGAAAGAAATAGGAGAGGGCGCTAAAACCAGACAAAAACAAAGTAAAGAGGAGTAAAAAGGAAGTGATTTTAACATAATTGTAAAAACCAAACAGGAAAAAGACATGGCACTTAGGTAAAATTGTGGATTTGGTTCATTCCATATGGAGACAACGTACCAAATCTAGCTATTAATTTGTTCTCCATATAGACTCTATCTGTAGTGTTACTAGTAAAGAGTATACCAGTAACTGCGATGTCTGAGATACCATCATGGTTAGGGCTATTGAAATGTTTGGAGACCGGACAGAGAGCGTGTCGGTCCCCAAGGCGACGACCTGTCTCTCCTATGTATAATTTACCGCACTTTTTGCAAATGATGGTGTAAATCACGTTGCGACTTGTGCAGGTAAAGCCATCTTTTATTCTGAATACTTCTATAGGGAAAGTGATCTTATCGGTTTCAATCACGTAGGGACATGAGTTAAAACGGCTACGGTTGCAACTTTTTGTGCCTTTATGTGCTTTAATAGCAGGGAGGTGGTTTCTAACTAGCATGTCCCTAAGGCTCTTGTCTCGCCGGAAAGTGAAAAGAGGAGGTTTTCTGAAAATCTCATTTGTGACAGGATCTGCCATCAGAATTGAGTGGTTTTTCAGAACCAGAGAGCGAGCTTTTAGGTTGTGGGGATGAAAAGTTAAAATAAATTTAGACCTATCGCTAGTGTCAGAATGAGTAGCTTTAAAAGAAGCCTGTCTAGTCATACCTTTAACTCGAGTGACAGCTGCTTTTAAAATTTCTTTGGGGTATACCCTGCGTCGGAAAAAATCCAACATTTCAGCCATTCTTTCTCCAAAATCCTCATCATTACTACATAGTCTTCTGAGTCTCAGCAACTGAGAAAATGGGATGGAGTTTTTACACCATTGAGGATGGGATGATGAATATAGCAAGAAACTATGACTGTCTGTTTGTTTATAAAAAATGGACGTAGATATTTTGTTCTCATGAAGGTTAATTTGTAAGTCCAAAAAATTGACGGTGCTTTTATGGATCATTGAAGTGAATTTAATTGTTGGATGAAAATCTCCAATGAAGTAAATAAAACTTTCTAGTTGTTTTATGTCCATATTAGTAATCCCTATACAGTCATCAATGTATCTTCTGTAGTATTCTGGGAATTTCTACATTTAATTACTACTTATTTTGTCTGTCATCAAGTGTATCCTTGCACATATAATAACTGCTGTTTTCTATGCCGTCAGATAACAGCGACCTCATAGCGTGTACCGTAGTGAACAGGGAAAGGTGAGCTGATTTCTCATGCATTTATTTGGCAGCTATGTTACCTGCTTAATTATCCCTAGCGTTTGTTGTGGCATCACCTAGCCAAAAATCTTAAGATGTGAAAATGTTGTTGAGGCTACCGGTACAAATTAAGATGTGAAAATGTTGTTGAGGCTACCGGTACAAGTTAAGATGTGAAAATGTTAGTGAGGCTGCTGGTCCAAGTTAAGATGTGAAAATGTTGTTGAGGCTACCCATACAAGTTAAAATGTTGTTGAGGCTACCGGTACAAGTTAAGATGTGAAAATGTTGTTGAGGCTACCCGTACAAGTTAAGATGTGAAAATGTTGTTAAGGCTACCAGTACAAGTTAAGATGTCCCTACCGGTACAAGTTAAGATTTTAAATTGTCCATGATTGAAATCTGAGCTCAAAATTGTTTCTGTTCTGTTCTAGTCGAAGACCAGAGCGCAGGTTCCTTGTGATTGACCCCGCCCAGCTGATCCTTGTCGAGCCGGACTCCAAGCGTTTGGGGTGGGGAGTGGTCAAATTTGTGGGTTATTTACAGGTAATAGTTGGTGACATGGACTGCTTAAAATTTAATTTTATCATTGTCATCATTAAAGCTCTAGCCATGTTATAACCATATCATATTATCAGTCTACCATATTATATTTATACCATATTATAACTATGCCATATCATAACTATGCCATATCATAACTATGCCATGTCATAACTATACCATATTATAACTATGCATATTGTAATGAAAACTATTGAATAAAGGCCTGTACTTAATAATGATGTGGACCCTACTAGTGGAAGTGTTAATATTATTTTTGAAATAGGGAAAATTGTTATTCATTGTAAACCATTGAGAAAGGAGATGGGATCTGTTTTAACAAATGTCCCATTACTTTTAATGTTGAAAAGAAATCTCTCTAAGTGAAAGGATCTCAAAGCTACTTTTCTGGTGGTATCGGTCAAATACCTGATCCGAGGTTTGTTAACGTTATGATTTCAATAACGTTGACCTTTCTTGAACAGGATGTCGAGGTTTCAGGAGATAAGGATGACAGCCGTCTACTTCATGTTGTCGTCCACAAGCCCCAGTCATCCGTCCACGCCAAGCCGATTCCAATCTTATCCGCTAAGTTTGTGTTTGACGACCACATTCGTTGTATGGCAGCCAAACAGAGGCTCATCAAAGGCAGACAGAGGGCCAGGCAACAAAAGATGACCACTATAGAACGTTTGTTGGACATTTCCCTCAGTGAAGAAAGGGGACATTTTAACAGGACTGGACCTATTCCTGGTAAGAACGCTTTGAGGGAAAAAACTAAAATTTCATTGTCTTGCCAGAATGGACAATTGCAAAAATGCATTTGTTTATTTGATCTGCTGGAATGTGCTTTGTCCTAGGTCAAAGTATAAATACTCATTTACAGCAATAGGGTTTCCCACCATTTTTCATATCTTGCATCCCCTACAAATTATTTGACTTAAACGCCAATGGCTCCTTTGTACTTACAATCACTTTTACACACATCTCATGAAATGCAAATCCTGTGGAACCCCGCTTTAACCTATTGAAATACACCATAAAAATAATTTTTAAAAATGGGTGAGCTACTTGGTCCATCTATTGGTGTCATATTCTAACCTATTTCTGAACCATATTCTAACCTATTTCTGAACCATATTCTAACCTATTTCTGAACCATATTCTCACCTATTTCTGAACCAGAGAGGACTTCCTAATGGAGGAAGTAGATACTTTGATGGGCAACTTTGAATGTCATTTAAACATAGAACATCAAGTACTCTTACAATATGAACATTGCAAATCGGAGTGTTTAATGTGCTCAGAATGGATCTGTTTCATGTGCTCAGAGTGGATCTGTTTAATGTGCTCAGAATGGATCTGTTAAATGTACTCGGAATGGATCTCTTTTATGTGCTTATAATGGATCTGTTTAATGTGCACTGAATGGATTTGTTTCATGTGCTCAGAATGGATTTGTTTTATGTGCTCAGAATGGATCTGTTTCATGTGCTCAGAATGGATCTGCTTCTTCATATCTTGGGCAAAAACTACATATCTAGTCTGAGGTTGGTCATTTGGTCACTCCTTTACTTATTTTGTTTTAGGTCGCAGTCATCCTGTCAGGATTGATGCCAAGAAGTCCAGCAACTTGTCGGTTCTCACCTCATCTGGCTCTCAGTCCTCCACCACCTCAGCCTCCAGCACATCAACAGTCATCAACAACTCCAAGGCCAACAGAAGGGTCACACCAGAGCAGCGACGCCTGCTGCAGGCGAAAGCCGCTCAGCGAAGCAGGAGTCGCCAAGAACAGCAGCCCTTAATGGGTGCCATGAAACCAGGCATGATCCTGACCTCGGGTTTAGCCAGGGAAGAACTGGGTGTTGAAACTACGGACACAACGGCTGTAGAAATGGGCGAGGACGCAACTTCCGCCATGGCTTTCCAGTCACTGAATCATAGTTCAGCATCCGACCCTGCTTTTTATTCCTTGTCATCTTTGTCGAGATCCCAAGCCAGGGGGAGCTTAAACTGGTCAGGGGAGTCTGGAAACGGCTGTCTGGAGATCCCCATGGAGGACCTGTCGCTCAAAGGTCGTCTGAGACATAGCTCAAGTGAGCGGACCAAACCGGGTGGCATGAATGCCCGAGATCTCTTCCGTTTCCAACGAAGTCTCTCTCTCAGCCCCAGCAGACAAAAACAGCAGCAGGAAACTTACTTCTTTCCCGAGAGCAGAACAGAGGCGGCCCGCAGGCTCTCTGTGCCGGTTACCCTAGATTCGTCAAAAAAGAATCCTATTACTAAAGTATGCACAGCCACACAGGTTGGAAGGCCACACAGCCAGAGCAACCCCGCGGATCCCCAGTACGTGATCAAGCCAGTTCAAGTGAGCAGCCTGCCCATGCGCAGACGTTGTTTATCAGGCCCTTCACCGGCAACTCTGAGGGCAGCAGATGCTCCTGTTTTATCATTAGTCTCCCAACAGGTGGACGCCTCAGATCCCAACTCATTTATTCCCATTCCACAACTGCTGCCTCCTGCAGATCCAGTAACAGGAAGCCACAAGCCTGTAGTTATGCCTCAGACAAAAGATCACTCTTCTTCTACCAGTAGCTCTGGAGCTAGACCCAAACAGTACGCAATAGCTCGGGCAGAACTCAGGCCTGAATTAAAATCTGCAGCCAGCAGCAGTGAAGGTCTGACTGCTCACAAGTTGAGTCTGCATGGGCTCCAGCAGGAGGCAGAGGATAAAAGACTGGCCAGTGGCAGGGATGATGGGAAGATTGCCCCAAACAATGCCGTAAGTCCAGAGACCCCATCCAGTGACTCGGCCATGTCCAGCGATGCCAGCATGATTAGCGTGAGCAGCATGGCTAGTGAGAGCAGCATGGATGTTGACTCTGACAATGCCAGCGGCGGTTTACCATTAGCTGGGCGTCGTGTCATCGTTGATGCTGCTGGGGGCGGTGGGGGTAAACCAGCATCAGCGTCACAGCAACTAACCCAGCTTGCTCAGATGGTACAGGAGCATTATCCATACAAGAGCTCAGATTCAAAACACCATACTGGCTAGGGGCATAATGCTAGCCACAAGGATTGCGAAGAAAGACCTGTGGACTCCTGAGGTTCAAACAGCTATGGACTCCCGAGGCATAAGAAATGATGCTGCTGTGGCAGTACATTTTAGTTTTGTTGTTTCTTTTAAATTATTTCATAATAACTTCTTTGTCTACTCATGTTTATCAGAAGTATCATTCCCCAGCAACTAATGGTACATAGCACTATCCAGGTGAAGCTCAAGTATCATTCCCCAGCAACAAATGGTCCATAGTACGATCCAGGTGACACGAAAGTGTAGGTTTCATGCTCTAGAATGCACATTTTGTTGGATCAATAAGCCAACAACTACAAACCCTTTCAGTTGAAATATTGCATTGCCATAGCCTGAAAAAAATAACTTTAAACCCAGAATTCCTTTTGAAAAAGTCAGATGCACACATTTAAGTGTACAAGAGAATTCACTAACAGCAGGAGTGACCTAGTCAAGATTTAAGAGCTGCAAGTATAACAAATCTGGAAAGTCTCATTAAATAGTGAATATTTTGCCTACGACATATTTTTTTTACACATAAATCATATTTATCATACATTTAGAGAAGGAAAATGCGTCTAAAATGATTTTATTGGAAACTAAGAGAAAACCAGGTGTGCTCAGTATGTGTTATTTGAAGGCATCATATTCAAACTTGCTGGTGGCCATTTTCAGATGGGTGATTGACCAGAGAACTGGAGACATTTTTAACTCAACCTTAACAAATCCGGTCAAATTTATCCCCCCAAAAACTAACTATTAATTTTCTGAACAAAGTTGGTACACGCATTGTCTGTGAATTTATGGTGAATCGGAGGAAGCGCAAATGATTATTTTGAAGTTAAATCCTCAAGCAAAACTTATTTTCAAGGGCCGACAGAATTGCTGTTTACTGTAAATGGTTCTAAGTGGCACCAAATATCTTTTAATGTTTGTCAGCCTAAAATTATCCCCTCCAACAATTTAAAGCCTAGCGGAACTGAGTTTTTTTTTTCTTCTTTTCTATGAATTAAAACAAACAAGTTCATTTTTAAAATGAACCCACAGCACCAATACACGAGGCACACACAAATAGACTTAGTGACTTAGTACAAAAGACATGAGTGTCAAATAACTTATTATTATAAATAATAAGAATGAAGAAGAGTCCACTGATTTGAAAAATATTAAACAGCATCTTAAACTTTTATTCTTGATCTGGCAAGTTGAATACTTTTCAAAACCAGCAAAAGCCTATTTTAATTTTAAAAATTTCATTTTTTTAAAATTATACTTTTTTTTGGTCACTGGCTCTGATATTTAAAAAAAAAAAAGGATTAAGTTTTACATTAAGCTATTATTGGGTGTGTTGTATATTTTAATAGGTTAATGTGATATTTTGACCTCAAGAAACTAAGAAGTGTTATTACAACTTCTAATGAGATTAGTTCAAATTAGCAGGATTTAAAAAAAAATAATGCTCTGTAAGTTGAACATGCCAAAAATGTTGTTTTTCTCCTGAAATTTTTCACAAACATGAGAATGTTTTTTATTAAAACAAATGTTTTGTGTCGAGCAGCTGTTAACATAACGAGATCAGTTTTTTTTGGCAGCTTGTTTTATTCACAAACATGTTGCTCGCTCACAAAGTGAATGTATAACAAACTACATTAATGTATCAAACATGTTGCTCACAAACTATGTAAATGTATCAAATTGTACATAAACGTAAGGTGTGCCCATTGTGCAATAGTCCTGCATTTCCTAGCATGCGGTCTGGACGGTTGTGTGAAAAGGGGGGGAAGGGGGGGGGGGCGGGCTGGGCAGGAGGTGTGTGAGGGGGGGGATGATCTTCAATCTATTTGATTTTCTTTTTTACATTTGTGGTGGGTTTTTATTTTGTTGTCCAAATCTTCCTCTTGGACCACTGATGTATGGAGGTAATGAAAGGAAAGCTTTATTCCTAATCTTATCATGAATTTTTAATGGTATAAATTTGGTGTATAAAGCAGGGCCAGATGATTTGTAATATATTGAAGGTAGTCTGGCTGTTTTTCCATATCTCTATTTATGTGATATAATTTACCTAGCTACCAGTATTAGAATGAGCAATGATTTTAATTTTATTTTTCACCTCGTTTTAAAAAAACAACAATTGATCACATGAACAACTTCACTTTAAATTAATTACTCAAAAGCTAATCATAGTTATTCATGTTGATTTGATTCCATAGAGATAAATTAACCTTCTTACTCCATTTAACCACTTTCAATTCTGAATGGTTTTGTTCAACTCTTGAAAAGTGAAATAACTCTCTGACTTACTTGTCTCTTGACGTATACACTAATATGTTTTGTAAATAATTACTGACTGATTCTTACCATTTCTCTGTTTAAGAATCACCGGTACTCTAAAAGGGCCCTTAATCCATATAATTAAAGATTGATAAACTTTCAGTGCCAGAATAATTAGCATTCATTTCTAAGCACTTGCTGAGACTTGTGTAACAGCCCTCCACTTATAATTCATTGCTGTTTTTGCTGGGGAGTTCTCATTGTAGGAGAACATTATAACTAGATATGTGCCAAAACTCAACTCTTTGTTCTTGTGAGTGGATTACATAAGCTTTAGTTCTCATGTGATTCATCACATTTAGCTCTAGTATGTTTCAGTTACCCTTTCTTTTAACTGCATTAACTTAGTACACGTTTCATTACCTTTGGTTCATGCGCTTCCTTGACCCCAAACAAAATTATGAATATAAAATATGCACAATTTTGGACGACCAAGATTTAAAAAATGACAAAACACTATATTGTTTTAACAATTCTGTCTACAAGTTTGCTGAATTTTATCATCTGTTCCCTAGCTATGGGTTGTGACCCACAAATGTACAAATAACAAATCATCTTTTGGTGTTGAATAGAGTCCTCTCTAAACAAATTGAATAGATTTGATAGAGTCATCTCTAAACAAATTAATTAGATTTGATAGGGTCGCCTCTAAATCAGGCCTGCACAACTCAAAATGTAAGGTGGGCCATAATACTTAATTAAAAAACTTGTTCGGGCCGAAAGAAAATAGGACGGCGGGGAAAGCTATAAAGAAAATAATAAGAAGAAAGAATATTTTGTTACTTCGCAGGCCGCAAAGTGGATGCTGGCAGGCCGTATGTTGTGCAGGCCTGCTCTAAATAAATTGAATAGATTTAATAGATTCGTCTCTAAACAAATGGAATAGATTTGATAGAGTCGTCTCTATATATTGTACAATTACTAAGCTTTGTCTCCATTTGTCTGCTGAAGCTCAGTTCTAGAAAGTTAGCTGAATACACAAAATCTCGCAGCTCATGGTAGCAGCTCATGTAGGTCATCCTTTGGCTTTTAAGATCAATGGCTTGAATTCATGTTCTTATCACAACTTTAATCTAACCAATATAAATAATGATATTATAATTTATATAGTGAGGTGTTCTTTATTTAATGTTGTCATTACACCAGGTAACCAACAAAAAACTTGATGCTATATGACTGGGGGCCAGTTAATACAACATTTTCTTTAATAAGATGTATATGGGTACTTACATTGAAAAAATAAAACTACTATGCTCCTCCATGAGTTTAATTACTTTTGCTTTTCTGGGGTGAAACTTACTTCCTTTTTTTTTTGACATTTGTTCATACTTGAATATTCACCATGACCTTTTTCTCATGCTTGCCTGTTAACTTGGTAGAAAGTTAGATACCTCTTAGCTTTTATAGAGTTTTAAATTTCTTACTTAAGATTTATTATCAGCTTGAAAATTCCATTGACTCCACTGTGAAACATGGCAGAAATGCCAACGATCAAACATATCTTAGTGGGACAAACAAATGGAGTCAATAATTGAGTGTAATGTGCTGTTGTTTTTTCAGGATGTCCGAAAGAAGAAATTAAAAATTAAAAGACATTTAATTACTCGAATTAGTGAACTGCATATTTTAGTCATGCCTTTAAGATCCAGATTTCATTGTTACTTTTCAGAATTCATTTATCAGAGGCAACTCTGTTTATTTAAAGAGCTTTATTATCAAAGGACTTCATTTTATGCTCTTGTAAATATTTGTTGTACAACTGCATCATTAATTTTTTTTTCTTTCTTGGAACATGTTAGTTGATTATAGTTATCTTGGTGTCATTGAGAATTAATAGTTAACCTAATTATGAAACATATAGCCTCTGAAAGAAGCAAACTAGCAAAAGAGTTTTAGTTTATGTGGCACATAGGTATAAGCAGATAGAAACCTAAACTTGGTCAGGTTAAGTGAAATATTTTATAAATATTTGGATGCTACTTACAATTTCTTTTGTCATTACAATTTTAGTACCATCCAATTTATACCTCCCCTGACAGCTTTTTAATGTAACATATTTGCTCACACATTCCAATGAATTTAAAATTTTAAAAAACTTTAAGAAGCAAGCAGCAGACTCAAAAATGTACTCATACATTAACAAACTTTCAAAACAAATATTTGAGCTTAAAATTTTTCAAGTTCAAGTCTTGAAGAAACTTGATAAAACCAATGCCATTAGTCTGATGGATATTTTTGTTATTTACATTTGATACATTTTGATGTTTTTTTGTGTGTGTAAAAAATTCAGTCGTTTGGTGCGGTATTTGGACATTCCTTTTCTACTTTTTGGCCCCCAAACATGGCAATAGATGTGAAATTTGTTAGAAGACTTTTGGCTACATGATGTAGGTATTGTATGAACCACAATAGATACAATGGAAGCTAATGTAATATACTGTGTATTGTATACATACATATTATATGTTATATATATATATATATATATGTATAAATCATATATTATATGAAAGTGAAAATTTATTTGTTTGTGGCTATTGTTCCACATTCGTTTTTACATGGATTTTGACCAAACTTGGTATTGGTAGATATATCCATCATTATTCAGCATGAAATACTGGGGGTGATGGGTGTTTAAATTTAACAAATATTCTGTTGGGAGCCAAAAATTCATTATTTTCTTTATGTGAGCTATATATAGATAAAATTACCAAAAAATACTCTTACATAAATAGATGGATCTTGACAAAACTTAGAATGAATACAATCTCATACACTTCTTGATTATCCATATTTAAATACCTAAACCTAAGGGTACTGAACTCATAATATCCACTCCTTTGGTGGCTCCATTATATTTTTCCTTATATTAACTATATAACTACCAAAAGGCTTAGACAACACTATAGTCTATAGTTTTGTGTGTGAATTGATTGATCTAGGCCTAGCTTGGTAGCAATCCTCTTCATAATACATATTAAAATATCGGATTTAAAATTAATAATAACCAATACATTCAGGGCCAGTCTAGAATTTTCCAGAAAGATTGATAAGTTTATTATCTATAGCATTTTTAAGCCGATTGTAATTGTACCCTTATTCTTCTTTCCGAAGGGACTGCAGGCTCTCAAGCATTTAATGGGGCAACTTTTAAATTTTAACTCCATTGTTTATCTTATTCATTTTTATAGGCATAACTAAAATTTTACACTTATGGAATGGGCCCCCATCAGGGCCTCTCTTTTAAATTAAAAGAAAAATGATTTTAGTTATGGCATATAGTTGTGGAATTTTTTCGAATATGAAAAATAATTACGTAGAAAAGGCATTTTTCACAAGTTTTGAGGATGTTATTTAATTTAATGTAGAATGTTATTTAATTTAATGTAGAATGTTCCAGAATTGAGATATAAAGTAGGATCTATTGTAGTTCTATTCAATTCTATACTTTCCTGGGAATTTTACTCAGTACCACTCAGTCATCTTTTCATAAGTTTCATGAAGTTTCTAGATTATTTTAGAAGCTTTGAATCTTTTTTCTCTATAATATATTTTACTTTGGTAATCAATTTCTATAAAACTATTCCATTAGTTCCTGTAGTTAGATAACTGCAATACGGATTCGATATTTTATTAATAATATTTTTTTACAACTGAAAACAATAAGAATATACATAATGTCAAGGGAGTATTTCTTTTCCTCAGTCAGAAGTAATAATAACAACCCCTATAAAGTTTTTCATATAAATCCTTTATACGTAATTATTGTTAGCATCTACGTAATTGTAAATGATGTATCATTTATTAAGAGGCAGTTATGTAAATGGGTAACTTCTGGTGAAAACACATTTCATATTTCCTTCATTTTCCAAAATACATTTTTTTTTACTGAATACCCAGATACATTACAACTACAAAGTTAAAAAAGCACATAGCAACAACTTCACAATTAATCCCCATACCAAAACCATGGAACAAATCATATTTCATTCATCTTCCCCTTGAAAAACAGGAAAAACTGATTGTTGTGGGGCTGAAAATTTGATAGAATGTGTTGTCAGCAACGAGTCTTATTTGCCAAGATTCAGCTCGATGGGTTGACAGAAAGTGGGACAACTAGCGTTACGGATTTTACCACACACCCAGAAAGAAACATACTAACCAAAACAAAGTTAATATAAAGGATTTAAAGAGATACTCACTTCAGCTTAGCTGAATTTCCCAGGCTGTCTGTATAACCAAATAAGCTTAGTATAGACCAGTGGTCGGCAAACCTCGTGAGCCGCATGTGGCTTTTAGCCCTGAGTGGGGCTCGGCCAAACGGTCACAAATCGGTTTTGACTCCGAAAAACATGGTTCTTAACAGGTTCTTGAAAAAAAAATTGGGTTTTTAAAAAAATGTTAATCGTCCTGCTGGTGATTTTTGGCTCTTTTGACTAATGAGTTTGCCTAGCACTAGTTTAGACCAATGACTTCAGAAATACCCGTAGCAGGTTCCATGTTTCAAGAAAAACTCATTAATAAAATGATGAGTTGATTTTATTTGTGAAATTGAATTATTCCTTGAACTTTGGCCTGACATGTTTTAAATAAGTTTCTGTACTTTCCACACAAAAAATCACTAACGCACTTAGAATATAAAACATGTTGTTATAAAGTATATGTATGTTATACCTGGGTACGTGTCTTGTGTTATTGTTCAAGTAGAAGATAGATGATTGGTTATTTTGAAAGAGGTATAACAAGAGCCTCAATAAACATATGTCTAAATCAAGCTTTGTGTCCAAATTAATTTGATAATTACTTTGAAAGAAAATAAATATGGATTTTTTAAAAAAATTAATTTTTGAACATTTGTCATTGTGAAAATATTTCAATGGGGTGGAGGAGGGGGGTGTTTTTTTCACCTTGACACCTAAAATAAGTGTTGAGGTGTCAATAAATGTCAATATGAGCCGTACGTCTGTCAGTATCATCATTAATTCCACTTTAGACTCAACTGGTCTAAAGCAGATACATAAATTTGTTTCAATAATAGGATAAACAAAGCAAGTGGCACATAGTTTTATTTAAATGTATTTAATCACAATAACACCCAACAACAAATCCCCTTACTCTCCTTACCAATGTGTACAATACTTATGTTAATGTTATGGGCATCAAATACTTCTAACATTATATGATTATCTGTGTAGAAAAAATGAACACAATGACAATACGATAAACATATGCTGCAACTGGTTGAACAAAATGTAACAAAACTATATTGCACACATCATTCAATGCAAGTTTTTAAAAACAAGGGACATATCTGAAATTAAATAGTTAGTGTAAGTTATTGAAAAATATTTCTTTGTTCCATGGACCACGTTCTTTCCCAGGCAGTCAAGAGCCCCTAATTGTAAAAGAGCCCCTAATTATAACAATGTTTTTAAATGCATTTAAATTTAATAAATTACAAAGGAATGCTGCTCACGAAGACAACTTTTCACAGACCATGGGGGTGGGGGTTAATAAAGCATTGTAATTGTTGCACAAGATGATAACAGTAAGTTTCTCTAGAAAAACAAATGAAAAATTTCTGTTAAAAAAAATTCAATTTTAGTTTTTAGCTTGCTCTTGCAAAAAGCTAGCATTTTAAAGTTAACATAAAAAGTAAATAATTGTTTTTAGGTAATTGTTTATATTTACATTAGATAAGCTCCTTTCAGCATTTTTTTGCAGGGAAAATCATTGTAGTTGCTAACGTAAATAGCTTGTACCGATAGTAACAAAAATGCTTAAGTCATTAAGAAATTGGTACTTAAGTAAATTTCTATGCTCCTAGTAAACCCAAATATTCCACAAGTTACAAAACAAATACTGGTGTAAAGTGTTTGATAAAGGCAATTAAGTATCACAGTATTTAGGGAAATAATACGATGTTAAATGAAAATTTTCTCAGAAACAGTAAGACTCAAAAAAAGTAAATCAAATAAAAATCACTTGTCTGATTAGTTTGATTTTACCACTAAAGGATTGGACAGTCGAAATATAGTTGGTATCATGTTGCTAATCTGGTGAAACAGCTCTTCTGACAGGCCCTGAAAATTGAAGAAAAAAAAACATTTATAAAAACACTGATTTGGCTGGATCTCTTAAAACACTGAGATTGAATACTGGCCCATTCTAAATGTATCTTTTTAAAAGCTGTCATTAATATTTGAGTATTAAAAAAACCTTCCTACTGCATAAATATTGTTAAAGTAAACATAAAACCATGATATTTTTTTTATTTTTAAGTCCTCAGTACCTTTTATAACTTTAAAAATAGGTAGGCCTAAACATTTTTAAAATTTAAACATTTTCACACAAAACTTTTTATAAAGACAATAATAGCTGCAATCTGAGAATAAATGCAGCAATAGGGCTAAGAACAAACTATTATTTGGTACATATGTTGTGATTTAAATTTTGCCACCTCCACTTTCAGTGACAGATTAAGATTAAATGTGACTACTTACTCTTGGCACTAAAAATTGTATGGTCCTGGACTCCTGGCTGCTGTAGGTTGCCATTTCTATCATGAAACCTTTCACACATTTAAACATGAGTTCTGCCCGCTTCATGCACCAGGAAATTGTCATCTCCTGAACAGAGCAACAAAGGCACAGACAATATTGAATGTTTCTTTACTGAAATTTTTTAGTTTCTTTTTACATTTTTTAAATAGAAATTCTTTTATTTAAGAATTAACAATGCAATAGATATAAATATATATTTTCTTTTGAAGTGTTCAATTTTTAATAGCCTGATATAATAGAGAAATTATTAATATTTCTTTCCTATTTTAGCTGAGCAGACATACAACTAACCTCAGACATCTCATGTGTAAGTAAAAGAGGTACAGTTAGGGTGTGAGCAGACAATCAACTAACCTCAGGCATCTCATGTGTAAGTAAAAGAGGTACAGTAAGGGTGTGAGCAGACAATCAACTAACCTCAGACATCTCATGTGTAAGTAAAAGAGGTACAGTAAGGGTGTGGATATCATAACGGAAACAGAGCTTTATGATGTTTCGTATACTAAGTATCACTGGATGTCTTGATGTGATGTCAGATGTTCGTAGGTTGTCATCTGTAACAACATGGAAGACCACGTGCACCTCGGAAAGGTTGGAATGTTTTGTCAGGTAAAAGTCCCCGGAATGTAGTTTCTTTTCACCCACTTTCTCCTAATTAGAAATTCAAAATGAAGATATATTTATTACATGTAAATGTATGTGTGAACTTTATCATGCTAATAGTAGGTAAAAGTTGCCCTTAGGTTGAATATTTAAAAAAATGTTAGAACCCTTCATACGTATTCACATGGTGGTCCATTGGAATGTGTTGGAGATAGCGCAATTTAGTTTAACATGTCTTATCAGAGGTTTCAAACCATCTTAAGGGCATGATGCCATTGGCCCAAGAGCTACAACTTAACCTTGGACATCATTACTGGCTAATCTTATCACAGGTTTCAAACCATCTTAAAGGCAAGATGTCAATAGCCCAAGAGCTACAACTTACTCTTGGACATCATTACTGGCTAATCTTATCACAGGTTTCAAACCATCTTAAGGGCAAGATGCCAATAGCCCAAGAGCTACAACTTACTCTTGCACATCATTACTGGCTAATCTTATCACAGGTTTCAAACCATCTTAAGGGCATGATGCCATTGGCCCAGGAGCTACAACTTACTCTTGGACATCATTATTGGCGTAATATTTAGGAGAAATAATTAAAACCTGAACACAAATAATATACATGAATCAAAGTGATAATACTGCTTGTGCCCCCTGTAGTAACTGCCCCCTTCTCATCACTGGTGTTACGCATACACTCTGTAGTGCCTACCTTCTCATCACTGGTGTTACGTTTACCCTCTGTAGTAAGTGCCTACCTTCTCATCACTGGTGTTACGTTTACCCTCTGTAGTGCCTACCTTCTCATCACTGGTGTTACGTTTACCCTCTGTAGTAAGTGCCCCCTTCTCATCACTGGTGTTACGTTTACCCTCTGTAGTGCCTACCTTCTCATCACTGGTGTTACGTTTACCCTCTGTAGTGCCTACCTTCTCATCACTGGTGTTACGTTTACCCTCTGTAGTGCCTACCTTCTCATCACTAGAGTTATGTTTACCCTCTGTAGTAAGTGCCTACCTTCTCATCACTGGTGTTACGTTTACCCTCTGTAGTAAGTGCCTACCTTCTCATCACTAGAGTTATGTTTACCCTCTGTAGTAAGTGCCTACCTTCTCATCACTAGAGTTACGTTTACCCTCTGTAGTAAGTGCCTACCTTCTCATCATTAGAGTTACGCATACCCTCTGTAGTAAGTGCCTACCTTCTCATCACTAGAGTTACGTGTACCCTCTGTAGTAAGTGCCTACCTTCTCATCACTAGAGTTTCATGTACCCTCTGTAGTAAGTGCCTACCTTCTCATCACTAGAGTTACGTGTACCCTCTGTAGTAAGTGCCTACCTTCTCATCATTAGAGTTATGTGTACCCTCTGTAGTAAGTGCCGACCTTCTCATCATTAGAGTTATGTGTACCCTCTGTAGTAAGTGCCTACCTTCTCAGTTACATGTACCCTCTGTAGTAAGTGCCTACCTTCTCAGTTACATGTACCCTCTGTAGTAAGTGCCTACCTTCTCAGTTACGTGTACCCTCTGTAGTAAGTGCCTACCTTCTCATCACTAGAGCTGCTTGTAGAGCTATGGAGACTGAGCTGGTCAACTTCATCTGATGATCCTTTCTTTTTGGCCTTGACATCAGCTGCTTTGGGCAACTGTTCCTCAATGACTTGAAACTGGTGGTCTAGTGTTGGGAAGTGGAAATCTGTTGAACTGTCACATATTTGAGCGAATTCTGAAAAGCACGAGAGATGAACTGACTTATATGTGTATATATAATCAATATTCTCCTGTGGGATTTTCATTCCAGGATTGGCCTAGTTAGCCACTCGTCAAAGTGTAGGACTACACTACATAGCTACTCCATCGTCTAAAGTAGATATATATATTTAACAAAAAAATATTTTCCGAGTTTTAAATATTGTTACATTTTACCTGCTGGATATTGTGTAATATGAGATAACTTACTTTGCTTGATGCCTGTGTATGAATTTAACCGGTTATCAGCCAATAAAACAAGACCACACAGGTTGTTGGAGTAGAGAGACATGGCCGTTTGGAGTCTTTGGGGTTGTGGAATCACCAATCCCCTGAGCCAAACAAAACCAAATACAACCAACTCAACATTATTGTCAACTCATTAGCCAAACAAAACCAAATACAACCAACTCAACATTATGGTCAACTCATTATACAACTAAATCAACATTAGGGTCAACTCATTATAAAATGAACTCAACATTATGGTCAACTCATTAGGTTTAAAATTACTTTAAATTTAAAATATCACAGACACAGATTTGCTAATAATGTTTATTTTTTTTTCTTTCTTGATGGTTTGTTTAATCCATTTTTTTTTGTACCTACCCAATAGTATGAGGTTTGTGTCTACACAAGTCTAAGACATCTGTACATAAAAGTCTTAAGTTGTGTGTGGTCTTCATCTGAGCACCTGTAAACATAGCCAAAGCTCAATTTCAATATTCTTTGAGGACATGCATCAAGGCCTATCTTACACTTGATGCCTGACACTATTTCTGTGCACGCACACCTGATGCCTGACACTATTTCTGTGCACACACACCTGATGCCTGAAACTATTTCCGTGCACACACACCTGATGCCTGAAACTATTTCTGCGCACGTATATATGATGCCTGACACTATTTCTGTGCACGGACATCTGATGCCTGAAATATTTCTGTGCACGCACACCTGATGTCGGACACTATTTTTGTGCACGCACACCTGATGCCTGACACTATTTCTGTGCATGCACACCTGATGCCTGACACTATTTCTGTGCATGCACACCTGATGCCTGACACTTTCTGTGCATGCACACCTGATGCCTGACACTATTTCTGTGCACATTGAACAAATGTAATAAATGAGATGAACAATAAATGGTTCTATCTTTAACATTTAATGGTATCATAGCTGAATGTATGATTGTGACAAATACAAAATATCATATATTCTTGATAAAAATGAATGTTGACCAACCTAAGTGTATCGTGAAGCTCTCTTCTAGTCTACTAACATGAGCTTGTCTCTCTTCAACATCTGCATCTGGGAGTACTGATGATAAACTGCGCAATCTTTGCCTATTAGATTGAGAAAACTTCTGATCAACTTTTGTTTCTGACTATAACAAATCCAGAGATGGTGTCTAACATTGCTTCCTCATAAATTAGTACGGTACCATCAATTGCACACACAAAATTCTGAAAAATCATTGTAACTTCATAATTATTCCACACCCAAATCAAAAGTTGTTCACTCACAATCACATGAAAATTTCACATCCAAATCAAAAGATTTTCACTCATACAGAACCATTCCACACCCAAATCAAAAGTTTTTTACTCACACATAAGGAGGAAGAGGGGCTTTCCCCTGTGAATCTTCATGGACCTGAAAAACCCATTCTCTATATTCTACTTTTTGTTGCTCGTGCAAGGTTCTTAGTTCTGAGGTCCATTTTCCTTCAACAATCTAAGTAAACATAGAGAAAATCATATCAGGCACAATATATTTTTCTCTACACCCATTTTTAAATTTTAACCTAATATATCTTTTATTTGCAATCTGTACAAATGAAAACCTGTACATATGTAAACCTGTACCCATTTACACTCAATGGAGTTAATTTTAATAAAACAATATCAATGAATAGTATATAAGGTAACTTTCATCACCATGTGAAATAAAATGTTCAATGTTTCACCATGTGGATGATGGTTAATCTTTAATTATCTTATGAAAATGTTTTTTTTTTAAATGATATTACCTGAGTGTTTTCATGATAAATGACATTACCTGAGTGTTTTTATGATAAATGACCAAAGATATTACCTGAGTGTTTTCAAACTGTTTTTGTGCCAATAAATTGATATCTTCATCTTTATAAACCGACCCTACACTTTTTAGAGCTTCGTCCATGTCTGCACGTTGCCTGAAATGGAAAAATATCATTTTAGAAAAAACTTTGCTCCACAAACACCTTTAATGATATTTAATAAATTGCTGAAATAACTATACAAACTTCTGACATCAGTTCATATGAACATTAAGTAAAAAAGACTTTATGTCACCCACTTGTCTTGCAGATGCTGCAAGTCTCTGTCCCTCTCCTTGGTTACTCTTTCCACTCCCAAGGAATACTCATGTTCCAGATTGAGTAAAGTTTCCAGGGCAGGGGAGTGAATCAACTTATGATAGACTTCTGCAAATCTTTCATCGTTACTGAGCTGGTGAGGCTTAGCATACATTTTCAACTCCTGCATCAAGGGAAGAAATAAAAAAAAAAATCAATTTTGAAATCAGTGAGTTAAATTTTGAGGCTGGCAGAAAAAAAAAATCTGTTGATTTATAAAATTTTGTTTACCTTTTGGAATGCATGAAAGTTAATATTTTGTTTCGTTTATAAACGCTCATAACAGCCTTGGATGACTGCACACTTACACTTACATCCATGAGTGTCCACAGGATTTTGCTAACATTTTGTCAAAATACTACTACTAACGTTTTTCAAGCTTCTAAAATTTACTTACCTACTCACTCAATTTTTCAGTCATTCAACCTACTATAATTAAAATAAAATTTGTTGGTCAAATTTGTTTTTGTGAATAGCATTTCTATGCAAAAAATTAATTTGATTGTTTGTTTACATCCTCAGAGGATTTTTTGTCCAAAAGTATTTGCACCCCCCTCCCCTCTCCCCCCTTTTGCAAACACACATGCTGCCCGGTACAAATATTTCTGTGGTACCCCATGCTTACATCTGTCACTGACATAAACCTTCTCTTTATAAAATTGGATTTACTAAGTCTTAAATTTAAGGGAGAATTACAAATATTTTTAAATGAACAACACATGCCTTCTTTTTATTTGTTTAAATTGCTCTTTAACATTTTTCCCCCAAATAAAGAAATAGACCAATCAAAATTAAGTTTAAAATGAACATCAAAGAAAATACTTAAACTTAAAAGAAACAGGGTCTGATATAAATTGAAAATTCAATCATTTGCTATTACGGCCATTGAGCAAATGTCAGATAATGCAGACAACTGATTATATGTGTAAATTAATCAATACAACCCTAATTAGGGTTGCCATCTTCCATGATATATTGAGACTGTCACCCTTATGGACCTTAAAAGTAATTATATTAAATAATTTTTTCATTTCTATACCCCCATCTCAGAGTGTCCAGACCAGGTCCCAGCTAGATATGGCAACCCTAACCATTTGCAATTAGTGCTATTAAAACTTTTCCATTTTTTTGTGTTCAAGATTGTGTTTTGTATTACCTGACAATAAGCTGGCAACCATTGCTTGACCAGGTCATTTACATCAATCTCTCCATTTCTAACCTTTTCAACAGCCTCATTAGCATTTTTGTCATATAATTGTGATGTCTCTTTGCTCACAAAGCCATCAAGTTTACTTTCTAGGTCTGAAATAAGGAAACAGATCTCTATTAACAGGGACTGATTTAAATCTATCATATCTCTCTCTTTCATTTAAAAACTCTTTGATCTTTACAAAGAATTTGATCTGATTGTATTTTATGTTGCTGAAATTCTGTTGACATTGATCAACAATTATAAATGATGCATTTATTTGTAAATCATTCCCAAAGTAACAGTAAAGCAATCTTTGAATAGTTTATCTGCTGCAAATAAAAATTTACACAAAAATAGCATTTACCTTGATGGACAAAGCATGGTAAATTATGAACTTGAGTCAAACGTGCCACAAACTCTTTTGAGTCATTGTGCATTGGCACAGTTATAGGGACATTTAGAGTTGAATTGGTTGTCTTTGTATGAAAGGTATAGGAAAAGTCTTTCTCTATGGTATGAGGCATTTTAGTGGTGTTTTATTCTTTACACTACACCTGTGGATAAAATTAAGTATGAACAATTGTAATCTCCATATTATTTAAATTTGGGCTGGGAAAAAACTGATCTCAATTTGATCTAAAATTTTATTCACAGTCACAGCTGCAACTTGTGGACTCATTCCCCAATTATTATGTTGACATGTTTAACTGCAATCAGTAAATCTGGGTTTTAAAATGATATTATCGCCAACAAACACATTGAACTTTAAAGATAAACTATGTGTTTATACCTGTTAATTAAGTGTTGTTGTTTTTTTAATAATACGGAAGTGGGTGTGTTTAGTTAGGCAACCATTTTGTCTGATGAATGACGGGACCGCCACGGGTCAGGGAGACAAAAGTGGGTCAAATGGAGATGGAGGAAAGTCGGTCACCCACGGGTGAAGCACGGACCCCTAGCTCGATCGGTATGTTAAAATTGTGTGTGACATGCATTTCATTGTAATTTTATGCATTGGATCGGAAAATTAAAAATAGATATTTAATTTAAGTTGCTTAAACTTTGCTTTGAAAAATATTAACTTATTTGTTATTATGAAATAATATTCCTCGGGTTTACCCAGTTCGACGTTTTTTGTAGGCCTCCGCTTAGCCGCATTTTGCTTTGTTCATGGAAAAACTAGGTCAGTCACTTAGTTTAACTTCGAGGCGCTTGTGGTAGGTTTTGGTTTTATTTCGTTTACTATTTGTTTTCTTGATATATTTAAAAAAAAATGTACATTGTTGGTCATCCTTGAAAATTATTTTTAATTGTTTCCTATTCTGAGCGAGTAAGTCGAGTGAATAGCCGGATTTTGGTTATGAGGTCAGTCGTCGATGTAATGACGATATAATAATATATGGGTCACCGTATCTTTTTATTTTTTTTCCACCGTGCCTTAAGTGCTATATTTCTTGTTCTCGAGCTGGAGCAAACGTCCTTTGCCGCAGTGATGTAATAAGGTGTGTTTTGCAGATCTGTGAGTTGCATTTTGTAGAGCAGGGTTTTAAAGTATCTCTTGTTCTGGGTAAGTGGCACGTTCTACCCCTACAATATTATTTTGTTATTTGCTCTTCTCGTGTCAAAATCACCACTACTGACACGGCTGCAGTTTTAATATGGTATTTGCTTAAAATTACATCAGTTTAAATAGGTCGCCTGCTTACTTAGGCCTGCAAATGTTATTTTGATTATTTATTCTATAATTTAACAATGTTATTTTATGTGATTTGTATTAAACGTGGACGTGAATTAGCTATACCGGTATAATAAATGATGTGTAAGCTTTAGTATGATTATTATTTGTATTTGCTTTTTGTTTAAATTTAAATATAATATACGTTACATTTTTATTATTTGTTTTATTTAATGTGCTATTCAAATGGGATACTAGTTTTTACTAGTTATCTATTGTAAATTAAGCAGCAATAGCTGCCTTGTCCTTTTTCTTTTACAGTCATTTCTACAAAAAATATTTTATTATATTCATATTTCATTCATAATTTATTAATTTGTGATTTTGATGCTAATGTTTAATGGTCCAGAGTCCTAAGTTGGGTATGGTAAATGTAAGACGATGTGACACGTTTCTAAAATAAAATAAATCAGATGGTCATTTTAGTTAAGGAGGTGAAGTATTGATGGGGTCAAGATGACCTATTTAGAGCTTATCGACCAATCGGGTTCCATACGATGTGCCCCATCTAAATTTAGACCAATCACAATTGAAGCGGTTTGCCGCGAAGAAATTAGGTTAAGTAGCCAAAGTTAGGCAGAGGCAGTTTTTTCTCTCTCCAAAATGTACCGTAGTACATATAATCATTATAAGGCCTTGTATCGTGGCCGTTCGTGTGACAACTGCAAGCTATGCACAAACGTTCGTATTTTAAGTAGGCCTAATTTTTTTCTAGTGAATGCTTGTTTAGTGTGTGATTTTATGTGGACTGTACCGAGACACACTGATAACAGTACCATTGATCGTCATGGCCTGTATTTGCTATATCATATGGGAATGGGTGAATGGGAAAACTATATAACAACACCATTAAATTTTGTTTATTGATGATTATGCGGCCAGCTCTTAAATAGAAGACTGGCATGTATTAACTGTTTTGATAAATATGTGTGTTTTCAAATCAAAAGTTGTTCGTAGTTCTGCTGTAATTTTTTTTTTTTTTTTTTTAAATCTACCAGACTTAGTTAATTGGTCTTAGTACTTAGTTGATTACTTGAAGTCGATGAGAGCTACCGGTACTCATACATAACTAAGGAATATTATAATTATAATTTTAAAAAAAAAACTATTTAGTCACTGGTTAATATAAGTTAGCATTCATAAATAATGTAGAAAATTAAAATCCGTAGTTGCACTGTTGCAGAATTCAGGGTTGCTAACACTTTGACTGTAAATTGTAAACTTGCTTCCATGGCAAGGGATTAGTTAAATGTCAGTACCGGTACTTGATAATTACTGGCCCCACTCGCCTTTCAAATGTGAAGTTTCTGCAGTGAAGCAAATCAATAGCTGCATTTATTGATCGGGGGGGGGGGGGTAAATTTCATGAAAATGAAAAGTTCGTGACCTGCAATTTTGTTCTTCTTCTTGTCAAAATAAAAACAAAATGTCAATTTAAAAAAAAACAGTATGTAGAATCAATAATTTTTTTTTATTAAGTTCATGATAGAGCAAATAGAAAAAAACAACAACAAAAAACACCATAGTATTAATATTGAGGGCAACTTGTCAAACTATAATTTCAAAATTATTATTTTAAAAAATAATGTAGGTCATACTTTCAATTTTAAAAATATTAGTTGGTCAAGTCTATGATTATGTAATTTGTAGCTTATTAGTCAGTATTATTTACAATGTTGAACATGTGTACGATTTTAGGTTTGGTTTGGTTCTGTTCATTCGTTTAAAATTAGTTTCAAATACCAGGTACCGGTACTTCTTTCTCTAGTTCTGGAATGCTAGTCAAGCGGGCTTTCTTTAGTTTGACTCCTGTGTAAATATATATAATTACATTTTTGAATGTGCATTAAAAAAAAAAAATGAAGGTGACATTTTAAGCCGCATACATTTAGTTTTAAAATAGTGCTACAATGTGCAGAAAATAAAATACCAACTTTTCATCTTTGTCCATCAATAAGTGACGTCATGCATGGGAGTGGGGTCGGGGGGGGGTCTTTTTCCACATATGTGTGACGATATGTGATGAGGATGTTTAACTTTTAGATTTCAAGTGATCAGTGTAAAAATAGCGTGGCGTCATTTATGGAAGACACATAACTACAAAAAGGGGTTTATTTTGTGCTTTTCCCCCCTCCTTGTTATATCAAGTGAACGATTATTAAATATATATTGGTTTGGGTATTCACAATCGATTACTTACAAATCCGGTTTGTGTAATGCTACACAGTGGACATTTCACATACATAAATCAATGTGCCTTTTCATAGTTTAGCATGTGGTGGATCCTCTATTTACCTGTTCCCAAAAAGATGTAGACATTGAATGGGTTGTGAGAACATGATAGTGGCATTAACGTAATGATTTAGGCCTGCATATCTCTAGCCATACCACGTTTTACAATAAATCATTGCACCCACTTTGTTCTCTCTCTCTCTTTGCATACTTCGGTGCGATTTCTTAAGTTGGAAAGTATCGGTGCTTAGAGTAGATGTGAAGAAAAATTGGTACATGTTTAATATACGTACCGGTACATACAGTTAAAGAATAAATAATCGCAAGGAGCTACAGGCTACAGCTATCTTTATTTGGGCTGTTTCAAAAGAACCAAAAGAAAGCTCCTCTAAACCAGCTCATTGATCGTATTGAGCTGTCATAAAGTTAAAGAGCCACAATTTATTTTCATTTCATTTTTTACAACAAAAGAAACTGAAATAACTTTTAAAATAGAAAATAAATTGAATGACGTCATAGATTTATCTGCTTTATTTGATTATTTAGCTAATCTAATGTTAACTAGTTATACGTGGTATAGCTGGCCAAACATTGGCGGCGGCAACGCGTGGACTGCCCATCTACTAAAGCTACTTGACCAAACATAAACTCAAGGACCGGTATCGCAGAATTAAGAAACCCAATTTTTGCTACATCCCCCCCCCCCCCCCCCCCCACACGCATGAGTCGTCACTGCAAACTTTTTATTTCACGCCCATGAACTATATTAATATTCTTATGTCCCAACCACTTTTAAACCGAATCTGTATTTTACGGTATCGCAAAAATAAGAAACCCAATTTTTGCTACCTCCCCCCCCCCCCCCCCCCCCCACACGCATGAGTCGTCACTGCAAACTTTTTATTTCACGCCCATGAACTATATTAATATTCTTATGTCCCAACCACTTTTAAACCGAATCTGTATTTTGCCATATTTAAATGGAGACGATTAAGACGAATTCATTTTCCCAAGGAAAAAAAAAGCACGAAACGCAGTTGCGTTATTCAAATCAACTATCATTTAGCGGAGTTATCGGGAATTATATTTTGCGCGCTTCCCGGAAATGGAAACAGCCACACCACAAGCAAAATATATATTAGATATTTTAAAGGGATGAGTAGGGAGGGAAAAATGTGTGTGTGGGGGGGGGGGTACTTATAGATAAAATACATTATTAAGGAGTACGAGAGAAGAAGAAAAAAAAAAAAGGATGGAACCGCTGTTCATGTGCCAAACTACCTTTATAGTGTGTAGTGTGTTTTTTTTTTTTTAATTTCCATAATCAACATAGTAAGACATAATACTTGTATATGTACTATGTATATGTCTTGCTATCTAAATATGTATATTTCTTACAATTATGTTAATACTTGTATATGTACTATGTATATGTCTTGCTATCTAAATATGTATATGTCTTACAATTATGTTAATACTTGTATATGCACTATGCATGTCTTGCTATCTAAATATGTATATGTCTTACAATTAAGTGTGTTAATACTCGTATATGCACTATGCATATGTCTTGCTATCTTAATATGTACCGGTATAACATACTGTTTTTTTGTTTATCCGAAACTAAGCCGTGTTACAAATTGTTATAAACGTTTGCTAGTAAATATGTAGGCTCAGCTCACACGATCAAATCCCTTTCAAATTGAATATGTAGGCTCAGCTCACGCGATCAAATCCCTTTCAAATTGAATATGTAGGCTCAGCTCACACGATCAAATCCCTTTCAAATTGAATCTGTAGGCTCAGCTCACACGATCAAATCCCTTTCAAATTGAATATGTAGGCTCAGCTCACACGATCAAATCCCTTTCAAATTGAATATGTAGGCTCAGCTCACGCGACCAAA